TTGGCTGAGGACGTTTGGCAGTGAACTCGGGGATGATATCTCTCGTCCTACGCCTCTGTGCGTGGACAACCAAGGTGCTATCTACCTCGCCATCAACCCAGTCATTGACCGACGTACCAAGCACTTTGACATCCGCTACCACTATGTTCGAGAGCAGGTCGAAAGTGGGAGCGTTGAGGTGTTCTATGTTGCTTCTGGGGAGCAACTTGCCGACGCGCTGACAAAAAACGTGCCCTTCTCCATATTGGACCGTTTCCGTCGAAGCATTGGCTTGGTGTCCTCCACATCTTGAACGAGTGGGAGTGTTGAACTTCTGTGTCTACGGCTGTGCCGGACCGGGAGTGGCAGTGATAGTGGCTGTGCGTCTACCATACGCCAGCATGGACTTTTCCTACTTACCATATACGTACATTCTTTTGTTCTGTACTTACTTGGCATCCTGCCATCCCTCCATATGATTCTGGTACGTTCTACGATGTTCCGGACTATTCTAGACAGTGTCCGGATTACTCGCATTACTCAGCCATGGACTATCTGACCTTATGTCGATTATGCTCTCTTACTCAGCGTTACTCATCGCTCAGTCAGCGTCCTCTGGACGTCACATGCCCTCTTCCTATACGCTTACTCATCGTCCTCCCCAGTAGTATATAAGGAGGACTCTGCAGGCCTCTGCTCTTCAGTCGTTCTCTCACAGACTGAAGAGTAAGTCCCACACTACTTATGGTTTCTTACATGTTTACTTACTAGTACTTGTAGCCTCTCTTTGTGCGGCTTACAGGTACAGTACTATGCAATCATAGTTGTTCTCTCACAGACTGAAGACCTCTCTTTGTGCGGCTTACAGCCTTCCAGGTTCAGAAGTTCATCAGGAAGACACTAAAGGTGCGCTTCGACGCTCTCGAAGAGGCGATAACGGCGCACTACGTGACCCTCCCGCGCACAGCGCGCATGGATTGCCGCCCGCAGTACATCGACTTCGCGCTCACGCCCGAGTGCCGTGCCATCGCGGACGTTCCGACGTCCCAGACGGTCACTGCGGACGATTTCGCACCTATCATTCCCGCACTGGCGCAGACATGGGACGCAGACCGCAGACAGGAACTCACGGAATACCTCCTTCCGCATCTCGGCGACATCGCCGCGGATGTAGACCCGCTTGAACTCGCCATCTCGTTTTTCAACAGGCCTGCTAAGATTGCCGGCCGTTTCCAGCCGTGTCTAGGAGACATCAGCACCATGAGGTACCCCGCCATCCTCAACCATCATTGTCTCACGGGGCCGAGCGCAGGATGTTACCGCGGCTCGTCATACTCGGTGGATGAGTTCCTCAAAGAAGACGTATACACCCGCACGACAAAAACCCTCGGGCACTACGCGGATTATGAGTCTATGTTACTCGAAGCAGCGGAGGACACGCCGTGCTTGCGCACTCACGTTCCGTTCAAGCTGAACCGCGACGGCGACGGTCTGCATCCTGGCGATGTAATCGCCAGAATGCGGCGGATCGTTTCTATGGTCGGACTAGACCCTGCTCGGGCGACGTACGAAGACCTCGAACGATGCGACGCGTGGTTTCGGTGTATCAGTTGCGAGACAGAACACGACAGGGAGCCCATCTTTGCGCGATCGTGGAGCGGCGTGGTGAGTCCAGTGGCAGGTGACTCGACGATAAACGCAGGCTCATATAATGTCAACGCTCTGCAGTACGACCACGAACTGGAACACATCAATGCCAGTGGAAGACTGAAATACATCTTGCACAGCACAGAACTCCCCCAGTGGCTGCGCGCAGACTCGGACGACGAGGTTATGAGCAGAGTGCGAGCTTATCAGGAGGCCAAGCTTCGGGAGACGGACTTTGGCATTTGCTTGTGGTCATGCTCGCTCTGCCGCACCTTCAACGCGGCTTCCCAGTACATGGCGGAGCACCTCGACGAGATGTGAGTACCGTCGGCTTCTACATCCAGAAGCCATGCTGACACGCTGCACGTCAAAACAGGCATGATGGCTTGGACTTTTGCACAGCAAGGCGGGACGGGGTGGTTTACCTCCACCCTCACACGAACAAGCACCGGGCGTTCTCAGACACCATCTGCCTTCGCGGAGCCATCAAACAAGGGTCATTTTGGAATGGCCCAGGTATTTCAGCTATATGGTGAAGCACGCGGTGGCTGCTACAAAATACTCTGTATAACAGGCGGTTGCGGGCAAAGTTCCGTATTGTAGAAGTGACATGTACTTGTGTAGTAAGCGACGTACTCCAGAGGAAACCTGCATTGCGTATGAAGCTTATGGTGTAAAGTCGTGTGTCCGTGGACTCGGGTCAAGTGGACTCAGGATCCCCAACCCGTCGACAAGTCTCGAGCAATATCAGAAGCCCCTGAGAACTTCCAAGTATGAGATCTGAGATCTAGCACCTATAAGTTCCGAACCACAACAACAGTGACATGACCAACTCTTGATATGTCAGCGACAAGACGTGTATACTTCTATCGAGACTGCCTATAGGACAGACAGACAGACGATGCGACATGTATCATCGTCACGCGAGTGAGACCGCCGTTCTGCGGTCGGACCTGCCCCTTTCCGACGATGATCCACCGTGGGCCGACGAACTAGAATTACAAGGCCCTCAAGCCGGAGCCATCCCGACGCCACGTCCCGCCGCCTAGGACGTCGGGAACACACGCCCGCAGGAGGACAAGACATGCGATAAATTGACACCGCGTTCCGACCGATTCATGTATCTCGGAAACAGGGACTGCTTCGCCCGCTGCATTTCTGACAACAGTGCCCGAGCGCTGTGCAGGCAACGACTCGCAGGACACATTATACCGCCGGGCATGGTAGGACCGTACCCGGCAGAGCGGAGGAACGGTCGCTCGGCGGTGCGGCCAGGGGCCGCCCTCCGGGCCCGTTCAACCAGACATACCCGCTGAGCATCGCGATACTGTAAGGAGGGAATGAAGCGCAGATCAGCACTCCCGCAAGTCCGCATGGCAAAGAGACGCACCTGCCCTTCATGAACGTTAACGTTCTCCTGAGCACGCGGCCCAAACCCAACAGTCTTCATGAACGCGCCAGAACGCAAACCTTCACGCCTCGCGCCGCGGATGAAGTATCATGTCCGTGGGGCAGGTGATGCACCCAAAGCGAAAAAAAGTGCAATCGTCCAAAACGCAAGCGGTATGTACAGCAAAAGCGGACGAAACAGCTCACGGAGCACAGCGGCGCTCTCCCGCGCCATGCGAGGCTCCCACCTCTATCTCACCCCTCCCCCCTACCTGCGCCAAGCGGGCACCACGCAGAGAGCCACGCGGCCAGCCAGCCCCGCCCTGGTCCGCACTCGCGCCCACACCCGCGACCGCGGCGCACGCCGGGATCGAACGAGCCGGTCATACGCAGAGAGCAGCGACCACGGTCGGCAGCTGGACCACCCACGTCCGCAGCGCAGCGGGCCCTGGGCGCACATCGAGCGCGCGCGCGCTCACTGCTAACTCTTCCGGTCCCCGCCCGCGCTCCCGTTCATACCTGAGCGCTCGCGCCGCCCCTGCTCGTCACTCTCCCCAGAGTCGCTCGCGCCGTTGCTCTCGTCGCGCAGGCGCTTGCGGCCCATCCCCGGGGGCGACCCAACCGCGTAGCGCGCGCTGCTTAGTGGGGGCACGGGAGGGGGGAGCGACAGCCCGTTCCCACCGCCGCCACCGCCACCGCCGCCCGCGTTTGTTGGTGCGGAAAGGAAGTCGAACCAGTTGCTGTCCGAGGTTGGGGAGCCTTGTGCAGCTGTGTGTAGTAAGACGCACGTCAGCATCCGGTCGGAGGGGCGTGCTCGAGGACGTCAAGAACGGAAGAAGGGGATGACAAGGGACGGGAGACACCCGTGGGAGCGGATAACAGTATACGCAGCGCAGCGGCGCACCACGCACGCGTGCTCCCCGCCGCGGCGTTCCGTAAAGAACACGAAAACGTGCACATTGACACGGATGAAGAGCGGGAGAGAGCACAGCGCGCGCGGCCCCACAGCGGCACCCGCTGCGCGTACGCACATGCGCGCACGCCGGGCGCGGACCCACGAAAGACGACGGACGCACCGTTCTCATGCTGCCCCTGTCCCTGCTGCTGCGACGCCTGCGACGCGGCGTGCACGGGCCAATCGAACGAGGGGAAATTGCCCGGGCCCCCGCCTCCGTGGCCCGCGCCGTTCCCATGCTCGCCCGCGGAGCCCAGCAGGTCCGCGAACATGTTGCTCGCGCTCGCGTGGGCGTGCGAACCGCCGTGCGAGTGCTGGCCCTGCCCGCCGCCTTGCGGGCGCGCGAAGAGGTTGTTCGACTGTTGTTGTTGGGGGGAGTACGGCGACGACCCGGCCGGCGGGAACGAAACCGTGCGCAGCGCCGCATTGTGGCCGCGCGAGAGGTCGAACGGCGACTGCGGAAGGAAGGAGGAGCCGCCGCTCATGATGGACGACATGGACGACGGGCTGCCCGCATATAGCGCGGTCAGGCTTGGGTGTTGCGAGTGCAGTTGTGATAGCGAGGGAATCATGGACGCCCCGCCTGGTGAGGAGTACGAGGGGATGTCGATGTCTATCCGGTACGGGAATGTCGGGCTGCCGATATGGTTAGAGTTCGCGCCGAGACTTGCGGACGCAGACTGCATTCCGTGGGAGGCGTCATCAAGCCGTTGCCGCTTTGCGGTACTGCTGATAGGAATGCTGCGGGCGGCAGAAGTAATGGCCGACGTGTGCCGCTCGCCGGAGATAGGGATGGAGGAGGAGGATGTGCTTGCGGTGGGGGATACGCGCATGTTCGACCGGTAGTCCAGCTGGGATACGGTGGCAGGCTTCAACATCGACGGAGGAAGACATCGCGGGTGTTACTCACTTCTGGACTTGTCGAGTTGTCGTTCGACGGCGGACCTGGTCGGATTGGGACGATGCTGGGAGCGGAGTTTTCCACTTTCACCTTGGCTGATTTGCTACCGTCTCGCCGTTTCTGAGAGCTGTCGTCATCGTCACCCTCATCGTCATCGTCCGCCGCGTCGTCGACTTTGCTGTTGTTATTGTTATTGAAGTCCGCAGGGCCCTTCGTGTCCCTTTCTCCGTCAAACTAGGGACGAAGGGGTGTGAGACGGCGAAGTGATGTAAGAGACCGACGAACGCACGCGTATATGCCGTGACACCATGCCGTTGACATCAGTCGAGCAGTACTGATAAAGTTTGGCATGGTGGCCAGGCCGTTCTTCTAACAAATATCGGCGCTGTCAGTAACTGCCGCGATGCAATAGGGTGACGGAAGGATACGGGTGAAACGAGTCGGCGAATGTGGGAGCAAGGCGACGGGATGAAAATTGTGTCGCCCAGTCTCGCCGACGCATCGGGCGGAACCCGGAACCAAGATCAGATGGAGTAGGCGAAATTGGGCTGGAGTGGTCGACTATAGCTCCAGGTGTGTTGCGCAACCTGAGAGGACGAGCGAGAAACGGAGAAAATATGGGCGCTTAGCTTGAGGGGGAGTCGTGCCAACACCAGGCCAACACCAGTGTACCAGTCATCGACCCTTCCATGCCTATGGCTCTATACACCTTCGCGTGCAGCTGGGGTGTCATCCGCCACACATGGAAAGGAAGAGACCGCGAGCGGGGGAAAGGGGGGAGTTGTGTGCCAAGCAGACGCGCACGGTGGGTGTTGCCGTGGGGAAGAGAGGTGAAAAAGACTCACCAAAGATGATAACCGCAACGTCGACGGAACAGAGGACACCGAGCTCGTACGCCTTCTTGAAGAGACCGTTCTTGCGCTGGAGTTGTGTACGACGATGGGCGCAGAGCGTGATCGAGCGCGTGTTAATGGATGCCAAGAGAATTGACATATTTATAGCGACTGACCTTTAAAAAGGTGACAGAACGATTCCGCTCGTGCTATAGATGGGCCAGGGCGCAAATAAGCAGCGGTTGGCGCGAAGGAGGGATGCTGCTCGCGCCCGAGCGGTCGTATACTTGGACGCGGCGGGGCGGGCTATTTCCAGGCGGGGCAAGGGTGCGTACCGTGATGGGCTGAATCTCGATCTTTCGTCTTCCCATGTGTGCGGAATGCGCGGGTGGTGCGGGGCGCTGCGGGTGCGGGGCGCGGGGGCGAGGGGACAGCGGGCGAGGAGGGCAGAGAGTGGGCAGAGACAAGAGGAAGATGAGGGTGGCTGAGAGGACGGGTGACGCTGGGGAGGGAGGACATATGGATTGGGCAAGCGCAAGCAGCCGCAAACGCCGTCCTCGGAGCTCCTTCGATGCGCCTGCCAATCACACAACTGCAACCGCCCCCATGCCGTCAATCCGCAGCACCCGCCCGCTCTCTCGTTCCCGCTCTCATCCTCTCCGCCGCCCCGACTCCGTCCATCGAACTCGTCCGACTCAGCACCCCGGCTGCATCCACCACCACACCCCCCGGGTTGACGCGACGCTCGGGTGTTGCCCAACGCCAGGACGCTCGCCTATCTCAATCAAATCTTCTCCTTCCGCCGCTCACCACGCCCCCGAGAGGTCCCACAAGCTCTCGCGTTCACACCCCCGTCTGGCGTGCCTTGCAGACCCTCTTGTTCTGCCGTCCGATCTCGTCTGCTGACCGCCCCGTTCTCATCTCCCCCCGTCCGTGGCCTCGACCGTGGCACTTTCTCCCCATTCCCGGCCCCCAAGATCACCGCAGACCCGCTCAGATTCAGATGACGCTCCTTCTCCCTATCGCTGGGCTCGCTCTGCTCTGTCCGTCCACGAGGGTGGGAAGCATGCCGCGCGCCGTCTCTTTGTCAACGCCTGTCTCCTGACTCCCTCCGAGACGGTGCGGACGCGGCACGCGTCGCATCCTGTCTCGTCTCATGCGCGCATGGCCGCCGACGTCTGCCCGTCCCCGCCGAGCCGCCGACGCCAGTCCGGGCGAGATGCCGAAAACCTTACCTTCGGCACGGCGCGCCGCGGCATCTCTGATCTCAGGGCGCCCATGCCGCCGATCTGATCTCAGTGCGCCCGCAGCGGCGGCGCAGCTTCAATTGAATACCGGCCCCGGCCTGGCCCATGCACCGACCATCGCCCGCAGTCCTCTCGTCCGTCCAGCGCACAGTTGCGGCCTCCAACGCCGCTGAGTTCTGGCTCGCTGTTATAACAGAACGTCCATTCTTATCATCCAATGGGGGCGCGCATATCTTGGGTAAGTGTGCTATTTTTTGATCTGGGCTATTTTCGCCCGCTATTTTTGGCGCAGCACTCAAGGATTTAGCGTGCTTTGCAGGCCTCCACGCTGGAATGCTCTCTGCCGAAGATTCGTGCACTAGAACCTCACGATCGGTGCCGACGCTCGTAAACCTCGGGGGGACAGAACTCCCTCATCCACACCATGCGTTCACAACGCGTTCATACGACCAACCACGTCGGTAGCGCACGGCATTGATCCGGCAGACGACCAGTCATCTTTTGACCAACCTGTTTGAATTACACCCGTCTTACGCGCAACGATTTGTCGAGAGGCTTTCAACGGCGGAGATCGGAGGTTCTTCACAGGTGTGGCGTTCTACTAGCTTTGGCTTATCTTGCGAGTTGATACCTTCGTGGCTCGTGGTTGGGTGAGCCCACTTCGATTACTTGCAGTAACCCACCTCCTGACCGATGTATTCAATTCATATCAGGTCATCCATATTTCGTGAAGCCTCGGAGCCTGCGACTTTCCTGACAATGTCGACCGTGCATGTCCAGCGAGGGTATGTCCCTTTTCACGATCACCGAGCCCTTTCCTAGACCGCTAACATCTTCTGAGCGTGTGTGTGTAAACGGCCGTAAGATGTGCAGCCAAATTTACCAACCTTCTGGGACCCGTCAAGATTCATGTGTTTTCCCGGAGCCCTTTCATATCACAGCGAAGTGTTCGTGAGATCCAAACGAGGCTGCCCTAATTTCGGACCATGATAACAGGTATCCTGTCTCTCCCGGAAGAGGCTTCGGGGAGTCCTAAAATGCCTGTACTCATCGCATGTTCTACGGTCCCCAAGTCGCCGTGTCGTGGCTGTGGTGGCGCCTACAATTCATTACATGCCTTCCAGACTAGCGGCTGCTGGTGTGGGTCGGTCGACCTTCCATCTCATGCTCGCGTCGCACCTCTGCGCAGCCATGCTGCGGGCCTGTCAAGAAAGACCCTGCACCGTCGATGTTCCGTAGAACCTCGCAACACCAGTGAAGCACGGCGTTACACACACCGTACGTCCCCTCGGCCGACGGCTACGCGCCCTGCGTCAATGTGCCGGCGGTTCGAGTGCTCGCCGCGCTATGCCCGGGCATCACCTACGCGCCCGCCGACGGCATTCACCCAGCGTTCCGGCGGTGCCAGGCCCTGGCAACTACTGAATGCCACGGTGCGCCCCCTTGTTCTCGTCGCTGCTCCGACACTTCCAATTGTGATCATCTCCTTGTTGAACTATTGTGCAGGGCGTACGCGCGCATGAACTCTATACGCATGCGAGTGCTCTATGTGACGCCCATTCATCTCGTTCATCTCTGCATTCAAACCGCTCGCGACGCCGTCATGCGCGCAGCAGCCAACTGTCCGCACCTCCTTCATTCTGATACCGAAGGCACGTTACTGACCGCTTCCGGGGCCGCTCTTTCTCAGCAGCAGACGCACGGTGACCTCGGGCGGGCGCCGGCGCGTGCCTTTCACACACACGACACCGCAAAGACGTCATCCCGCCCGCCCAGGGCCGCACCCGCACTCGCATCTCGGTATGCGTATGCGCATTGGCATTGCGAACCACACACTGTACGCAGCAATATGATTCGCGCCGCGCGCCGCCGAGCGTGAGCTTGAGGCTAACGCCCGTTTCGCCAGTGCACATCCCCCGAACATGAAGCCTGACGTCTTATCGCTGCGCCCTCCCGCACCGCTCGCCGTCGCCTTGTCTTCTGTCTTCCGTGGTCTGGCCTTCGTCTTCTGCCCTATCGCACTTCGCGCTTCGCGCATCGCACGTACAAGATGGTCCTTCCCTGCCCGCCCTGCTGCCTTCGTACCTTCGCGGCTTCGGCGCGCGCCGTGCGCATTGCACCAGTGCCGCTGCACGAGGCGGCCGCCGGTGGGAGCCAATATGTCCTTGTCTGTCCACTACTGGCCTCCCCAGGACACGAGTGGCGGAATACGAGCGGGATAGTAATGCGCCCCTCGAGGCATGGTGAGATGGACTTGCGACCGCACGCTTTTCTTCCTACGGTGGGGCGGCGTGGTGGCAAGGTAGCTATGGCACCGCCGCCGTCGCCGCCTCGTCGGGCGATCGGTCTCATAGCGGGCGCATGTTCGATGCTCCTTCCTCCGACTCGAAGTCGGAGGAAGGTGTTTATGTTACGATGATCACGGGCTTGGCGATGGCTACATGACCCTACCCTGCCCGAGCACGACGTACCGAGGCACTAACTAGCACTGACCGCCGTGAGCGGCGCTGTGGGATAGGCTATAGCCTACGCCTATGCAACACACACGCGGCGCCTCGACAGCTCGATCGCGACACCGCTGAGCCTCAGCCATCTCCGCCTCTTGCAGGAGGTCCTCTCCGTGATCTCCCGCACGCTCACCGCAACATCCCACTCCACAGATGCCCGCCGGCATTACGCGCACGGTCCAGGCCTTCGCGGGTCCGCCGGGCTTCTCTGAATCCCCCTGCAGCAGCTCACGCTCACGCTGTCAATGTGCCATGTTCTTGCGCGACCTCCCGCGCCGAGGAAGGACCGCGCCCTTCGTACCGGCCGGTTCTCTGAACCCATGAGGCGCAATATAGCAGAATGGAGCCGTGGCCGTAGCCGCGAGGCAGCGGCGAGCCCACCGACACGGCTCTGGTCCGAGGCTGCACTCTGCTGGGTACCGCTACGGCGGACGGGGGCGGGGCCCGCGCCCTTCGCGGAGTGCACGCTGCTGCGCTGTGCCTGTACAATGTAGCAGACTCGGATACCACTCGGACGGGTGCCAGGCGGAGCGTGGACGAGGCAGGGCCGCCCCGACCGCCGTTGACGGGGGCGAGGCGTGGGTGTGTCCGCGGGCGGAGAAGCGGTCGCAGGGAACACGCTCCGGTGGGCTGGCGCCCGGAAGCGTCGCGGGAGCGAGGGCGGCGGACTGGGACGACGATAGTGCGCGCTTCCATAGTGGCCAATACGCCGCTCGTTGGGTGACGGAATAAAAGCGTCATGTCTCGCTGCAACGGTGAACTGGGCAAAGAGGCTGACGATCGAGTGCCTTTGGACAGGCACGGCAAATCATTTCACCCAACCCACGCTAGCGGTGCGTTCGCTATGTGTCAGACATAAGAAGTCAGGGCCGGTACAGATACAAGTCTACGACGCTACAAAAGTTCGAACCACAACATGTTAGATATGTCTGTTCCTATCCGAAGCCAAACGCCGAGACCTCCGGCCCAGCTTCCCCAGGATCTCTTCGGTTCACTCTCTGACAAACCGAGTTTGCCCTGGCACGCTCTTGCTGACCATACTCTCAACTCCCAACACGTGAGTGTTGACACTCTACTCAGAGGCCGACATGCCCGCGACCCCTATACCACCACAGGCTCGGCGACGAGAGTTCGGCTGCTCGCCTTATGCAACAAACCTCTCAGCAGCAAGTTGATCTCTTCTGCCGTCTCGGCCACCCGCCTCTCAGCCTCGATGGCCTCCCTCCCAGACGCACTATGTGAAACAACAACGCCCAATTAGCCAACGCGGAAATTTAGAGAGCGGTGAGTATCCCTCACCTCGCTTGCCACCGCAAGTTTGTAGACGCGAACGCAGGAGAGCCACTAGCACCAGCCCCGCTATACGTCGCATGGCGCTTGCGCTCCTCAGGCTTCGCCGAGCCCCCGACTGCCTCAGTCATCGAGCTGACCGCGACCTTCGGGACGCTCGCGGGCAAAGCGGCATGTAATATCACCATCGGGTCGATGCGCTGCGGCTCCGTGTCCCCCATGGACGTCGGACCCGGGGGCGCAGTCGCCTGCCGCGCGTGCACTCTGCTGGGCATCCGCGAGGTCGGGTACGTCGTCGCGGGTGGGTCCGGGGATGTGGACGCGCGGCCCAGGGTGAGCTTGGCGTCCGCGTCCGCGCCTACCCCGGAGCCGCCGCCCTGCGTGCGCCCGCGCCAGGTGTGCGCACTGGGCCGCTGGAGGGCCTGTGCGAGGGCCTTCTGCGCGAGCGTGGCGAGCGGAGACGGGGGCGGGCCCCGGGGCTGTCTCACTGGCATCGCTTGCATGGGCACGGCGAGCGAGTCCGAGGTGGGCTTCTGAGGCTGCGCAGTCAGGGTGTCCGGGATGGGCTTCGCTGCAACGTCTGTTTGTGAACAGGGGGCCTGTTCCTCTGACTGAGACACCGTGACTGCGGGGTTGTCGTTCTCCTGCTCGAGCACAGGGCTGGTAGACGGCGAAGTGCACGGGCGACTGACACGCAAGTCCTCGATAATCCCATACGCGCTCTTCTGCTCCTTCGTGAGCGCCGGCTCCTCCCCTAGCACCCCCGCCCGGTCGCCCTCGCTCCCCTCATGCACGACCGAGAAGATCGGCCGCGCCGAGGCCGCGCGCTGCGCGTCCCAGCCCGCGCCCACCGAGCCCCTTTTCTGCGCCTGCGCCAGCACCTCCGCGCGGCGGCGCGTGTGCATGAGGATGTCCTCGAGCCGCGACCGCCCGGGGGACGCCCATGTCGCGTTGCGCGGGCGCGTGGGCGTGTCTTCGGTCGTTTCCGCTGTTGGGGGCAGGAGGAGGGGTCGCTCATCGGCGCCTGCGCGCTTGACGGGGGTCTGGGGGCTGGAGAGGTCGTCTGCCGATGGGCGCGCGTGGTGTGCGAAGATGTCTTGCGTAGTCGTGCGATAGTCTGAAGGGACTGTGGAGGGTACCGCCTTGTTTGAAGGCGCGGTGAGGGTGGCCGCCAGGGCTAGGAAGAGATCGCGCCGCTCTGCTTCCAGTCGTTGAAGGGCGTGTTGAGTATCGATAGCCGCGCTCTCCGCGCGCTCGAGAGCACATTGGGTCTGTGCGTGAGTGCTATAACATTTATCCAGGCGAGTCGATAGTTGATAGGCTCGTGACCTGTACAGGTCGCGCTCCCGGGTGAGGATGCGGACCGCGCGGTTCAGGCGCACGTTCTCCGGGAGCTGCGCGTCCGAGAGCGACGCTCGGGAAGGTGCTAGGTTGGAGATTGGGATTGGGTCGTCATGAGATAGTTTGTGGATAGGATGAATGTTGGCATGCGAAGGGGTTGAACTGCGACTCCCGTGGAGAACAAGCGCTGTGGGGTGAGCAGAGGACCATTCTTCATGAAGTTGCTCGTCTAGAACATCTGCATCCTCAGGTGTATCTAGGTACTCTTCGTCGACCAAGGTTTCGGAACGGTTGCAGCGAGCGGGCGAAGGCGGCGAGTCGAGGGGAACAAGAACCAAAGTTCCATCGTAGCGTGCGTTCCCTACACGGAAGCTCAAACGCCTGGACGCTTGCAACATCGCCGAAGGAGGTCCGAGGACGTGTACTGCGAAGACTGTGAACCGGCACAGTGCTCGCGCATGTCGACTGAGGGACGTGTTCATCTAGGCGGGAGATCAAACTCTATTGAGACCGCTCCACACATACTGCGAGTACTCACCCAAATCCACCACGCGGTCGTAGTCGCGTTAATGATGAGGACGGCGTGGAAGACATTAGCCGGGTCCATAGAATCCAGGAAGGACACCCAGACCAGGGCGAGGGCGATGTTCAGCACGATGAGGACGCTGGAGAGCGATGTTGTGGTGAGAGCGTGAGACATGGTGTCGCGGTGGCTGCGCGGAGGAAACGAAAGACTGAGTAGGAGTAGATGGATGTGGAGAGAGAGGCGTTCGTGAATCCCAACCTCAGCGGCGCGCGAGGAAGTGTAGCGACCGTGCTCGGCTCCCGTGTGCTCGGTCCCGGTCGATTATGGCGATCGCGCTCTTCACGTGAAGTTGCTATCGAGTTATTGAAGCAGCGAATCGATTGACAGGCGTTCACAAAAACTGAGCATGTCGAGATTATCGCCCATTATATGGTCTATACAGTAAAGCTACACAGCTATAGCAGGGGAATAGTAGCACGTACAATACACAGGTCAGATCCATCTGGATACACAGCGCGACGAAAACAATTTACGAGGATCTGAACCACGGCGAATGAGGCTAGAAAGTAATGCTGAGTGAGCAAGATGTGTATCCTTTGATACGGACTGACACTCACGCTGCTGTTCACATGCGCGGCGGCAGGGCTATGGGGACTCTGAGGCACGACGAACCCGCCAGGCTGCGGCGCCTCTGGGGGTTGTTGCGTCGGAGAGTGGGGGGTCCCATAACCGCTGTTTTCTTCTCCCTCGTACGCGGGCGGCTTTCCAACGTAAGGCGGAGGCGGCATGAACTCAGCCTGCGGCGGCGGACCCGGCGGAGGCTGGTACGCTCCCGCACCAGGTCCCCAGGAGGACTGGTGGTTCATCGCGGGATACGCACTCTGGTTCGGGTTGGGATAGTGCGTGCCGAGGGGGACGGTGTTGCCCTGCCATGGCAGCATAGGCACTCCCCGTCTGCGGCGGCGGAAGAAGAGGCTGACGAAGATGAAGAACAAGATCGCGAAACAGATCGCTGAAGCAGAAGTCAGGGTCATTTCAGAGATGGGCGTGCAAGGAACTCACCGACCACTATTCCCGCGATTGCCCGGCCTGATGTGCCGCCTCCGTCATAGTAGCCGTACTGCGCTGCTGCGTAGGCAGGCAGGGATAGGAGCGTAAGCCATCGGAAGGGCGTGATGATCGGTGTCATGGGTGTTCGTGAGGACATGGGTGCGGATGGTGGTGGTATGAGAGCAAGAGTGAGGTGCGCAAACCGCTGGGCAGCCTCAGGCCAGGCATTTCTGGAGGACGGCGAAGAGCCGAGCCGAGTGCGGGATGGAGTGCGCACACCAGCCCAGCCAGAGCCGCCGCTGTCAGCCTCCGCCACCTGTGACCGCACCCGCGTCACGCAATGATGTCATCCCCTATGCTGCTACGCCGGGCGCCTGTCCTGAAGAGACGCACTCCACCACCGCAGTGAGCCTCGCTGTGCATGGACGCGGGGCTTGCAAGGCACTCCCGCCCCATGCACACCGTCATCCATATCGTTTTTCACAGCTTCCACTCCAATTTGAAGAACCGATCAGCTATATAACCGCGGATAGCTCCAGACCGTCCCAACTTTTCGACGCCCTTCTCTCTCCACCCACATCCCGCAAACCATGTCCGTTCTACCAATTGGCCTCGTGGCGCTCTCGTTCGCCCTGTCGGCGGTTGCCCGGACAACAACAACAGGGAGCCGTGCAGGGAGGCTCGCAAGAGGCGCTATCGCTGGCATTGTCGTCGGTACGCTACCTTCAAAATGTCCGACCTAAGTAGTAGCGAAACTCATACTCGTCTCGCAGGCGCTGTCGTGCTCGTGCTGGTGTTCTTCCTCTGCTGTTGTCTCATATTCCGCCGCCGTCGCGCACGGAACACCGGCGGGCTCGCCCAACCGGGAACGTTCGGGTGGGGCAACGGCGCAGTAAACGGACCTGCGGCGCAAGAGGCTGGATACGCTTCAGGCCCGGGACACAACAACGGACCGGGATGGAACGCGGGCGGTCAGCCAGCGTACGGCGGCGGCACGTACCAGCCCCCGCAAGGCCCCCCGCCGGGCGTGGCTCCCCAGCCAGGAGGCTTTGCACCTGTGAGCTGATAGTCGCTCGTAATGCACCGCCGAGTGCTGACCGGTATCGTCAGTCCCCTGGTGCCCCTCCCGCCGCACACACCCGCCCGTACTAAGCGGAAGCACCTTTATACCCGTGGCGTTTTAGGACCGCCCATGTATACGAACGGGCGCACCTTTTTCTCTCCTTCGGACAGACAGACGATATCGACCTCTTCTCGTTACGAGCCGTCGATAACCTTGTGTATCATTAGTATCAACCATGTATTTTAGTATGACACTGTCAAAGTAATGTGTTCCCACAGGCAGATGGAGTCCGCAGATGCGTCGGACGGGTCCACGAAAGATGGAAACAAACAACCCCATCCCGCGTCGCCTAGCACAAAGGTGCGACATCGTTCCTGTCGTAAATGTCTCATCGAGGTGTGTCGAAATCGCGTACCTGCGTCGAAGTGGGATAGAGCGCGCACGACCGTTGGCAGGGATAACCCGAAGTGCATCTTCAAAAAAACACTGCTTCCATGGACGCGCGCAGCTGACCATGTCCGCGTCGTCTGCGTGCCGCCACTCGGAGCCTCTTCTCTTGTCCATCGGACAACGTCCGCCAGCTATATGTTAGCGATCGTGCTCGTACTACAGCAAGTACTAGTGTAATGTCGTAAATGATCTGAAAATACGCTACCGCACTTCTCCGGCGGCGTGCCACAGCGGAGTTTGAAAACAAGAGCGAACCGTCGTGTTGCTCGCTGGAACTCGTCCAAGTTCTCCGGGGCAGTTGTACAAACGGTGAGCATGAGTTTCTCGTTCGATATCCTGTAAATGGTGGCTGTCTGACACATCATGTAGGCCAGCATGTCCTCCTCCAATCTCGCCCGTAGCGGGATGACCACGCGGCGAAGAAGAGGCTCGTCAACCCTCTGGTAGCTCGCTCGGCGCTCGCAATCATCCTACGCGAACGCGACGGACAGTCGATCGCCCGGTGCGTTGAGCGAGCGAGTGACTCTAGCGCATTCTTGTCGCTAACGGCCAGTCTAGCCTTTCGCGATTGCGAATGAGAAAGACGAGGGTAATCTGACAGCTAAGCGCCGAAGACTCTGAGTGACATTCTGTAAACGCAGCACTCGCTTTCTGGCCTCTACGGTTCGGGAGTGGCCTTCAGATAACGCACGCATGTGAACAAGAAGGCGCGTTATGGTCCGCGAGAGCGATGCAAGCCGTGCATGATGGAAAGACAAGAGCGAGGAAAGGTTAGGAAGAAAGAGTCTAGAGTTGGGATCGGACAGCCACTAATTGCCATCAACACCACCTCGTTCTCATCCATTCCACCCCCTCTGACCCGCCGCCACCGCCGCCCTATATCTGCGCCCCGACCCCGGCGAGCCGTCCTTCATCCCTTGGACCTCCTCGGATAGATCTCTTGCCTCCAACCGGCCGTCACCTCCGCACGCACAAGGCTAAGCTCGCAAGCCTCACATTCTTTAACACACAGCCTATCTCGTCATGTTTTCACTATCCCGTCTCCTCCTCGTCGCCTTCCTCGCCGCCCCGGCCGCGCTCGTTGCCGGCACTCCGAATCCCGAGCCCGTCGCCCCCACGCGCGTCCACCGCTACGCCCCGGTCGAGGACACCAGCTCGGGTTACAACCCCACTGAGATCGTCCCCCGCGCCCTCGCGCACAACCCCGTGGACGCGCGCGCGCTGACCAACGGCCAACGCCTCGCGCGCGGCCTCCCGCCGCGCAGCCCCGCGCAGAACACGCGTCGTCGTGCGCTCGCCGCGCGCCAGTCCCCCACGCCCTGCGTACTGGTCCAGGCGACTGGAACTATCCAGGTCACGGACACCGCACAGGGGTCCGTCCTCGGATGGGTGTCTAGCGCAGCGAACGGGTATGGCGAGTATGGCCTGACGGGAGACGTGTTGAGTGCACTTTCCGTTGTGCTCAACCTATGCGACTCGAACAGCTCGCCCTTTGACATCACGACCGCTGTGCGTTCATCCTTTTTTTCACTGATTGGATTGTATACTGAGAGTATCGTTCGATTAGAATGGGCTGTCGGCTTACCCGTACTTCGGCGGTGTCGTTGGCTTCTCGAGCTCAGGTGATGACCTCCATTCAGGGTCATTCAACTACGTCTACATCGCGGGCACTTCTCAAGGTACGTTTACATCCCGCATACTTGCTCTTGTACGCTTTCTAACCCAGTCACCCCACTTCGTAGTCTCGCGCGGTCCTGCGCAGAGCGGCTCGAACGTATTCACCGCTGCGTCGGGCACGCGCAAGGACATCGAGTCTGCTGTGTGGACACTCAGCGGCACCAACGCGCTCGCGTTCAACTGGGTGAATAACGATGGATCCACAGCCCCGGGCACCCTTGTGTATGTTGCGAGCGCCAACGCGTTTGCATACACGGGCGACCTCGCCGTATTCCGCGTCCGATTCAGCCCTGGGAACGCAGTGGTAAGTTGGCCTCAGTCATGTTTTGGTAGCACCCATCTGACACGCTTTGCAGACGTTCACGTTCTTCGCCGATCCCATGTAAATGCGCGCACCGGATTGAGGACGACCGCACGCACGATCCGCCGAATGGTGTTCACCGCATCTCTCGCGCACGTCCCCCACATGCAGTCCGCCGATGTGGAGCGGCAGAGCGTAAGAAACAAGTAACAAGAACATGATTGCGGGGGATATTTTACAGTGAGACATAGGAGAAGTCAATCAGCCCATGTATTGCAATGTCTCCACCTGCTTGAATGCAAGGGGTTAGCAAAGATATTGCACAAGTATATCAAACGTGCACCGACCGCCTTTTCAAACGGCCGTCAAGTATTCGGGAAGGATCGGGGGTCGACCCGACTCATTGTAGAACGTTTGCACGTAGAATGCGATGATTTCGCGCTCGCGCTCCTCGATGAGTTCCGCGGACAAGTTGATGGCTATCGGCATGGTCCCGTGAATTGCGTGCGGGCAGCGTGGCCATCGAGAGAGTACTTAATACGGAGTGAAGCCACTCATCCATGGTAAGCGTTTTCGCAGGACACAACGAGGCTCTGAATCTAAGCTTTTCTGAGCGCTCCGTAGATGCCCCATCGAAGGAGATCTGCGTCCTGGAGCTCGGCGCGAGACCGCTTCGGATGAGGAGCGAGGCTATCATTTAGGCTTAACCCGCACGAGACATGCTTTCACCTCGAGTTTCGCCGCGCCTCGTGCATTGTGGCCACAACGAGCGGTACGCTATGCTCCTGCCCTGAGGGGCATGAGGCTCTCTTCCACCAATCCTCCTCGCTCAACCATCATGACCACTGAGATATTCACGCCCGGTGCGGTCTACACTCTCTTCAATGGGCACTTTGGTACTGTTATGGAGTTCTATCCTTCCAATGGTCTCGTCCAGGCTGGAACCTTCGCCAATAAGTCGTGTCAACAGGTAGCCTGAGATCTCAGCCGCAGGATATCGCTCATCGCCCTAATTGACTTGACACATGATTTTTAGTGGGAATTTATACCTGTCAAAGATGGCTTCATCATACGCTGCTCACGCAGGGGCGACGACGGGAGCAGAGTATATCTAAGCTTCGAAGGGGACTTATGGGGCGGCCAGGCGTTGCGAGCGGGCTCTATTCCAATGGTCTGGCACGTCGCTCAGGACGGGGACTCGGACATGGTTCGGTGAGTCACTCCCTGCACTTGTCCTGCTTGTCAATGTCTGCTATGCTACGGCGTTCTATGCTGACCGTGATGAGCTGTTCTGGCAGCCTCTATTTCTCGAGCAAGTTCTGTGTCGATCTTGACACCAGCGGAAAAAGCAGGGTACCTATCATCGCAACGTGGTCTAACGAGCATGTCTCTGACTGTATCTGGTTGATTTCTGTGTGTCTACTCTAGATACAGCTGTGGCCTTTCAGATCGGACCTCAAGAGCGAGCTTTGGTACCCGAGCCGCTGTGACTTGAACTCCTTCTTACAAGAACCCGTCGTCAAGGCTCATGAGGAATCACCGCACGAGCAAACGACAAACGATGCTCCACCCGACATTGGGCCACGAGGGGTCCCTGGACCCGGGGCGCTGGTGCTGGTGAATGTCCAGTCGGACAGCGTTCTCGCCCTCGCAAGCGAGTCCAGCGTCGGCAAGCCGGTTGAGTGCAAGTGTTACTCCCGGGCCACCACACACAAGGAGCGCTCAGAGCAACTGGTATGTGGCGAGCATCACCTCAGAGATCGCCGAGCACGCCCATCTGACACATTTTTCTCGCACTTAGTGGACGTTCATACCTAGCGGAGCCGGATTTATTGTGCAGTCTGGGGCGCTGACGGCGGACGGGCAGCCGCTGTATCTCACAATCGAGGGCACTACAGTGGCGGGTGCTGCTTTAGTCGCAAAGCCGTACCCGGTCTCGTGGGAGGTTCGGTGCTACGAACTGGATAAAACCAAGACTATAAGCTATCGGTAAGTGCTGGCATTCTTTTACAGCTATCTACGAGTGTAACTGACTGCTTCATCGCACACAGGGTGTACTGGCCGGGCACCGATCTGGTCCTGTCTCCGGCAACAGAAGGCAAGAGGGTGGACGGAACAGTGGTGGGTCTTAGTGAGCATCTAGGGCGGCGCGTCGATAATACTAACACCCACGAATCGATGTGTCAGGTCCGGCTGGAGCGGTGTCGTATCGATGGCGTGCACGAGCTCTGGCAGGCTGCTCTTCCATGAACAATATTCGTTTGTACATTAAGTTGTGTCAGCTTGCGGATCATACGGATCTCACTACGCACAATCGATTCGATATTTTCTATCATGCATTGTTTATGATATGTTGTCGGTGATACCGGATTGCATCAATCACGTCTCATACATAAACGCTCAACGGCAGATGCACAGGTCTCGGAGCAAATCAGAGAGGGCCTAGGAAGAGACAGTCTTGCAGAGTGAGACACAGGGGGGCTCGTATATCGGGAAAGAGAGAGTGAGAGCGCAGACGGCGCTCGAGCAGGGAGACGCGTAGGCAGGACTCTGTCTGGCGAGCGACGAGAGGCCTTCCCCGCAGTACGTGGACAGTGAGAAGAATTTGACTGCGCGGAGAAAGTCGCGCTGAGAGTATTTGTCAATGGCGATGCGTCTGGAGTGATTTGACGCGGTCGACGCATCCCCGTGGCGGCGAGACTAGAGAGATCAATCAGGCTCGTACACTGCGAGGCGGTGAACAGGTCCCGAAGGTGAACAGAACCCTATTATGAGAGAAGCCCGGACTTTTCAAAGACACCCTCAAAATTATCCTCGGTCGCAGTAGTACTAGCCGGTAACGTTGGGCTGCACGAGGTCCGGATTAGTGGAGGGGAGACCGAGGGAAGAGGATTTAGAGAGGGAAGAATATTGAAAGAGGCACGCACGCGTCCCCATCCTAATCTTATTCCTGCACTTGCTTCGCGCCCGCCACTTGAACTGCTCCCGTACCTCTTTCCTCCGCCTCGCATACCGATACGCCAAAAACTAAGCCCTGCACACCAGTCAGCGCGCCTCCAGTACGTTCATTTTGCGCCACCCAATCTATCCTATAACGTCCTCCATGCTCATCGAACACCTACAGGCCCGCGATCTGTTTCCGGGATCCTGCCATAATCAATCGTCCTCTCATCCTTCATGGAGTCCTGCCGCTTTCCTATCGAACTCTGCGAGGCTGTGATGAATGCACTTCCGGATTGCTACGAGTATCTGGGCCGCCCGCCTGAGCTTCTGAGTTCCTTCAGTACCTGGAGGTCGCAACAGGCACTGTGCGCCGCGTGCGCTCTGACCTGTCGCGCATGGCGCATGCGGGGACAGCACCTCCTCTCAACATTCCCTCATGTCTTCAACGATACACGTCTCGCCCGTTTTACTGCGACCGTCCAAAAATCTCCAAACATCACCATTACCGGACTCACGCTAGGGGATTTCTACCGACAATCTAGAGATTTTGACGCCAGCAAGGCGAGCTGGCTCCTCATGCACCCTTACCTTCGCTTGCAGCACTTGCGATGTATCAACGTCGACTTTGACCGCGGACCCCCTCTTCGAGTCCTCCGCATGCGTCTACCATTCTTCGCTGGCATAACGACCCTGCGACTGTGCTATTGTACCTTTCAGTCCTTGAGGGCGATGCTGGCAGCTGTGTGGGCCTGCCCGAACCTTGCTGTGCTGATCATAAGGGACATTTCGTTCACGGCGGAGCGTCGCTCAACCGTCGTGGGGCTCCGGCAGATGTCCGCCGCTGTGGAGCATTTAAAAGTGTGCCAGAAGCTTACAAGCCTCCACGTGGACAAACACATCCTACTGGCAAGTTTAAACCCTCCGTAGCTCGTTTTCAGACCCCTCACGACCTACTGTTTACACAGGGAGCCTGGGACTATGATATTACCGGGTTGAGCGGTGTTGGCGGCATATTCGGATGTGCCATCACAGAGCTGTACTTCGTGGGTAAACCCGATTCTTGCAGTACGTGGAACGCAGTCCAGATGTGACGGATGGCTCACACTCTAAATTCTCTAGAGATATTTGGCAGCTTGTTGAGGGACTCATTCCCTGCTCTACACTCAGTCACCGTCATACCTGAATCAGGCCTCTGGTGGCCCGTTGATGACGACCGATCGCGGCCATGGCTCCACATAATAGCCATAGGTCGTCCGATCCCCGGGAGCCTGAAGACAATTTTCCTGCAACAACATCACCAGGATCAGACGGGGTACGAGAGGGATTTCTGCCAGAGGGCCGTGGGCACGAGCGAGGAGGTGGTCGGTTCAGAGAAGCGGCTGCCGGTGCTCTTGGCTGGGCTAGAGGCGCTCACGTTCCGATTCGAACGGTGCAAGGACCCGGGAAAGTGTGTCGCGTACGTCCGGCCCGTCTTGCATGGGATGCAGGATGTCCTTCGGTTTGAGTATGGTCCACTGACAACTTATGCATGGATCCCGTACACGGTACCGACTACGAAATGACTGTCCCCCAATGCCCAGATCTATTTCACTTTCGTTCCGTCGCTTTGATCCGTGTTGCTCTCTTCCACATCCTTGTTTACTCGATTCGTGCTCGACGACTTCACATCGGATAGATTTTGATATTTCCTTGCTTGATAGCGCGTTACAGACATATTTTTCATTGGTACCAACCAGTTGAACGAAAGAATTTGGAGCCACTTGGATGTCATACACCTATATAAATAGTAGACGATGCTGTATCCTGCAGGCACAAACGACGTAAGCATTCTCTAATCATGGGCAATGTTAAATGCATCATGTATTACTGGCAGACTGGAATATTTCATCCACAGGCGTAACCGGGGCGATACATGGACATGGCGCCTTGTACCTGTGCAGGATTCTAGAATAGGGCACTATTCTAATGCCGCAGCCGCCGCAGGATACTCGAGGTATGATAGTTTGAACGCACCATCAAACGATGAGGGCGCTGCAAAATTGCTATACTCCCTTATAGCGCTGCTACCGGTCTGGGAAGACGAGAGCACGTCAGCGAGCAGTGAAATCCGACGGTAAACATAGGCAGGCACTTACGTATCCGCTATGGTGTATGTGTGGTCTTGTTAACTCAACGCCACAGGCCCTTCGTGTCCGAACGAGGACATCTGGATGCCCAGGGTGTGGGCATGCCCGCGGATGGAGTCGCGGCCCTCGCGTCTACGACAGCAGCACTGCAGAGCGCCAAGGCGCACGGGTCGGACATCGTATGTACGGAGTAATAGCGAGCTCGCGGTCGGTTTCCCTCTGCTCGGGCATTCAGCTCCACTCACAACCTTGCTCGCAGCCGTGTTATACCGCGCTCTAGCGGGCTCGTCTGCCCTTGATATCAATGCAATCACGTCGGCGCGGTCTATATGTGCGTACCACGGGACACTGAAAGAGGAAACAGCTCACCGACTCCCGGACGCTCTTTGCAGGCGGCACACCCCCTGTCTATGATGTCTCCGCAGCGTCCTCCACAGCGACAGGACACAGGTGTGGGCCCACGATGGCGGATAAGGATGCATTTGCCTTGGCACCCCTCGGATCGAGCGTGACTCGGGGCCACGGAACCCGGAAGCGGGAGCGAATTAGTACGTTGCGGGTATGCTTTCGTATCCGTTGCGTGTGTCTCGTATCCGGCGCGTGCGATCCGCGCAAAGCATGCGTCCCTGCGTTCTGCGTCGCATCTCTCATTTAGTTCGAGTTATGAGCCGAGGCACTCACCATGAATGTGTGCGGCTTGGGTCTCGCAATCTGTCATCTTCGCCGTTCGTCCGAGCGTCGTCGTGGCGGCTAGGTAATCTGATTGATGGCTGGCGGACGACAGGCAAAGGCAGACGGCGAGCAGAGTGGCGACAGAGCGACAGAGCGACAGAGCTCCGGGCTGCCGTTGGTGCTAAGTGAGGACGGAGTATTCGAAGGTGGGTGAGAGCGCGTCGCGGTACATTACTAGGCCCTCTCGCGTACGGTTGGGGTCGCTGGAAAAGCGCAGGTGAACCGTGTGCAACGGCTTTGGCTCTGCGGAGAGTGTTTAAGGCTGCAGCTCGGACAAAGATCCTCCGGCACCAGCCTCTGCGCTTCCCACAGCTCTTCCACTCACCTTGGTTGTTTTCCGAGCCGCCATCAATGCCTCACCGTTCCCCAACGACATTGAGCTCTCCACGGGGAGGCAAAGGCCGTGATGGCAGTACTGCGACGATGGCGCGTATATTGACGATGCAAAGCCGATTATTCAAGCTTAAAGACTCTGTGAGTGGGTAAGTTCTCGGGCATCGCATTAAAGTTCGTATTATTCACTGTGGACAGTATCTCAAGGACTCCCTGCGAGAGAAAAGGCGAAATCTGGGCATAGTAGGCAAAAAGGAGAGGGCCTACCTCGGACGGCGTGTGAGTCGTAGTCGGGTAGGCCGGGCGAGTGATGAATCAACGACAGAGCTAGAGAGCAGAGGAACCAATATTGGCCCTCAAACTTAGCGCCCACATGCGAATCCCCTCCGATCCGTTCCGACGCAACGGCAATTGTAGTCTTCCGCGCCCTGCTCTCTTCTTTCCGCTAATACTCCTTCGAAGCCCTACATGGAGATACCGACGCTGTACGGAAACACACATGTGAATGTCACTGAGCTCGACGAGAACATGCCGTGGTTCGAGCACATGCACGAGTACGTAAACGTCAAATCCCGCTGTCTCGTCGACTACCACTCGGACCAGCAGGATTTCAAAGGGTCGCTCGAGGAGGCTTCAAAACATCTCTCAAACGGCAACACCTCGGAGCGCGTTGTTTCGCGCGCGATCACAGGCGATCCAGAGGCGATCTTGGATATTGCGCTTAGGTGGGTATGACGCGCTGATCCATCCCGGCTGGCGCGCTGAACACGCATCTGACAACTCTGAATTTTCTAGGTACCTGAGCGGATGCTGTATGCGCATGAAGAGTCCTGAAGGCGCGCTTACCGCTCTCGACTCGTTCCTCGATCCTGAGTGTACGGAGACACCATACGTGGGCGACACCATACCGCCCGCCCTCAAGGCGCAGGCGCACTCCTGTGCCGCCCTTGCGTACCACGAGAAAGTCTTCGCCACTCCCGCGGAGTGCGCCGAGATTGTAGTGCAAGAGCGGCGCTTCCAGCGGAAAGAAACGATGGAGCTGGGCGTCGGCGCGCCGGCGTTTGCGCACTTCGTCGTCGCGCTCGACCACGCCAACCAAAGTGTCCAGCTCGGCCTCGTCTCCCCCATCGTGCTGAGGCTCGGATTCATGATGCGCGACATCGGGACCTCGCTCGGGGTAGACCTCTCGCAGACAGTCCGCAGCAGGCGTTTCCGCCCGCTTTGGCGCGCGGTGGACCGGAGGTTGGAAGAGATATATGTCGAGGAGTGGAAGAAGCAGAGGAGGGTCGCAAGGGACCCTGCGGCGTATGTGTGTGCGGCGGAGGGATGTGGTATACGTGGGGAGAAGCGGCAAGCGCTGCGGTCATGTGCGGGGCGGTGTCCTCCTGGCTTGAAACCGCGCTACTGCAGCAAAAAGTGCCAGAAACAGGTGAGCTGATGCGAACATATACGCCCTTCCGTCGGCTGACGTTCTTCAGGATTGGTCGAGGCATAAATCTATCTGCAAGCCTGGCTATGTCGGGGAGTTGCCCTCCATCACGGGGCCGGCGGAATCCCTGGCTCGCGGTATCTTTGAGCTAGGGGATTCCGTGGATGGCGAGGATATGGAAAACACGTCTCCTCCAGTTGCGGGTCCCTTTACAAGCACCGCAGATGACAGGGACGAAATGCCGTTCAGACTACGCCCGGCTGGCCCGGGGCAGTTTATCGACATGCCGGCGCCCAACGCCCCCGGTGGTTCGATTCGCCTCACTTCGAACACACTTGATGCGGAAACGCTGCGGGTCATCCGCGAACGTGCTCGCATGCGTGCTCGAGGACAGGGTGCCGGCTGATCCGGATGACACCGATCTCGGTACGCTTCAAACTCCACATGCGGAAGCAGTAATCTGACTTGGGGCCGAACATAGTTCGGGGCAACTGCCCGTTCCTACCTCATCGACCGCGCTTGTAGTCGTCCTGGGCGTTGTCCGTGTAAGCGATTGGAGCACTGCGGGTGATGAGGGGGGAGGTAGACGTGCCTACGAGCGAAGCAGGCTGCACCTTGCCACGGAAGGCATGGGCACGCATGAGCACGAAGTGCAACGCGTCGCTCGTCCAGCGGAGAAGTACGGTATGTAGCGGCGACATAATGAAAGTTCGCGCTCCCGCCTGGCCATTCATACCTCCGGCATATTCTGAATATCAGTCTAGGTTTGGGACGGCGTTAATCACTCCTCACCTCTCGACGCCGCGTCCGTCGGCATCGCTCCATCCTCCGGTGCTTCGTTGCGATCGAGGCTGCGAGGAATGTTCCTTTCGCGCTCCGCTCGACGTCGTGGGGGAACCACGCAACGGCCGCGGGTTGGCGGGCATCTGGCTGGACACCGTTGTGCCATCCACAGAGCGTTTTGGATCACTCCGATACCACGATTATACCGCCGCCTGCCGGGAGTCGACGTTCCGGTGTGCGAAGTGCAAGCAATGAGCAACGAAGCTGCACACGCACGGTACGCGAGTATAGTTCAGCGACTGGCAACACGGCGGCTCTATATGGGAGCTAGGCTCTCATACACCGCGCGCGTATGAAAGCGCCGACGCCCAAATGTGAATTCGTCGACTACTTAGGACGCCGCAGTGTCGTCGCTGAACGCTGAAATGGGGTTAGTCTTCTCGATGGAGAATAGTCGGCTCCGGTGTTGTCGTGAGGAGGGTACTACTGCTCTTGTCTCGTACAGAGAAAGCTTATTCAGTGCTGGGCGCACCGCCAATACTTGCTCATATATACTGGCCCCATGGAAGCAACCTCACCCCGTCGGCAGCACTACACCATCCACATCGCCGCAATCCAATCTCGCTCGTCCGAAATGGTCGCCTCAAAGATGACATACGGTGCGTCCATGATATGCTCTAGGAGTGGTGTCGTTTTGATACTAAGAACCATGATCTTAGTGCGCCTGGGCAACTCAGGGCTGAAGGTCTCGCGAATTATACTCGGTTGCGGGTCGTACGGAAGTTCAGAGTGGGACAGCTGGGTCCTGGGGGAGGAGGAAGCTTTCAAGCACATCAAGTTCGCGTGAGCAGCAGCGCAGCCAAAATGGCGGAGTGGACGTTGATGTGGCGAATGCAGGTTCGATCACGGCATCACTACATTCGATACCGCGAACGTGAGTGTTCCAGCGTAATGTTCGCTGCCCAGATGCTAACCTTCGACAGTCGTACTCGAACGGCCTCTCAGAGATCATCCTAGGAAAGGCGATCAAGGAATTCAATCTTCCTCGCGAGGAGCTCGTGATCATGGCCAAGGTAAGTCAGAGTCTCCGGGATCGAATATTGGCGGCCGGTCGCTCATGTATAACAGGTCGGGAGGCCCGTGGCCCCGGAGGTTCCGTTCAACTTTCTTCTTCAAAAGAAGAAGCCCGAGGACATCGGGATCATCAACCAATACGGGTTGACCCGCAAGGTATGCAGACTCTCTTATACGCCTTAGGATGAGCGCTCATCGCGCTGGTAGCACATTTTCGACTCTGTCAAGGCCAGTCTTGCGCGCCTGCAGCTCGACTACATCGATGTGCTTCAGTGTGAGTCAATCGACGCCCACTTTCAGTTAGGAAGAGTACTGAGCAGTCGAACGTAGGTCATCGCTTCGATTACAACACCCCGATCGAGGAGACTATGCAAGCTCTTCACGAGGTCGTCAAAGCAGGCTATGTCCGTTACATCGGGATGAGCTCATGCTGGGCCTTCCAATGTGAATAATCTCGTGCCTCTCGTGTAGTTTGCATGCTTATTCTCCACTCAGTCCAACAGATGCAGAGTAAGCGGTGGCGAATGGTGTCCGCTTTAGTAGCACGTTTCTCACGACACTACGCACAGACTACGCGATCACGCACAATCTGACGCCGTTCATATCGATGCAGAACCACTATAGCCTCCTCTACCGCGAAGAGGAGCGCGAGATGTACCCTACGCTCAAGCTCTTCGGTGTGGGCTCTGTTCCCTGGTCGCCCCTTAGCCGTGGTCTCTTGACGCGCCCTTTGGGCACCGGGTCCAAACGAGGGGACAGCGATTGGTACGCAGTGACATCCTTATACCTTCCTAGGTCTTTGTGTCTCCGCTGACGATACTCGTCGTTCAGGGCCATCAACGATTTCAAGAACGATACGACTGCAACCATCGTCGGCTGGTGCGTCGCGTTCTCATTTCGGACGTATAGCCGTTCGGGCTGATGTTCGAACTCGTAGCGTCGAGGATATCGCCAAGAAGAGAGGGATCAGCATGGCGCAGGTCGCAATTGCCTGGGTACTCTCGAAGTCGGGCGTCTCCGCCCCGATCGTGGGCTCTACGAGCCTCGCCAACCTCGAGGACATCATCAGTGAATCCCGGTCATCGCTTCATGTCTCCAATATGTGACCTGACTGTGCTGCGCAGACGGTGTCGAGTTGAAACTCACTGAGGAGGAAATCAAGGCCCTCGAGGCGCCATACAAGCCTGTGCCCGTATACGGCCACTTCTGAAGAGGCAACCGGTGTTCCGCGTCCACTTCAACACAATACGTTCTATGCCGCCCTGCTGTATTCCTAGAATGTCTTTTCCGCAACGCCGAGCGGGCTGATGCCGACCCGGACGAACGGCCGGCGATTCGACGTGTAGATGACACAGTAGCGGGACGAGAACCAGAGCGCCACATTCGGGCGTGTAGTGCGATTGTCAGTGAATGTGTTTTGATTGTCGGCATCTATTCACGAAGCGACGACTTCGTGGCTTCTAGCTCTGGCGTGTGCGGGCTGATCTGGAGGGACCCTCTCGTACATCCAAAGCAGGAATGTCGAAGACGTGTGCCGGTACTGGAGAGCCATGCCAACGAGCGACGCCTAGCATTTCATCGAGAATGGGCAGCTGCTTCGACATCTTCGGCATCCTGGTGGTCTTCACCGAGTTGGAAGAACACAAGGGCGCCCGCCTTGTCTGTGATTACAGGCGCCTTTCGAACGGAACCGGCTTTGCATACCGTCTTATGCGCCGGCCAGTCCTACGATACAGTTAGCAATGTCTTAGAGACAATATTGGGTCGAGCCCACTAACCTTCTTCTGGCACGTTTTGCTGCAGTAGTGCGGCTTGAGATCCCGCGGGCATCGCCCGGAACACGCCCTCAGCGTCGCGCCCCCCTCTGCACGTATCCCACACCCCTCCGCCGCGCAAACACAGCCACCTCGCCTTCCGTGCAATGCCTCCCGCCTTTTCCGCTCCTCATCGTAGATCTCCTCCAAGTTCGCCATCACAGCGCCCCATAAGAAGCGCACATGACGGGATCGCTTCATCTGACACGGCTCGACGCCGAGACTAGCACCCGTTTCACGCGCCGCGAACCCGATCTGCAGGACGACGGGCGAGACAAGGCCGAGCTTCGCGCTCAGGTTCGCATGCTGCACGGCGAAGATAAAGTAGGCGAGCGCGGGGTCCTCGTCGAGCGCGTTCTCCGTGCGCCGGAAGCGGCGCTCGTCCATGACCATGTCGAGGATCTGGTCGGACGAGGCCATCAGTTTCAGGAAGTGGGCGTTTGCTGCGCAGGAGTGGGCCTGGGCGAGGACGGCGGTGGACGCGAGGTGGCCGACGTAGCGTTCGGGGTCGCATTCGGGGTCGAGGAGCGCGTCGAGGACGTAGAGCGCGCCCTCGGGACATTGTCCTGTCGTGCTGCACCCGCTCAAGTACCTTGAGAGGTCGGCCTGAGCACCGCTTGGCCACGTTGGAGACAAAGCCGGGGGTGAACCCACCTGATCGCCATGTTCAGTAGGGCCTCTGGGTCTCCCTTTCTCGTGCTATTGATGTTGGTCTCCACAGCCCACTTCCTCAGATGCCGCGACGCGTTCTGCGATGCTTGAGCCTCCTCGTGGGGGGTGTGATAGTCGTACAGGCACGAAATCTGCGCTGCCATGTACTGATCCACGCTTCGACAGAAGTGCCGATTCGTGTTTAGCGGATACTCGTGGGTTGAACTGTGTAGAGGCGTCATCTTGGGGGATGGCGTGGCAATTGGCGACGGGACCTGCAAACTCGCAAGGGGGAGCAGCGTCTGAGTGAGGCGGAATGAGAAGATGGTGGGAGATGAAAAGGAAGGGGAGTGCGTGCGCACCTATAGGGGGCCGTCCATGCGCGTGAAGGATCACTTCACTCAAAAACGCCACTCGTGGTGAAGCCGGTGACGTGAACAACAATAGTAGTGCTATGCCCTTACTGCTGCCATGGCTTTGGCGTGGTGGCTGCTAGGCCCACCGGCTGATTCGCGTCCTGATCTTGTAGTTGTGCTCCCGCGAGCAGAACTCGAGGGTTCCCGCGCACTGGTGTGCTAGGACACGCAAGTATAGTGGTTAGCTGGGGTCGCCGGGGTAGTACTTTTACGGAGTACTGACAGGCTACGTCGATCGCGATCTCGAACGGTCTCCGACCATTCGTTTCGACAGAAGTAGGCGCTTGGCTCTGGAGGAGATGTTGAAGATCGAAGTCAAACGATGCGTAGTGGGCGCGAAGCTCTTTCAGCCACTGCTCAAGCGGTGCATGGTGGTCATACCAGACGCCCACTCGGCGGATAATTCCGGCTTCGGACATGCGGCCGGAGACGACAGCGGCGCCCACGCCGGCGCTTGTTCCCTCGACGTGCATCACGACGACCACGTCCTCAACGCGACTTGCGTTTCCGCAGAACTTATTCCAGGTGAGGCGTATGATAGGTATGCGACCATGGTGCTTCAGTGTGCTCATCATCGTGTTCATCTTGCTCATCGTGCAGCCCGCCGATGTCCCCGCGATGGCTGGCGGCGCCATCCTCGAGGCATCCCTTGCGCGTCGTCTTGACTTCGGCTTCTCAGCTACCTGTCATCTATGTCCCCTCCGGGATCCGCTGGCCTCGCGTCTCATAACGCCGCCAGATTTTTTTCTGCCTCCTCGACCCGCCTGCCTGGACGTTCTGAGATCTTTCACAGCTGCAGTCAAACTCGGAGCATCCTGACAATCCCCCTCCCCCTCGTATCTGGGACTCTCGCTGCTAGCAGACACTTTGCTAATCGCTCGCCATGAATTCATAGCCTTTTTGCGCTGCACGGTGAAATGCGGTATTGCCAATGTATTTCACAGGTACGTCCACATTTCTCGCGGGTATGCATCTCTTTTATGCCTGCCTAACTTTCCGTAGTCGTGCTTCTCTATCCGGGTAACACCCCTCTTGCGCAGGTTGGGTATCGTCTCAGCGGATGTCTGGTCTATACCCGTAAGCCAGCTGGAACCAGCTCACTTATTCTCCCCGGTAAGTGCTCACATTGTTAAATAAAGTTCTGCTGGGAGGAACCAGCTGCATCGCGTTTTGCACATGCGAGCAAATGCCAGAGCAGGCGATGGTGTCGTCTCGCATTGCTACAGGATATCCGTGGCTCACTCGCGTATTAAGGGTATCGCCCGATGACTTATGAGCGGCGATGGGATTGCACTCCACGATGGACTCAGCACGTCGACGAAATACTGTTGGCGCCTAGTTCATGGTACATGGGTGTACATCTGCAGGTGAGTGTCAAGCTCTGTGAATCATCACGCTCACACCACATGAACCTTAGATGATGCTGTGGCGGCCCTTGTCGTCGCGTGAGAGGTAAACTCGACATCTTCACGCACGTGCTGTTCCCCCGCTCTGGACCACGGTCAACGAAGTAGTATGACGTGTCAAAACATTCCTTTCCCTGAACATTATGTTCTATCTCACGCACACTCCTGTCATGGCGTCATACGGCGACCCAGCACACGCTCTACGACAGCAGGCTTCCCGATGTGCTCTTTGTTGCAAGCCCGGCCTCTATAATTTTCCTCTAGTATACCTATCGCCCTAGATGCAACCTCGTCAACTTCAAAACACTTTATAGGAGCGATAGTGCCGTTCACAGCTGATGCCTGTGTGCCTTGGGGCCAAGCCCCACGAATGCCCGACAAGGGATATTACGGTCCCTACGAACCTGATGCTGCTCCAGAAAACGCTCCAATGACAACCCGGCTCATCCTTCAACATTTTAGGCGTCGAGGTCTTGGTGGTGCGTCTTGCTTCATCAAGTAATTGAGGACTCGGATGCTAACCGTGATGGTCCTAGGGGTGGTCGATGCGCACCTGAAGGTGTATGACACGACGAACGTGCGCGTGGTCGATGCGTCGGTCATACCCATACAGCGCAGCGCGCACCCAAGCAGCGCAGTGTACGGTATCGCGCGCAGAGAAGGCGGCGATATCATCAAGGCTGCACAGATTGATTCAGAACGCCTCGCCATGAGCCTTGTTTCAAGCTGGGAGCCCCTCGCACCTGACGCATCCCAAGGTGTTCTTTCGCACTCAGGCTAGCAGTGGTCGTCTCTCGGAATATCATTGTTGACTGTATCCTAAATATTGTGTCTGAGGGGGAGTGTATCCGCGAGCAAGATCCATCCCCTGCGGATTCTCCCTCTCGAGAACGCGCAGCTACATACACATCACCACCATAGGCAGATCGGTATTAGTGAGTGCCCCGGCTCAGCGCACGTTCCCGCCGGATACTGATCGCCGCACCCGCGCGGACAATGATGACCAGTCCATCGGTCAATATGGGATTCTTCAAGCCAGAGCCAGAGGGCCCAGGGGCGTTGTCCTCGCTCGCACCTTGGTAGTCCGTCATCGTGGCTTTCCCTTTCTTAGCCCGAGGATGGTTCGTCCCACAACCACCCTGTAAGTCTGCGCAGTTTACTCGCGGTAAGCCGAGGTGCTTGGCGAAATCTGTATATGTATAATTCCTCGCTACCCATGACGACTAGCAGTGATAGCGCGAACGTGAATTGTACCCGCCAAACCATTTCGTACCGACGCTGATGTTAGATAGTCATATACCTGCGCGGCGGCGGTATGGAAGCTCTTTCGGATTCGGGAAGCCAAAGGTCCGCATAGTGACATGCACCCCGACGAAGGGCGGGGTTATCTGCTCCAAACCGCCACGATCAGCGTCTTGCTACCACCACTTCGCAGATGCACGATGCTACTCACACTCGGGACGGGCCCCAATCGCTTCCGCAAGACGTGGCACCACCAGTGCGCGTCGTTGTACGATGAGCTCTCTAGCACATGCACGCTCAGCGTGTGCAGGTTCGCGAGCCGCCCAGGTTGCCCGAAGAACGCCGTCGTGGGCTCCCCAAACAACGTGCTGACAGCGTCGAGGCAGGTCGTGCGATACGTGAACGCTAGAGTTCCGTCGGCGGCGGGGACGAGGCACGGGGCAATCCGGATGGTGATGGTGCGCATGCGGTCTGAACAGATGCGCCGCAGGATGTCGCGGAAACGGCCCGCGCAGTCTGTGAAGGGCCTGGTTTGGTGAGCTAAAGCACCTCTCGTGGAAGAGCGAATGTCGGCGGACAGCACCGAAAAGGAGAGTGTGAGATATATGCAATCGTATATATTTGCTATGATAGCACGCCATCAGCACAGGAGACGGTGATGAGAGGGCAGACCGGACGCCTACATACCCGAGGGCCAAGACATTTCAGGATAGCTCAGGTCGAGAGTTGTCACTGCGGCTCCTACAGTTTCCAGCACGGGAGGGAAGTTGTCTAGGCACCATAAGAAAGAATGGGTATACGAGAAACGAAGCACCCCCTGAACTTACCCAGACTGAGAGCATGTCAAGTCGGGTATCCACTCTCCTGTGTGAGGGCGCAACAAGCCTCCGACAGTCCTGTGGAGTCGTCTCCCTCGTCAACTTGATGAGCCCGAAAGTGAGCCGCCGTAGTAGCGGCAGCGATCGCACGAGCCTGACCATCTCCGCCGCGCTCGGGAAGACCACGTTCGATATGTTCAGCGCCCTGATGGTTCGCGCGTCGAGACACGCCAGCTGCCTCGTGACCCCAAAAGGGTACGTCGCCCAGTCCAGCTGGGCGAACCGAAGCTCCTGCAGGTTGTTCAGCTTGACGAGGAGGGACACGAGCGCGAGCAAGCCGTGTGCGTGCATGCGCGCGGGGGTGATGTGCAGCGTGCGTACGTCCGCAGTCCACCGCGGGTGCGCCGCGATCTCTTGCACGAAGCGCGTGACGCCGTCCTCGGTACGGAAGCGCACGTCGTGGAGGAGCACGAAGCGGCTCCGGGGTACCCAGGCCTTGCACGTCAGCGCGCACGCGAGGAGAGTGTGAGATTGGCGGAGTAGGAAGTAGTCGTTCGCACACTCGTCGATGATACGTTCACATAGCTCGACGGGGATGCGACAGTTTTCCATGGGATCGCTGACCTGTTCGCGGGGGATGTCGATGAACACCTGGGGGGGAGGGAGAGAGAGGGGGGACTTGTGTCTGATCCCTCGCGAGAACATGGTATCTAAGATGAGTGCAACTATAACCTCGTGTAGCATACCTGCGAACATTGATGTCGTCCGTACTGCGATGACAGGGCACAGGGTGGCGGTTGGCTGGTTAACTCGTGTCAAGTAAGCTTGAGATGGCGGCGTTGCAATTGAACACTCGCCTACTGCATCCGATCGTCAAGCCATATGTTCATCGTTGGAACTGTTGGTACCGCCTAGGCCACGCAGTAGACCAGAGCTCTTCCTGATGGTGAACCGTCCATCATCCCACACGTTATCGTCAGCGGGAGCAATGTAGCCCACAAGTGAGCGGGATATATCAAAACATTTGCGAGGATACCTGACATGATCGCGGGACGCTCGAGTGGACGGTTCAGGTGCATAGCCTTCTACATAGTGTTCTACAGTCTATGTCTATGAAAATTCAGTAGGGTGTGCGACGCCTGCAAAAGCCCAGAACAGAAAAGTTCACACCAAGTACAACAATCAGGCCCATCCGATCACATAGTGGACATAATGCACTTCCTCCCCGGCTCGAGCATCGTCCGCTTCGCATACGAACGCTTCATCCTCCAGGATACACAGCGTCCAGGCCGACTCGTCCCCGGAGATAGCGGACGTGGGTACTCGGGGGAAGACATCTTGTACGGTGCGCGACTCCAAGGCGTGGGTGGGCCGGAGGGGGATAAGGAGGTGGAAACGAGGAGAGGACGCGGCATCACAGCATCCCTCCACACGACTTGGCCGGCGAAGCAGCGCAGCCACCGTTTCCCGAATCCAACGTGCATGCGTGGCTTCGTAGATGATGTCTGCGCCGAATATGACATCAAACGGTTGGTCGAAAGGAGCACCAGAGGGAGGATGGCCATCGGCGGTCGGGGAGAATTCGGACCAGTCTAGAGCATGCGCAGAGGGAGAAACGAGGGTTAGGCCAGCGTTGAGTGCAATATTGCGAGCAAGGTTCTCCAGTACAGCAGAATGGTAGTCGGTCGCGACGACATCAACCCCGGCAGAATCGATGTCTACTTGAGAGCATCGTGCGGAGAGATACTTCGCGATGGCCAAGCTGACGAGTCCAGTTCCAGCGCCGAGTTCGAGTATGCGGGGGCCGCGCGCGATGGCGTCGTCGGAGAGTCCGAACCGCTCCGGGTTGTCCGCGATGATGTCGGCGAGGAGACACGCACCGCCCCATGTATGCGCGCCGACCGTGGCAGCGTCTTCCTCCACTGAAATCGGGATGTCGGTCAGCTGGACCTCAATGGGCGAGTGGAGGAGAGGGGACGCAAGGGGAAATCTCCGCGTAACGATTCCAGCAGCGGCGGAGCCAGCGCAGATTGCGAGGAGAGAGGCAGTGCGCTGGATGAGTTCATCCACTTTCTCGTCGAACCCTTCGTTGTCGTCGCCGGGCCGTTCGGACGTGTCCTGAAGAAGCGAAGCTTGCGCGACGAGGCTCGTGAGCCATCGAATGGCGTACGCCCTCTCGTGTTCGTCTGCGCGTAGGTGGGCCAACCCATCCCCATCGGCATCTCCATCGAGTGCGTCCTTCTCCTTACGGTCGACGCGACGACTTCCGCGCACGGGTGGGTTGTAGATCGTCCGGAGGTACCCGACCAGACATTCTAGGACCTCGACTGAGTGCTCGTGAATGCTCCGTATGGGCGGTAGACGAGCAGACGGAAGAGAAAGAAGGGTCATGCGAGAGAGGGAGACTCGAGAGACGAGTCGTGGTGGTCGATGGTCAGAAATGTTCGGCGCCTGCTTCAAACTGCTCCTCCGGTCCCGGACCGAGGCACCGGTAACCGGCGCTAAACAGTCCAGATCCCGATCGACGCGCTGCGTTTTGTCGGTTTCTTTGTTTCGTTCCTTCCACTGGCTGCAGATTTCCTGAGCCCGTGCCACATTTTACACAGTGTACATCCACACCGCTTCATTATGTTGCGTAATACTTGCGCCCAAATGCCTTGCGTTATGCAAAGGAAGGCAATCCTGCACGACTACGGGAATAGCCGCACCTCGCAGCCACCATGCCCAAGCCATCGTGACGTTCTGAAGCTCGCTTGACGAGGCACGGACGTAAGTACGCTTCCTTTCTCTACGGCGTGGCGTGTTCCCTGTGTTGCGCAGGCCACGTCAGCTCACCCTCTTACTTCTGGACTAGCACCATCTCAGAGTCCAACAGATCCCGCTACTGCCAATCCCTTCGCATTCCTGCCCAACATGCCAGTGTCCATGCAACACTCGGTAAACCTCCTGCCACGGCTATACGGAGACAAGCCATTTTACAAGAACATGGACAAGTACATCGCCGCACAGATTTCTTGCCTGTGGGACTACCACGTCAAGCACGACCTCGCCCAGGTCTCGCAGAACGCGTCGCAACATCTCACCGAGTGGGCTGGGGAGCGAATTATTGAGCGCGCGACAAATAAAGACCCGGAGGCTATCATCGACATGGCGATCAGGTATGATCCGCCTTCGCCTCTTCTGCTACAGACTCGAACGCTGACATCGGTCTTCCCAGATACCTGGGCGGGTGCGGCACGATGCGACAGAGCGCCGAAGGCGCGCTCTACGTCCTCGACTCGCTCCTAGATCCCAACTGCGACCGCGACCGCTACATGGGCTACCTCGCGCCCCCCGCCATTCTCGCCCAGGCGCACTCCTGCGCCGCGAACGCCCACTTCATCAAACTCACGGCATCCGCCGTCCAGGTCGCCGACATGCTCGTCGACGAGCGCCGCTTCCAGCGCCCACAGACGGCGCAGGCCAACAGCGGCGACCCCGCGCTCGCGTATCTCATCCTCGCCGTGCAGCACGCAAACGAGAGCGCGAGGCTCGGCCTCGTCTCGCCCATCGTCCTCAAGGTCGGGCTGACGGCGCGCGAGACGGGCGCTAATCTCGGCGTCGACATGGCGCAGATGGGGCGGTCGCGTTATATGCGCCATCTGTGGCGCGCAGTCACTGCGAGGCTGGAGGAGATATACGACGAGGAGCGGAAGAAGCAGAAGAAGGTGGAGGACAACCCGGACGGCTACGCATGTGCTGCGGAGGGATGTGGGATACGCTCGGAAGAGCGCGCGGCGCTGAGGGCGTGTGCGGGGAGATGCCCACGGGACCTGAAGCCCCACTATTGCAGTAAGGAATGCCAGACGAAGGTACGCCGTTTACATGGATCTCGTCGCTGCGAGATGGCTCAGTATATGACAGGATTGGTCGAGACATAAGGCGGTGTGCAAAGCCGGCTCCGCCGGCAAGGCGCCTATCATCACGGATAAGGCGAATGCACTCACGTTTTTCCAACTTGTCGAAGAGGAGGATGAGGAGAACAACGTTGATGCTATGGCGGAATGCGTAGACAAGGTCGACGCGGCTTCCGCCTCCAAAACAGACACTGTGGCTCGGACATATCCCGATGCTCCGCCAGGCCTGACGCGCATCATCGACATTCCTGGCCCGAACGCTCCATGGGAGTCAATTCAGATCAGCTCTAACACGCTGGAGCCGGAGGCCATGAAGGCGTTGCGTGAGAACATCTCTAAATTGACCGCGAATGACGCGGCGTCATGACGAGCTTCAAACTTGTGTAAGCATCTCGCCTCTGGTGACATGTAGACGCACTTACGAACGAATATGCTACAGATCCGTGCGCAGGCGTAACATGTGTACTTGTTAGTGGTGGTGTCGATGGACCATTAGCCTCACGCCATTTTGCCATCGATTGGTTACGGAACGAAAACAAGATCCTCGAGGGCGCCGTTCTCATCTTTGGGGCGTCCATGCATCCCGACAGCCCCGAGATGGCGTACGTCGGTCTCGTCGCGTGCTCCATCCAGACGGTGCAAGTGCACTCACTCGCATACCTCGACAAGCTCCGCGTCACACCCCGCAGAGCACGTCGCCATCATGAACGAAAAACGTCTGTCCTACAGCCTGTGCCCGGCCGCAGCGCGACGCGCTGCAGAGAGAGAGAGAATGACGCTGACGCGCCCGCGTAGGCCCGCGTTCGCGAAATCTGTCGCGGCGCTTCACCATGCGAACGAGAGCGTGAATCTCGGAAACGTCTCGCCCGCCGTGTTGCGGCTCGGTTTCATGACGCATGACATCGGATCGTCGAGGCTCGGCGCCGACTTACACAGATGGTTCTACCACTACTTGCACGATCTGAGCGGGTCGTTAGTTGAGATGATACATAATACACAAGAAATGGCCGACTACATAGATTACAGAGCTGCCATAAGACGTTCCACCTTTCCACGCATGCTGACCCCTTCGACCCTGCCCGATACGACAATCCCACGGCGCCTTCCTTTCAGCCACAACGCCCTGGACTAGACATGTATCATATCGCACCCGTCTGCCGTACCGCTACCGGCGTTTCCTTCGCTAGCGCTATCGAACCGTGTTCCCGGCTTCTCTTGCTCCCCCTCGTCGCAGGACGCGCCAACCAGGGATCCTTCCGGACCCATCGAAATAGACGCGCCCATGGAGCCTATGACTCTGGATGCGAACCGAAGCGTACCGCCGTCGTCCTCCGTCGGCATCGCGGAGTTTGAACGGAGAGATGCTTGGTTGGCCGCTTGTAAGTCGACCAGAAACCGGACGATCAGACTGACAACCAGCCTATGAGTCGCCGCATGATCGTGTTAGGGCTCATGGCACCTGGAGGTTTAGAACACTACTATGCTTACGGTTCTGTAATTGTACTGATGTAGCTAGCGTTGTCGAAACCCTCGAAAATCTGTTGCAAGGGTTTAACGGTTAATAATGAGCTTGTCGGTAACCCTACAGCGCCCAGGGGATCGTCCTCACCGAGAGAGCTGTAAGCGTGAGGTGGGTAGCATTGAGGAGCAATATGACTCTGGGTTGTGCATGTAGTTTAGAACGAAAGCGACAATACAGGAAGGTCTGCCGTACATGAAGTACACCGTTCCTGCGTGTTAAAACCCGTCAATTCTGATCAGAGCGATTGGAAAAGTGTAGCGGCTGACCGTTTTTGACGAGCACATTCCCCAAGGATGATGTTGACCCCCGAGCGCCGATTGTATGCTTCGTAAGCTGGGAGCGCCAAGTAACTGCGATGACAAGGATATCCTCGCACATAGAGCAGGAGCGGGATATGATGACAGCTGAGGGCACCTAGAATCAGCGGTCGCCGATGATTCACGTTATGTATATACACATACACCTGCATGTGAACGTTTAAATAATACACCGAGCACCCCCAAGAGTAGGAGAGCTCACAATTCAGACATATTGGGAGTCAAACCCGCAACACCGCCGCATCCAAACGGGGGAACGGAGATCCCGGTAAGGCCAGACGACAGTGCCCACTACGAGAGTATGTTCGGCATGTGTATTGCGCTTGCATGCAAAGTCGCTAGTAAGGTCACGCACCATGTTACTCGCAAAAGGGCCAAGCCCCAAGATGAACACAGCGGATGCCAATGCCCAGTTCATGTTGCTCAGCGCGAGGGCACGTAGACCGGAGAAAGCTGCACATTACACTATAGGTAAGCAGATGTCACCCTAGCATCAACTGCACAACGTACCAGCCCACGCGATATACTGGCTCACGCTGAAATAGGCTTGAACGTAGGCGAGGGGTGTGCAGCTAAAAGTGCAGCATATGCGATGTGTATTGAGCCGACTTGAACAGACGGAAGATCGTACCTCTTGGGGCCCAACCATAAGCACAATTTCTGAATACAGGAGAGAGGAGGTACGAACCTTATCGGAGAGCGGAGCATACGTCGCCGCCGTGAGGATTGTAAAACTCAAAAGGCCCAGGTAGCGCGTCGCAAAAAACAGCACTGTCGCACCCGTCCATTTGCGTCTCCAGAATAGCGTGACTTCTTGGTCCAGGGTGATCAGGTACTCATACCCATTGAGAACTGGTATCATGACGTGAGCAGGGCATGAAGCGGACGATGAATGAAGGACGGCTCACCTATTGGTACAATTCCATAAATCGCGTTTTTCCAGCTACGCGATGGATGAAAACGCGTTAAAAAGTGGGATTAGGACAGGATGACGGGTTATTGATAGCAGTGCGCTATGGGCAGCTTACAATGAATCCACATTAGCTAGATTGCCTAACTGATCTATCGCTGGGGTGATAGACATGAACGCGAAGGTGCGGAGTGGACTGCTAGCTAGCGTGTTTCGTCAGGTGGGAGATCAATGGGTACGGAGGCGACGCGTGAGTCACTTAGATTATATACGGGCTCCCCCGCTTCGCGATCAAGTCTCTCCTTTGAACTATCGCTGGCCCGTCGCAGAGAGTTCTTGGAGGTGCCAGGGTAAGTAGTACGGCCTCCAAACACATCGAGACGACTCACGCGAAGCAGTGGAATAGCCCACTTTATTCTTCAATCTGTCTGAGGATTAAGGCTCATCAAGAGAAGGATGATGGGATGAGAACATCAAGGTCGTGCCATTGGGCACGTCCATTGAACGCTGGATTGATCAAGGTTCAGTCCTCCGTACCAGCATCTAAGAGATACACTATCGATAGAAGTGCACGTCACCGTAACGAGAATCCATCCAACCGATCTAGAGCGATTGCATTCCGTGACTGTCGGCACGCGATGTCGCGCAACTTGTTTCATCTGTGCTTCGAATGTCCTGCGGACGCGCTGACCGTTACATCCTAGCCAAATCTGTCACCTATTGAGGTAACCATAGCGCGTTCAGGATGGGCCGAGGACCTGTGCATCGGTGATAAGGATGAACATCGACTTGGCGGTCGTTCAACCCTATAGTAGTAGGCTTTGATCCAGACTCACCCGTGGCAGTACAGTCTTCACTGCCAGTGAAACTTCAGCTGGGATCTCGTCGTCCAAAGTTATTCACTTGATGTTGATATCGATGGGGTGGCATGAAAACCTGAACGGGCCGTACAGTTTTGAGGATACCAGCGAGATAGCAAGTTGCGAGCGTCGACCTGAGACTGTGAATACTGGCCTCACCTCCGGATCCGCAGCGATGTAGAAGGATGTCGGCACCGCGGGTTACGTAACGACCTTCGGACAGGCGGATCACCGCCGCCGACGACTGGATGCAGTGCGCCGCGGCTCACTGCTGCTCACTCTCGCTCAGTACTCTCTTCGACCTCAGCAACGACAATACCTTCTGCGCCTCCTACCCCATCTTTTCCTTATGTCTGGACCCAGCACGCGCCTCGGTGAACGCGCATGCGTTACTACTGTCGAGCTTGATGGAAATACGCTGTTCTTTCCGGGCTTGGACATATACGTGGGCACAAGAGTCGCTTGCCTGTTCGACTACCTCGACAACACGGACTACAAGAAGGAGACCAAGTACAGCTCCAAGTATCTGTCTGAGAATCCCTCCGACAAAGTTATGGCTCGTGCCGCTGGAGGAGATCTGGAGGCGTTTGTGGAGGTTGCTATCAGGTAAGTCTATCTACCGGAGCACAACGACGAGTTTCAGCTGATTCATATCTCGCCACAGATATCTTAGCGGGTGCGGGATGAACAAGAGCCCGGAAGGTGCGCTCTACCAACTAGACGTTCTCACCAATCCCAACCACGGGCAGGGTCCCTATTTTGGCGACACCGCGCCGCGCGAGCTCAAAGCCAAAGCACACTCCTGCGCGGCTCAGGCGTATCTCAACAAGGTATTCATTCCCCCCGCTGAGCGCGCGAGCCTCGCCGCCGACGAGCGGCGCTTCACGCGTCGGGACTCGTTGCGGGTCGGCATCAACGAACCCGCGGCCAGGTTCACCAACTTCTCCAACGCCCTCGAACACGCGAACGAGAACGCGAAGCTGGGACTCGTCTCGCCTGCGGTCTTGACGGCTGGATTTCTGCTGCGCGACTTTGGCGACGCTGCGGGCATCGACTTGTCGCAGATGACGCGCAGCCGCCGCTTCGGCCCACTCTGGCAGACGGTCACGCGCAGGCTGGACGAGCTCTACGCGGAAGAGCGTATCAAGCAGATAAAGATTGCGAAGAACCCAGCTGCGTATGCATGTGCCGCTGAGGGATGCGGCATTCGCGCGGAGGAGCGGGCTGCGCTTCGGAAGTGTGCGGGTAGATGCCCACCGGACCTGAAGCCGCACTACTGCAGCCCGGAGTGCCAGAAGAAGGTGAGTGTCAAGACAACTAATCGTCCCATCGTCACGCTGACTGTAGTAGGATTGGCTGAGACACAAGGCCGTATGCAAGCCAGGTTCGAAGGGCAGGATACCTGGTGTCAGCGACCAGCCAAAAGCGGTCGCGCTGGGTTTGCTCGGTATCGAGGATACCTCCAACAACGGAGGGCCGTCCACAGCTGAAAGCACCGAGTACAAGCCCCAGTTGCACGCCCTTCCGCCAGGCCCTGCTCGCACGATCGACATCCCCACTCCTGGAACTTCTCGCGGCTACATCAGCGTCACGTCCAACACGCTGGAGGCCGGGATGATGAAGTACATCCGCGAGGAGATGATGAAGCCCGGAAACGAGCAGACCCCACCCTGAAACGAGTGTGCTTTCGAGCTGCAGTCTCGTATACATCTCTATCGTGAGCTTTGGTTCAATTTTTGTCCTTGATGTCTACCGCAAGTGTATCATTATCCGCTCATGTATGTATCATGTTTCTATTGTATCAAATATGTTCTGCCCTCAGCCATCTCCGGAGTTCCGCCGTCGCGATACACGATCACGTGTGCGTGCATCAAGTTCGCGCCACAGCTGCTCGTATGGTTGTCAAATATCCGCCTGCCGCACGATAACGAGGAAACTTGCATCCATCAGGGTACCATGGTCGACGAGAGTGTATCTAAGCTCGTAGGGTAATGCTCTGCCTCCAACAACCCCGTCATCTCCATTCTCTGGGCTGTGGCCCCTGTCTCGTGCGTGGCATGGAGTGAGCAGGGACAGCTGTTTCACATGCGAAACATTCTTGGTGACTATGAGTTAGACACCGTTCTGGGTACAGCTCTGCGACGGCGATCGAGAGCGCAAACTATAGAGGGCTAGCATCGGTACCGGGTTACGTACGCCCGGAAGCTATCTACCATGCCATTTATGTCGACAAGGGCGTCAGCCTAGTCGCTTCGCGCCTCGCCTTCCCCCTGTACCAACGACCATGAACACCGCAAAGCTCGGGGACGACATTCTCGCTGCGATCATTCCACACCTCTCCTCAGCCGATGCTCTTCTGTTTGGCGCAACATGCTCCTTCCTGCGCGCCATCGCCGTGCGCCATGCGGTTCGGGACGTTTCGTTCGACTCGGCCGAGCGCTTCACCAAGTTCAGCGCGTTCATGCTCGCCCGCCCTTCTCGCCTCCTCCAGCTGCGCAGACTCAGTCTCGGCGCTGGGATTGTCCGGCTTCCGACAGCGCTTTTTGACGCGCTAGACTGTATAGCGCAGCTCGTAGCACAGGCCTCCAAGCTCGAGCACCTGACGTTGCGCTGCGCGGAGCTGCTCGTGTCGTTCTGGCAGCCCCTCGGGGATGCAGTGGCCTCTCGTACCAGTATCACGTCGCTGGAACTCTCCACAATCGGCGTGGCAACTCAGAGCGCTATCCTCAACCTCAAGTGTGCCCCGATCCTTCAGGATCTCGCACTCGCCGAAGGGGACTATGTCCCCACGCACCTCGAGAATAGCACCATTCTGCTCCCTTCCCTACCTAGTCTACGCACCCTTACTCTCAGTAACCTCGTCAATATCCCTCTACGCGCCACACTTGCCAGCCGCACGCCGGCGCTCAAAAGCCTGCGGCTGCGCAGCCTCGAGTTCGTCGACGCGGACCCGGAGCCGGGGGAATGGTGGACCGCGCTGGAACTCATCCGAGGCGACATTCCGTCCCTCGTCTCCCTTCGCATCCCGCGCCCAGTCCGCTCGTTGACGATCGACGTGACACTGGAGAACGAGGAAGCGTGGGACCCCGCCTTGCTTCTCGACGTCTTCCAGAGGGCGTCTCCGACGTGCCTGTCCATCGGCCTACAGGCGAGCTTCCGGGAGCCATTCTGGCAGACCTACGTGTCCGCTCTACCAAGGTTGCGATATCTACGTCTCATCGTGGAGGCATCCGATCCCGGGGAGATGCACAACTGCACCGACTGGCTGGTGAGTCCTGTCGATTCAACTGTAACAGCACAAGTAGCGACATTGTCACTTAATTTTACAGGACAACATCTGCATGCCGGGAGCTCGGCCTCTGATTGGAGTTAGCGTGTATGTATGCGTATCTCCGGATGAACCCCGAGATGGCACCCTGACAGCTGAGCCGCTGCACATCCGAATCCGCGACGCCCTCTCCCGCGCTCTACCTACGGTCCGTCTATTCGGGTTTGCCGTCGGGTATAGCTCCAAAATGGATTACAAGTACGATTTCATGGAGCGGGACACATTTTCGTGGTGGCAGAGGGTTGAAGATTCGGGAGGAGAGAATCAGAATGTCGGGGATAGCGACGATTTGAATGGTGGTCCGGAGGAACCTCAGTGGCAGAGGTGTTTTGTCTTGCCAGGGGAGGAAAGGTGGTTCATGAGCGACTATTGAACACGACTAATAGATCATTGATATACTATACCGATCGCGACGTATCGATATGTTCTGTACTACAAGTATGCATCTCGGCGAACTTGAACACCTTCCTTTTTGGTCTGCACCAGTGGTGCCTTGGCGCTCGTGTTCGCGCGCGACGCGGCCGCGCTTGCGTTATGTAGACGACCACCATCTATGATTTCACCACGCGGCTCTTCAAGTTCTAGTGCTCGACCGCAGAATGTCTCTTATCCACGACATACAGTGCGACTTCGACAGACGAATCCTGCAGTCCGACATCCCTGCTTTTCCACTACACGTCCTGGTCCGATACGAAGTCTGCTACGACCACCGCGATACGCCTGAATTCGACGTGGTGCTAGAGGACGCGAAGCGGTGGCTGGAAGATTACCCGCGAGAACGGCTGCAGAAGGGGGTTGAAGAGGGCGACGCAGCGTGCATACTAGAGTCATGCCTCAGGTATGTGCTCGCGAAACGACCTTCATGTGCGCCACCCGCGGCGGACGCACTGACCACAGCCGGACAGGAAGATGTCGCAGTGCCAGCCAGGGACAGATAGACTAGAAGATACCCTGAGAAACATCGAACGCGTCTCCGGGCTCTGCGGCGAAGACGGCGAGCCTAACCGCCTCCCGCCCGTCATCAACAACACGGAGCTGCTCCAGAAACGCGCGCTCGCCGCCTGGGCGTGGTGGTTCTTCCAGATGTATTTCATCCGTGACCCGGGCGCGTCCCTCCACGCGATCACCGTTGAGCCCGCCATGCTGAATGCCGCGTGCTGCGCCAACGAGTGCGCGCACCAGTCCTTCCTCCCGCCCATCGTGCTGCGCATCGCCGCGTGGCTGTCGACCGTGAAGCCGCGGTTCGGCGTCGACGTGCGGGCGATGCCCAAGTTCAAGGAGTTTACGTTCCTCTGGGTCGCATATGCGATCTACCAGATGGTCGCAATAGAGCGGGAAGAGGATCACTTGGAGAAGGTCGCGAAGGCGCCGCACGAGTACAGGTGCGCCGCGGATGGGTGCGGTATCCAGGTGTACCATCGGGATGCGCTGCGCAAGTGCGGCGGGAACTGTCCGCCGGAGACGAAGCCGCGCTATTGCGGGTACTGGTGCCAGGTGAAGGTACGTTACCGTCGATTACTCGCTCTCTTTATCGCGGATGCTGACACTGAGCTTGCGCAGCATTGGTTTGTTCACCAATACGTCTGCAAGAAGGGCCTCGCCGTAGACCCCATCATCGACGACGACGGAGATCCCGACTGGATAGACGACGAAACGTACGACACAACCTACTGGGACCAGAACGGGATAGAGGACGAGCTTGTGTGGGGATACATCGAGCGCTGGGAGTTCTTCATTGACATCGAGCACCCGAGCCCGTACCGGAAGGGCGAAGTCTACCGGATTCGCTCAAAGACTTTGAGCCCGGAGTTCCTCAGGTCGTATCGGTGGTACTGGAAGCTACCCTCTGACGACCGTGTCTTTCAAGAACGGCGTACGTGTATCTTCGCATGTGTGTATCTGCGAGTCGGCGCACTGATTCTCTCCCAGGGCTCGGAGTACTGTAACGACCATACGCTCTCTCGTCCTTGGAGTATCATCCCCAGCCGGGTTCCGCGCGCCAAGTCTCATTACCTAGCTGAGTCTCGCATATCGCGTTGGTGAGCATCAGCTTCGTTGAATATGCACATGTTCGCTGATTGCTATAACAATCCTTGTAGATTCTACGCCGACGCCCACGGGTTCTTTGCCGTTCGTCTCACGCATGCAGGGCGCTCGACTTCTCGCCTTCGCTGTGCCGGAGACTGAGTGCAACGCGTCCGAGTCACCCTCATCCCCTCGCTCGCCACTGTACAAGCACGCGACGTCCCTTCACAGTTGAGACCGACTCTGAGGCCTGAGGCCTGAAACATGACGTCGGAAGTGACCTCGGGCTCCCGCTGAAAGCCGCGGTCGTACGTAGCTTGACCCGATCTCATTGCACACATCCCTGCGCGGATCCACAATACTACCGCTCGCTCGCTGGAGTCCCATTTGCTTTTACCCTTCGTCGAGTGCAGAGACTAAGCAAGCCATCACCAGCTTACCCAAGCGACATGCACTGTATGCCTAGGGTAATAGAGCACGGTGCGGCGTACGTCCTCGAAGAGTCGAGGTGTCGCTTTCTTGAGGCTATCTTCTCTCTCGTCCTACTGCCACTCAGCAGCGGCGTTACGACGGCCCCATCTGCACTCTCGCTTGATCAACATACCTTCCTTCTGGCGCTCCGACATGCGCCCTGACAGTGGTGCGTATACACGGGGGAACAGGGGCCGCCAAATCGGTATTCTGGGCCGCCTCAGATACACTTAATTGCAGCAGATGCTCGGGTTTCTACGGTCATCACCCACAGCGTACTAATCACTCCACATGTATCTAGTACAGTCTATGCGGTATAGAGATCAGTGCAGGCTGTACGCTCGGAAACCCTGTCCTGCACAAAGATGACATCGGCTGCAAAGGCAGAGGTACAGTGTATGGTATCAGTACCCGTGTAGTAACGCGAGTAAAGTCGACTGCATGCTACCAAGGGTCAAGCGTGGACAGCGCTGCTGGGTCCTTCGGCTCTGGCTTGGGGAATCCCATGTTCACCGGGGGGCTAATCATCACTTACACCCGGACATGCGGCGGTTAGCATTGTGCGGGGGCGTGGAGTGGGACACAACACTCACAATTCTCGACATACGCCCTCTGCTTCGAGGTCGCAGAGTCCTTGACGGGCAACCACAAACTGCGGTATGCGCTCAGGCAGTCGGGGCTCAGCGTGCGCGTTTTGAGGCGTATGATCTCGCCCTTCCGAAACGGGCTGTCATTGGGAATGTCGATGAAGATCTCCGGCCCTTCGCGGTCGGCAAAGAGGGGCCAGTCATGCTCCCAAGGCGGTAGTGGAGCCTCGTGGAAGTCGTCGATGTCGAGCCAGTCAGGGTCGCCGTCGTCGTCGATGATGTCGGTGTAGGTCGCAGAGTTCGTGGTGTCGGTCTTGCAGAATTCACGATGGATAATCCAGTGCTACAGGGATGGCGGGTTAGTGTAAGTTACTTCCGCCGTATAAGGGACTAATGCGGTGTACCTGACGTTGACAGAGTTCGCAGCAGTAGCGGGGCTTCTGCTCTGGCGGGCAGGGACCACCGCACCGCCGCAGCGCGCTCTTGTTAGTCGCTTGAATCTCGCAGCCGTCATTGGCGCACCGGTAGAGATGGGGTGCCTTGGCGACCCGCTTTAGCCGCGCGGTCTCCTTGAGCTGGAGACGCGAGAGATAGCTCGCGTGCGTTGCCCAGAGGTGGGTCAGCTCCTTGAACTTGTCGGTCTGGCGCACGTCGACGCCGTAGCGCGCCTTCGTCGTTGCTAGCCACGACGCGATGCGGAGAGCGACGGGAGGTATGAAGCCCAGGCCAACGCAGATGTTGGCAGCGGAGCACGCGTTGAACATTGCACTGCTCTTTGCGGTGAGGTTTACGTAGCTGAGCGTTCTCTGTTCTTCAGCCCAGCACGAGAAGAAGTTGATGTGGGCGTAGCAAGCGAGCCCTTGCAGCCGGAGTCGGGGGGTAATGCTCCTGATTTCTGGAAGTCGGAAATTGGCGATTTCTTCCTCGGTCTCTGGAGGAGGCTGGTCGACCCCGGCGAGTCTTTGAGAGGTGGGCAAAGGGTTCACGTTCTTTGCAACGAGGGGGTAGCATACGGCTAGAGATCTTGAGTGGCTTGTCAGTTATGGGAAACAAAAGACAACGAAATATCCGACGCACCTTAGGCAGTACTCAAGCATGAGTGGGCCGTCGTCGACACGTAGTCCATATCTCAGATTGGCCGGATGGATCTCCCTGACCGAGCGCTGGCCTTCGACGTACAGACGTCTAAAGTCGGGAGGGTGACGGTAGTCGTAGCAGATTTGCTCCTTGAGGGTGAGATATTCTTCAAATCCTTCGCATCTTCCAGGGTAGAGATCCCATGGAACGTTGCATAACAGTTCGAGCACAAGGGGCATGGCGGATGAGCTGTGAGCGGCTATGGGACTCGGTTGAGTGGTTGCGAGGTGAAGCAACAACTCCGATTCGAACGGGCAGCACTTGACGCATGCCGTCATGAACTTAAGCGGCCGGGCCGTGTCGTGTCTTCTGTACCAACGTTGATGAAGGCAGTCTGCTCAACGTGCACGCTCGATACCCTGATGGATAGATCGTAATACTAGTAAGTCCTATTCATCCTCATCCTACGTCTGTACAACACTCATACGTAGTGGTAGACGCCTCTTCAGAAGACTGGGGCAGCGAATCAGCCTGACAGGAACAAGAAGGCAGATTTTTGCAAGGAGAACATACCACGGAGGCTGTAGCCAGGGCCGTCGTCGCTGTCATTGAAGTTGGCCTGGCAGCGGACCTGGCCGGCCGAGGGGCACACGAACGTCACCGAGTTCGTGTTCGACTTCTTCGCGAACTGGACGGTGTCGTTCGGGTCCTGCAAAGCGATACGCATCACCTTGTCAGAACACGCCGTTTCCGCGCTGTGTATCGGAGACAGGACTTACGTCGACTTCCATGGAGCCAATGTGGTCCGGGTTGCCGGGCAGGCATCCGGTCGAGTCGGTCGCCTGGCACGTCCTGTTCGGCGCACGATCGCGAGTCAGCAATGACAGGTGAGTGAGCACGACGATCGAAGCTCACAGCGTAGCTCCAGGGCTGCAGGACACGTCGATGAACCACACGAAGTGGCCGGTGCCCAGGGGGCCCGACGAGCCGCACCCGGACTCGGTGTGGAGCACGGCCTCGTCGTTCCCGCCGTGAGCAGCGGGGGCGGGCGTAGCGGGAGAGGGGGTGGCCACGGCGAAGCCGATGGAGGCGGCGAGAGCGAGGATGGCGGAGAAGCGCATTGTGAGTACTGGAGGCTGCTGCTACTGGTAAATAGACCTTGTAGGCTGACGGTATGGGGTCGACCTACCCCTCTTTTATAGCTTTTCAGCTGTCTGCGTCAGTCCGATGCGACGAGCAAAGCTCGAGTAGGCGTCCAAACTGACAACCAAATCAAGACATGCAAGTCCACCACTCCTCGTACTGGTTTACTCGAGGCGCGCGCTGGAAGCGGGGGTCTTCCGGTCAGCAGCCCGTGGCGGAGCGCTCAACTTGAAGCCGGAGGCGCTTCTCTCTTCGACGATACAGAGAATCCCCGCCCGAGGTATCGATGCAGTGCAGTGCGATGCCACCAACAAACGTGCGGCCCCGGCTCGCCGCGATCACCGTAGGACTGGTGCTACACTTGTATGGCAAGCGCTGTAAGCTCGTTCACATAGCCAACAGTCACCCAAACTAACCGCATGAGCATGGTAGGTGCCGTGGAGGGGACTCGATACTCAGTTTTCGGACCAATGTCAGGCTCTATCCCACTCTGTGCGCTCGCTCACTCTTGTCCTACAGCACAGGACTTCCGGCGATTGTCACCTTGGCGTTCAGTTGCCTGATCTCCGGTTCGAACGTACCAAGGGTACTTCTCTAGAACATTCCAAGCACATCGATCTCCGATGTACGTGTTTCTCCGACTTTCTCTTCAAGAATCGGCATCGGCATCCCAACGATGTCTCCTCGTTTCGTTGATGCCAGGCGGCGAAGACTTCGTATGCCTGTGATCTATCAGGTGAAGCTATAGCGCTTCTACCGAACTTCGCTCATCATACACGATGTCGCTCTGCAAAGCACAGCGTCAAGCTCTTAAGAAGCGACAAGAACTGCATTGAGACCGGAAGCAGACCGAAAGACAGGTCGGCGCCCCATGTGCTTCGCAGCCACCGAACTTCTCGTTAAGAGTTTCAGTACACGCCTCCTCCATTCAGTACATTGGTTATGGTATCACTTGGCAGAACCGCTCAACAATGCCGTTGCCTCGACCGGGACATACTCGTGGTGAGGCGGCTCCCCCTGTGAGACTCGCGTGCTGCATTGCTTACTCAACAGGTAAAAGGCTGCAACAATCTAGCCAAAACAACCGCCCCTGATAATGCGGACCTCTGCGGTCAGGGCCCGCTCTCTTACCATGAGACGGATCAGGCATGCGGCCTACGCGAAGGCATGCAAACGCCACTGGGAACAACTCAGCGCTCAGCCCTCGACGCTGAACTTTCAACAAGTGCAACTCCACGTCTCGTGCCGGACACGTTCGACTACCGTGGTCCGATGTTCAGCTCTTCCCAACCCGATCTACGCGTGATGCGGGAAGGGCCTGAGTCGCACCCGACGGCGACGGACTTCATCTGTCAGTGTGCTTTGTAGCGCAATCCTGGTACGTCGTATGTCAACACTACTTTTTTGAGGCGGACTGCGTGTCCAATTGTTGACCACAGCCGACAGCCATTGCCAGTGCCCCTTCCAATAAAGTTTTCAACATGCATACATCGTAATCGCGGGCGACGTACATATCTTGAAGACGCGGTGCGACAAGTACATTCACTACTCGGAGACTACTCTCAAACGACCATCGACGACCGCAAACGTCACTTCCCTGTGGTCCCTAAAGCGCAGTACATCCACCATGCTCGGAAGCGCGGACGCGATGCGCTGGAAGCACGCGTTCCGATCCTCCTCCTCCGCGCCTCGCCTAATATCCACTTCGAGCCGCGACAGCTTCGGAAAGAGCTCGCGCGGCACGTGAAGGTCTGCTCGAGGCACTGCGGGGCCAAACAGAGCGGAGCAGCTCGAGTGTTGCCAGTCTCCGTTATAGGGGTAGCCGACGCGAATGGTGAGGGTGCGAAGGTGGGAGCGTTGGTACGGCAGCTGGCGTAGGTTCGTGGCGAGCGCGCAGATGAACGGCCGGTCGAAGCGTATATGGGGATCCACATAATAACCATTCATGGAAGTGCGGAGAACGGCAATATGCAGGTCCTGTAGCGCGGGGAAAGCCTGTACGAAGGGGGGGACGGTCTCTGCGCGATGTGTGAGGAACCATAGATACACCAAAGAATGCACCGCTGAGTACCTATGTCCGCGATTGAGAGGCATCCGATGCGCAGCGATGTCACTGCCGCCCCAAATGGCCGGCCGGGGACGTTTCGGAAGTTGGTCGAGAGAGGATACTCCTAATATTGAGTAGGTACACTGTCAAACTACGTGCGTAAAGAAGGGCACATGTATTCTACTCACGTATATACACAACGAGGTGAGCTTCGTGAGGATCTCATCGATGTGCTTGTGGTGAAACTCGTGCATCAATGTGATTGCGCTCGAGTCCGCGGGGTCGTACTGCACCTCGCAATCTTGCATGGCGAGATGGGAGAGTTGAGGGCACGCCCATAAGAGCTCGAAAAAGTCGCACACCGTGTGGAAGGTGCACCCCCTAAGGTAAATCTCCGTGAGAGCTGGGAATAGTGGCCTACGGATGCGATCCATGGTCGACATGAGCCCTGGGTGAGTGGAGAAATTCTCTGACGGCGCAATGCTAGGGGAACTTAGGCAGGGTAGCGGCTGTATGGACCAACTTCTCCCGCCAAGCTCCCGGATCCAATCCCCCAATAAGTGTAGCGAGGAGACCGCAGGTAGCGATCGATAGTCGGAGGTGTCGGAGATCATGGCCCGAAGGAAAGCTGCAAATTGACGAGAGGGTTCACGTGTCAACACAACATGTTTCCAGAGTAGGAACCCAGCGCGTTTGTGCCATGCCCGACAGGTCAACGCGCAAGCGCGGAGGGTCTGCTGTCGTAGCCGAAGGTTGTAGTAGCTGTAAAGCGCTCCTGGTCCGTGTTCTGGGTCCGATTGCCAGACGAAGTCGGAGGGATGGTGATGGTAGGTGTCGTACACCGTGTCGATAACAGTATCCCAGACATCCATCGGCAATGCACAGCTGGTCGACATGTGGGGAGTACTAGGAGAACCAGAGGGCGTCGTGGTTATGGACTACAGAGTGATTGACCATAAACGAATATAGTTGACAGCGAGAGAAGTTCCGGAGGCGTGCGAAGTTGACTATTTGTATCACTGCCATTGTCCGGGTGCAGTCATATACATATGCCAGTGTAAACCTCTCTATATGAGTCCCACATCAATCCTAGTGTCATACAACGTCTGTAAGTAGTGGCGCCTCACCACAAACTGCGCTTGATTCAATGAAGCGAAGCCCGAATTAATGAATGAACGTTCAAGACGATATATCTAAGAAAACATTATTGCCGCCAGACCCCTTATATGTAGACTGTGTTAGCACGCGATACCATTTGACCAGGGACATGAGGGGATTGCATATCCTGCGTGGGGAGCATAATTCCGTTCCTCGCGTCATCGAGGGGATTCCCGTCCTCTGATATGATCTCGGAGTGGAAAAAAGGGCTTCTCAGCGAAAGGCACCGGGTCAACTGGTCTCGCGTATTGTGATCCAAGGTCACAGTGGGCGGCAACTCGCTGGGAGGCCTAGTTGGAGGCGGTGGTTTGCAGTCTTTGCGATGGTTCACCCAGTCCTAACATGAAGCCGTGAGCGCTTGGGCAGTTGTCCGAGCAAAGCTGAGGATGATGCGCACCTTCTCGCGGCAGGCCGAGCTACAGTACCAGGGCTTCTTGTTCCAGACGCAATTCCCGAGGCACGGCCGACGTTGCTCCTTCGTCTGTCCCTCCAGGCGCCTCGTACAGCCCGGTGCGCCGCACATCGTCTCCTCGGGAAGGATATCGCCTTCGTGCCTCCTGGGCAGGGTTCTCTCCTCATATTCCTCGCGGTCGTGTCGCTCGAGCGCACGCCACAACGGCGTGTACTTCTTGAACTTCCATACATCGATGCCCAGGCGCCACGCAAGGTCGCGGAACGCGCGCGCGACCAGGAGTACCGCGGTGCTAATGAACTGCAGGCACGCGGCCTTGTTGGCGTACTCGACTGCGCGGATGAGACTGTCCACCGCGCCGTACGTGTGCTGGACTCCGTCGGGCAACGGAAACACCGGAGCGTCCATCGCGGCCTCCGCGAGCTCCTGCGAGGTGGCGAGGTATTTCTTGTAGTAGGCGAATGCGGCGATTGACTGAGCTTTCATGCTGACAGCCGCGTCCGTGTGAGAGAGAAGCGGGTCAAAGCTGCCCGCTTCACCAGGGATGAGAGGCGCGAGCTCGCAGAGAGCGCCTGTGGTGCATATTCGCCCATACGTATATTGTCCAGCGAGATACCTGGAGAGCGGCAGAGCGTCGTTAGCACATCGCGATTGCCATGATGAGTGGATAGACCACTTGCTGGATAGAGCGCTCGATGATAGCTTTGTCTTCCTGATCCGAATTCACCAGCATTTGGAGATATTCTTCGGCGAGACGGGCGCCGGCGAGGTGCTATCCTTGCCCTGCTGGGAGTGATACTCGTACAGGCATGCTACGTGCGCTTCGACGTAAAGCGTAGGATCTAAAATGATGATCAGCCAATTCATCGCGTTCGTGAATTCGGTTTTGTACTCATGATGTTTCACTGAGAGCGGTGTTCCTGTGGACGTCCAGGAGTACTGGACATATCGCAGGGTACGAAGTGACATATTTATGCCAGTGTCGCTCATTCCGCGAGTGCAGCATGGACTACTTCAGCCTTCAACTGAGCATAGGGCCCTCGGGCCCCTTTTGTCTCGATATGACTCTCTGATATTTACGATTACAGTACTACAGTCTCGTTCGTTTGGTGCCCACCATAGGACTCGGTCCTGACGGGCAATAAACTGGAGTTAAAGAAAGAACTGAGCATAGAGGATAGACCAAGCACAATAAGCAGGGTGACGACGCCGCTTAGTTGTCAGAGTCGGCCGAGCGAGATTGCGCTTATGTGTCAAAGCGCGGGCAGGCAAGCTCCTGAGTCTAGGATGCAAGCTGATCGGAAGATAGAAAATACGATCAATTTCGGCGAACGGTATGCTACAGCATCTTGTAACACACACTAAAGCGGCGGCTATACCTTTCTCCTAACGAGGAAAGCCCATATTATCTGGAGGGTCCAGCAGTACCGCTAAGAACATGGTCAACTGCGCCGCCGAGTATTACGATGGAAGATCAACACTCACAGTTATACACGACACCTCTCGTTATCTGTGAGAACGGCGATGTCCACAGCCGCTTATACGCCTTCAAACATTCCGGACTAAGCGTCTTCGTCCGGATGCGCAGAACTTGTCCTCGGCGGTACGGGCTATCGTTGTTGATGTCGATGAAGATTTCTGCACCCTCGCGCTCGGCCCATAGCGGCCAATTCCGCTTGAAGTCATGGTCCGGAATGGCTGGCGCGAGGAATCCGTCCACGTCTACCCAATCCGGGTTCCCGTCGTCGTCTATGATATCGGGGTAGGCGTTATCCCCTTTGCAAAACTCTCGATGGATCGTCCAATGCTACCAGGAAAGTTGTCTTTCAGAAACTCTGAACGGCATGCGGCCGCCACTTACTCGTCTTTGACAGTACTCGCTGCAATAGTGGGCCTTGCGCTCCGGCGGACAGCCGCCTCCGCATCGCCTCAGTGCGCTCTTGCTGTATGCTCGAATGTCGCATCCATCGTTGGCGCACCGGTAGAGATGTGGCGCTTCCTCGACTTTCTTGAGCCGCAACGCTTCCAGCGCGTGAAGGCTGGCAAGATACTCGTCGTGTGCCTTCCATAGAAACTCGAGCTTCTTGAATCGCTCTATCTCACAAACATCCAAGCCGAAGCGCGCCGTCCCTGTCCTCAACCAAGAGGCGATGTGCAGCGCTATGGGTGGCACGAAACCGTTTTGTATGCAAGCGTTCGCGGTGAACGCAGCGTTGTGGACGTCGTGAGAAGTCTTGATGGAGTGTAGGGAGCCGGAGTTCGGGATGAGCCAGTGCCCGTAGAAGTGAAGGTAAGCACATGCGGAGAGGGCACAGAGCTGAACAAGAGGACTGTTGTTCTTGACCTCCGGCAGCTCGGCATCGCGAGGATGTGGGGAGTTCATCGCGAGTCCAGTGATGCGTCGCAAGGTGTCCCCGACGTCCCCGGCACTCGACAGCGAGATGTCAATCTCGCAAAGGGAGAGCGTTCTGTTCTGTTCGGTCAGTATAAGCGAAGCAGCGGAGGGACGTTTGTAGGAATATAACGGTCGTGGGCAACCAGGACGTGGGGGAGTTGCGAATACGCACCGCAAGCAGTGCTCGAGCATAAGAGGTGCATCTTGCTCTCTCAAACCCTTCTCTAAACGGTCTCCGGGGCAATCCTTGATCATCTGCAGCGAATTGACCCACAGCTTCCTGAAGTTCGTGGGTTTGCGGTAATCATAGCAGAGCTCTTGTTGGAGTATGACATAGTGCTCAAAACCGTCGTGTCCTCCTGGATACAGCTCAGAGGGTATGTCATAGGAAACCTCGTGCTCCAGAGGCATAGAGGGGCTCCAAGAGAAACAGTGAGGAGGAGAAGAGCGAGAGAGAGGCACTCAGGCCAAACGGCGACGCCAAAGTTCGAGCAACGAGCTGGGATCGCCGGCCCGGGCTTCCCGACAGATCGGCATCTGCCGTATGGGGAGACGCCCGCGCGGGTTTGGCGTGGAGGAGTGGCCGCGACTCTGGCGGCAACGACGAGGATGGCCAAGTCGACAGGATGGGATCCAGTTCTGATAATTGCACAGGTGAGCATCCTCTATCCACTACTGTTGCGCGAGAGGCTCACATACCACCAGATCATCTCGCTGCAGACCCTACACTATGTGACGCTATCCCTCCTCATCCCCCCCCTTCTCGTTATGTTCGCGGAACCAGGGCCTCTGGAGTACGAAGGCGGCGCTGCTAATGTTGGTATGCCTCACCATGGAACAACATGGACCCGTTTCTGAATACCCTTGACCCAGGCATGATCATGGACTGGCGAGAAATGGCTGGACGGCCAACAACACGCGCACTCCCAGGCGAAGGCCCATGGAGATCCCTGAACTCCGTCTGGAGCGGCGGGAGAGAGGTTGGGCTAGGCACCTCCCCTCAAGCTACCTTTAGGCATGTCGACCCCATCCGATGTTGGATCATCGCGATATGCTGGATGGCAGCGTCTGCAGCAGAGTGCGTCTTCTGCTGATTCGCCGCGACAAGGGAGCTGACGCACTGCCCGCCCAGCGTGTACTATCTGTATGCGCTTATCCGAAGGCCGCGATTGATTCTTGATTTCGCCCTCACCCTGCTGTTCAACCACCTCGTCCTCACGACCTACTACTCCGCCGCGATTCCTACCTCGCCGTTCTTTTGGTTGGTCACGGGCATCAGCGCCGCCGCCACTGTGGTTTTCGCCGAACAACTGTGCGTCAAGAGGGAAATGAACGAGGGTCTCGTGGTCGCAGCACCGCCCGATGTCGGCGATAATGTGGAGATGGGTAGTTTGCTCAGGGAGGACTGACAAACGTGTCCGGTTGGAGATGTGAGAGTGTTTCTTACTCGTTGAGAGGACGCTGACAAACCCACTTCAGGGTCTATTGTACGCTACCTCGTAATATCTCACTGCCTCACGCTATTTGCACTTGATTCAGACTCAAGCTGATACCGCTGTAACCTCTCTGTTTCACAAATTCCCCCAAATCTCAGACGGTGCGTGGCAGACCTGGGACCGCGCGAAGGCCACTCAGATACAGGTGTTTCCATCTGGAGGGGCGTCATTCATCCCAGGTAGGAAGGAGCGCCCGAGGATACGTAAGTATTGCAGCCCCGCAGCGGACCCAAGGATTTACCGCAAGGAAGCGCAGACACCTACCGCTCGCATCCTAGCAAACAAACTATCGAGGGACGGTTCTGATGCTCCGCACAATATGGTACCCCACGCACGTTCAGAGGGCGTCCGCCGTAACACCGCAGGCGCATCGCGCGCGATCCCGGTGAGTGTATGTGGCCCCAACAAACCGCCCGCTCAGATTATCTGTAGACGACGCCAATTTGCGTCAGGAACGGTACTTCCATCACGGTGCTGTCGCCGTTCCCCGAGGTTTAACAGCTACCACACCACATGGCGCAGTTATGTGGTCCGGACGTGGTCTGAATCAGCCAGTGTTTGGAAAACACGCATGGTATCGCTGGCCAGGTGTCTTGGGCGGCACCTTCGTTCTTGCTTTCCATGGACTCGGCTCAACGATTATGTTAGGGTTCTAGGATTTCGGTTTAGGTCCGACTGGCTGCGTACCCGCCGGAACTCGCGCTTGTTCTCAGTGAGTGGTTGTGGTGCGAAGCCGCTACGGTGTCTGATGATCCGCAAGAGACGCCGGTTTATACCACGCTCATCGTGACCAGACGAACACTCCTTGTCGAGATTTGGTATGGCTTTTCAATATAACTGTATGCGCCTCATCTTGTTCCCGCAGTCTGTATTGCCGTCCACGAAGCGTCCTGCAGGAACCACCCTCTTTCCACATCTCCGACCTCTGGTCCCAGAAGCTTTGTTGGCCCGCCGCTATCGCTATGAAAGGATGTGCCGCCGTCCTTCGATCGGTCGCTCTAGACCAGCAAAATATGCGGTCATTGTCCCACATATTAACACTAGACTGATTTTGTTGCGTACCGCAGGCCCGTAGGCCGCGTTTGGCTACTGCGATCCTGCTATGCCGCCACCCTCGTTCCTGCTTCTGCGTCGGGCACAGTGCCACTCTGTTCTGCGGTTCTAGGCTCTGGAGCTCGTGCTGCGTGGACAAGCTTCTTGGCCGATTGCTCGCTCCTCTTCTCACACGCGTCGACCTACCAAGGGCGACGATCTGTATTCCATCAAGCCCTTGTTCAATTTGTTCCGCCTCGGAGATATTATGTCGTGCTGCGTGCTTTCTTTTGTCGACGTCTTCGGGCAGGATGCACCGCCCACCGCAGACACGAGCTCACTCCCTTCTGTTGGCTTGTCATATAGGGCAAGGCTTGGGCTCTAGACATCAACCTCGCGGTTTATGGGCGTATCTGGTGTCTCATCATTACCTTATAAGCCATTTATCGCGTCACGAGGCTGAGGATTGTTCGCAGGTGCAGAGCGGAGGAAGAACACGAACACCGGGGTCGCCACCCCGTAACCCTACCTGACACCGCCCCTCTATGTTTTCGTCCCGACGAACCGTGAGCGCCGCCGACAAGAGTGGAAGGCGAGCCTCGTTCACCGCAGCGCATAGGTGCCGTGCCGTCTCGCGTTCCCGTATGACATAACCGCTCTGAGCAGCGTTCCCTGTGCAGAACTGGCCCTGCGAGGGGCGCGTCGATGATTGGGGCCGCGCAGAGGTAAGTCGCGTCGTGCCTTGTACGCCCGTCGCTCTTACGTACGAACGACTCCCGAGCACGCTCCCTTCGGGAAAGTGCATCCCGACACGGCGCGGGCGACTCACGACGGCCGTGCAAGCGGCGCACATCGCGCTTCGTGCATTCACCCACGGCGCGCGGCTGAGATGCGGATCTGAAGCGGGGACTTTGATTCCCGGAAGCGTGCGTACAGCGTCCGAGGGGCTGCCTGCGCCCGCCGCGCGCGACGAGGGACCCTTTGCGAGAAGTGCGCGGAGCAAGACGGGCTCTTCAATGAAGTTCGTCTTCCATGTTCAAGTCGCCGTGTCGTCATGGATCCTGACGACGCAGATGGAGGGCGCTGGGCGCCCCGTATGCGCTATGCGAGTCGGCATTCTCAGCTCGCCATGTGCTCCTCGCAGCCGACAGGTGTCTGTGTGAGAGTAATTGATCGCGGCCGACGTCGTCTCTCACTCGCGCGCTGAGAGCCGACAGGCGAGGGGCGGTCGGACCGTTTTCCCGCTCAGCGTCCACCGCCGCCTGCACGGACCCGCTGTCGCGCGCGACTACCCTCAATCGCCGCCGCCGCCACCGCCGCGCGCGGGTGGGATGCATGTGCACGAAGCGGCGGCCGTGCGCCACCACATACCCTCCGCGACATCGCGACAAGTGAGCAGCCGCCGGGTCGCCGCCCGCTGGGATGGGCAGGGTGCGGAAGGTGCTGCATGAGAACCCGTCGCCCGCCGCGCGTGGACGGAAACGTCAGGCGGACGAGGGCCAGGGAGCGTCTGATCGCCAGGGCCAGGAATGACTATAATAACCGTAGCACGGTGCCACGAGGCGCGTGTCGTTTAGGTTGGCGAGCGCGCACAAAAGGGCTCTCTCCTTTTCCGCGTCCACGGCGGTGATGGCTCGCGCTCGTCTGCGCGGGGCACGCGTCCTGCGCTCGCCCAGAGGGGTAACGAGTACGTAGGGTCTCAGCGGGGTGCAGCGTGCAGCGCGCGTGGCGATGGGAGGTGGTGGCGTTGGGCCCAGAGGTTCGTAGCTACAGTTCCCCGCAAAGGCAGGTCGCGCGCGTTTGGGGAAACTCCGACGCAGGGTCGCGCGCAGGTTATCGTGCACAAATTAACTAGGACAAGTGAACCCGCCCGGGACGCAATCTCGAGATTTGCCGCTTGCAGGATCCCTCCTTCCGAACATTCGGGCAAGATCTGTGTCAGGATATTGGTGCGCCGGTTCGCAGCTGTCTTTCGCTCGGACGATCCGAGCGAGGCACGAGGCTCTGAACGGCGTTATAAACCCTCCCCGCCCTTCGTCCTTCGCGTCTTCGCTTTCTCCCCCTCTCTCGCGTCGACACCATGCAGGCCATCAAGAACTTGCTCTCGCCGCTCGCGTCAAGCAACAGCAACCCTATCCAGGACACTCTGGTTGGTGGCGTCACCGTCTGCGCTCGCCACAACGTCCTCACACCCTGTTTTGCACAGAAACTCGTCGTCATCGGCGGGACGGTCGAGACTGCCCGGAGAGCATCCGTCTCGGCCTGGAACGGATTCATTGACTGTGAGAACGCCCAGTATCACCGCCCGGTGCCGCCGCTAACCGCGCGTGGCCCTGCCCAGCGTTCTTCCTCACCGCACATTTTAGCCAAGAAGACTACCCCTATGACTGGTGCGTAACGTCTAGAAGCAAGGAGACGCGCTGCAGAGGCTGACAATCCCCGCACAGGCTGATGCACTGGCTCTCGAAGGCAGGTGTCCTGCTCGCTTCCCAGCACAAGTGCCGCCGAGCTGAAACGAGTACACGGATTTAGCAACCCGCCTGGGGTCGCAGCCGGGAATTCGACATCACGACGCGGTCCGTGAGCCGGCACGGCCTCACGCAGAAGACGACGGGGGATTTGGAAGACGACAACGAGGAGGAGGAGGAGAGCGCCGAGTTCAGTCAGGGCGGCGGCCGGAAGCGCAAAGGTGCGTGTGGCGAATGCCCTTCCCCAGTGAGCGTCGGTGGCTGAGCGGTGCGTTGCGCGTGGACAGTTGCGATCGTGCCTAGTATGGGTAAGTAGCATCAGCCCTGCTTCGCGTCTACATGACATCACGCTCATTACTCCGCCCATCATTAATTCCGACCAGATACGACGCATACGATATACTACCGCGGACATTGGCTTCGCGTAAGTCGCCTCATCTCCCGCGCCGTCTGATATCCGCCGGGCAGCTCTGATGTCCATTTCGCCCAGATAACGCGCACGAAGCGCTTCCAAGACTACGGCTCCTGCGCTGAGCTCAAAATAAGGTCCGTCCCAAGCTTGTCACTGCGGGGTACGCACGAACTAATAGACCGGCGCAGCGTTGTCGCCCGGAACAATGACATTCTCAAGCGGCTTGTCCTGGAAGCAAAGCGTGAGTATGAGAAGGACGCGGAACACCGCGTGCACATTTTCATGGCAGACACGTACGTGATCTCGAGTCGCTTCGTCGGGGCGCCCTCGCTGACAGACGGCCCCATACCTACCTAGTACGTACGGCTGCTGGCGCTGGAACGGCGCGCGCCAGAAGCGCCCCATGAGCTCGATCGTGCTCGAGCCAGGCGTGAAAGACATGATCCTTGCGGACTGCAAGGACTTCCTCTCCTCCGAGGACTGGTGAGTGCACCGGCTTTCTAAACGAAGCTCCACTGACGACATGGTGCGCAGGTATGCCGAGAGAGGTCGGTCTGACGTCTAACAGGGACTGCGCGGTCGCTGATAGTCTGACAGGTATCCCGTTCCGGCGCGGATATCTGCTGCACGGGGTGCCCGGCAGGTACGTACATTGACTCCCCGTGGCGTTCGCGTGCACTCAATCTCCGCAACAGTGGGAAAACATCGCTCATTCACAGCCTGGCGGGGGAGCTCGGGCTGGACATTTACGTCGTCAGTCTGTCTTCCAAGGGGTAAGAAATCGAGCTACGGTTTGGGCGCACGATGCTGACCGAGCAACAGCATGAGTGACAACACGTTGACGACGCTTATGGGTAACGTACCATCGAGGTGGGTACTGTGCCCCTGATCAATAACCCCAGCAGGCGTACTGACATTGTATCTCGATAGATGTATACTCCTTTTAGAAGATCTCGATGCCGCGTTTACGCGCGGGATTTCCCGTGACGAGACGTCCACAGGGGCGCCCACGGGCTCCTCGTCCACCACGACCTCTTCGTCGTCGAAGAGCAAGAAGGAAGAGGACAGCGATGGATCCACCCTGAGCTTGAGTGGGCTGCTGAACAGCCTCGATGGTGTCGCCGCTGCGGAGGGCCGGTAAGCTTCTGTGGCTTGCTCGTCCTGCGGCCGGCCGGCCACCCATCTAGCTTGTCTAACTAACCACCCCGACAGTCTTCTGTTCGCGACCACGAACCACATCGAGCGGCTCGACCCCGCGCTCAGCCGTCCGGGCCGGATGGACGTCTGGGTGAACTTCAAGCACGCCACGAAGTGGCAGGCGCAGGGCATCTTCAAGTGCTTCTTCCCCGCGCGCTCCAGCGGCGCGCCGACCGCAGGCGCGCCGGCCGAGTCATCTGCTGCTGCCGGGCCCGCGGGTGCAGACGCAACCGTGTCGGCAGCCAACATCGCGGTGTCGAAGCGCAAGCGCGCGGCACACGCGATCCCCCTCCTGTCCGAGGATGAGATTTCGGAGCTCGCTAAGCGTTTCGCAGACGCCATCCCTGAGAACGAGCTGAGCGTACGTGACACCCGCAGCTCCGCCCCGGAGGCCACGCAGTGCTGACCGTGTCCGCAGGTCGCCGCGCTCCAAGGGTACCTTCTCAGGAACAAGACCCGGCCGCGTGAGTGTGTGGACGAGGTCCCCGCCTGGTACGTCGCGCGCATGCGGTCCCGAAGGCGGGTGCTTACGTGCTTCCCAGGGTCATTTCCGAGCGCGAGATGCGCGAAAAGCTCAAGAAGGAGAAGGAGGAGGTGCGTGCGCCCCCGCCGCCGTGCGTATGCGTATGCATGCTGACGTCCTGCGCAGCGCGAAGCCAAGGAGAAGAAGGAAGCCGAGGAAAAGGCGCGGAAGGAGGTTAGTCTCTGACGTTCAGTTTACGTCCTGCAGAGTGCTGACGGCCGTCGTCCCACGCAGAAGGAGGAAGCGGATGCTAAAGAGGTACTTTGACCGAAGATCGCGTACTCGATCGTCTCGCTGACACGCGCCGCCCCATTTCTCCAGAAAGAGGAGAAGGCTGCAGCCGCAAAAGAGGTATGATCGTCCGAGCCTGGAAAAACAAGGGACGACCGAGTGCTTACCCGAGTGTTTTTCTCATTCCTGCAGAAAGCCGACAAGAAGGAAGCACGCGTGAAAGTGAAGCGTGCCGCGCTCCGCGACGCCGCCAAAGCCTCCGCGGCAGCAGCTCCGACCTCGGAGAGCGATACATCCACCTCCGCCAGTGAGAGTACCTCGGACGACGCCGCCGAGGAAGCCTCCGCGGCGGCAGCGGCAGCACCCGCGTCCGAGTCCACGTCCACGTCCGAGTCCGAGAACACGAGTGGCGCAGATGCCGACACGGAAGAGAGCGTCACCTCGGAAGAGGAAGCCGACAAGGCCGACAAGCCCTCCGAGCCCGCGTCCGAGCCCGTCGCCGACGCGCCCGCTCCAGTGAAGGAGAAGTGGGTCGCGGTGAAGGCGCAGCCTGCGGCGGACACGCCGAGTGGCTAATTTCCACTCGCGTGCACCCCCCGCCCTCTGCGCATGGCCCGCCCCGCGTGCGGGAAACCATGCCAGTCCGAACCCAACGCCCCGCCCCCGTCGCGTCGTCGCCTCGCGATCGTCTCGACGATGCTCCGAATGATGACTGCCCGTCTCCTGTGTGCCCCTGCTGTACCTCTCGCGCTGTGGCTCTCGCTGGTCGGCCCGGTGAATGCTGTGATCCTGACTGCTGCCTGTTTTCGTCTGATGTACATTCCTCGCCCTCCGGGACGAGGGTCGCGCATAGATGCTGTGTCGCCATGCCTGTTTGTACGTACCTTCCCTGCTCACGTCCCCAATGCTGTCATGATGTATGCCCCGTTCACGCTGTCTTACGTTTACGTCGTGATACCCTGGAATACATACACGATACCTCCGGGGCACGAGCACCTTCGCGTAACTTGCGTGCAGACGGAAACTGGCGGATTCATGGTGCGTGCACATTTCATTACCCAATACAACGATCGGCGGAGAGATGCATGGCAATAACATGGCTAAGTTGGAGATGTATGGTACGGTGTAGACTGGAATGAAGGGTGGTTACGACAAAGCAAATTCTAGTGTCGAAAGCGAACATCGTGCGTTCCCGCGTGTCCTCACGATCCGCCCGCTACGTCGACTTCAGCGTGACCTCCGACAGCGTCTTGAACGCCTCGCGGTACGCGTCGAGCAGTGCCTTGACGCGCGCACGCTCTGCGACGAGCGTCTCGTCCTCGTTCAGGAGGTCGCCAAATAGCTCGGGCTTGTACAGCGACGCGACGAGGCGGTTCTGCACCTGCTGCGACGTGTTGTTCACGAGCAGGTGCATGATCGCCTTCGGCACGAGATCCTGGATCGTCTGGCGCACGATGCCGAAGTACGACTGGATGAGCGACCGGATCAGGTTCGTCTCCATCTCCTCCCGCATCGACATGTGGCCCGTGCTGTCCGTCGCCTGCTAACATGACAGAAACAGAAACAGTGAGAAAACGCAAGCACACGGAGCAAGCATGGACACGTACCGCCTCGATGTGCTTCCCGAGACTCTTCATGTCGAACGCCGCGTTGCCCTCCATCGACCGTTTCCCCGCCATCAGACCCGACTCCAGCGCGGGATCCGACCCAGACACGTCCCGGCCTACATACGAATGGCCACTCGAGCCCGTGTTCGCGCGGTCGACGGTGGAGCCCGCAAGCGGCCCCGGCCCGTTCTGCCCAAAGAAGTAGTTGAGGAACGTCTCCTTCGCGGTCCCGTTCGCGTTATGCGTCAACGTCCCCTGCGCGCCCGCTGAGCCCGATGCGTGCCGCGACGTGTGGCGGTGCGCAGTAGGCGAATGGTGCCGATGCGAGGAGTTCGTGGCCCCTGGCGCGGTTGGGGGCGCGGAGGCAGCGCCTCGCGAGCGATCGTGAACCGTCGAGGAGACGGAGCGGGCGTCCCGGCCCGAAATGCCGTTGGCAGAGGGCTCCTCGTTGGACTCGTCCTCGTCGTCCTGGGAGGCGGCACCGTTGACTGATTCCGGGTGGGAGGGCTGTGAAGGCTCAATGTGTTTGTGCTAAGCCGATCAACGCGCCATTCGACAGGGGGCGGAGCAGACTTACTCGTGGGAGGAGTTGCTTCGGGGGCGGAGTGGTGAGCGCAGTAGCGGCGGCAGCTGAGCCAGAGATGAATGCTGGGTGGTTGGTGTTGATGTACGCTGTCTGAATGTCGATGAGGCTTTGCGTGTAGTCCGTTGTTGGGCCAAGGCGTTCGCGGAGTAGCTCGGAGACCGTCTCTACGAGCTGGGCGTGTAACCTTGGGAATCGTTGGAGTTCCTGTACAAACGTTCAATAGGCTGCACATCTGATGAGGCAAGAGGAGCAAACATACAGAACTCGTGCAGTTATGACAGATCTTGACAAGCTCCTCGTATACGAGCTCCACGCATCGCAAACTCGGTGATTCCAGGAGCTTAATCTGGGGCTTCACCAGCAGGTCAAAGGCGATCTCGGGCACGAACAAGCTCGGTCGGGGGCCGGTCGAGTTACGGATCGCGGTCCGGATGTCCTGGTTGTCGAGGTTATATGTCGCGTCGATCGACTGAAGTGCTTGGCCGAAGACGTCGTTGAAGATGTAGTATATCCGCGCGCCGCCAGATAGCTCCTTCGTTGAGATGTCGACGCTCGTGCCCTCGATAGACGCGACAAAGTCCCGCGCGAATTGTGTCATGAGCCGGAGGATCAGCGATCCTTGCTGTATCACGGTCAACTACGGCAATCTCGCTGCGGGTTCCACAGAGCGCTTACCTGGTTCTTGTCGCCATATATCGCAGCATCCCCGAACGAGTTGAGCTCCTGCTGCGCCTGGCCCATGAGCGTATTTAAGCGCGCCTTCATGTCGGGCAGCTTATCGCGGATATGGTTCATCAGCACTTGGTTCAGCGTCTTCGCGAGGTAACGCGTGCCGTTCTTGTGCGCGATGTTGCGGTACGCCGGGTGCGTACGGAAGAAGTCATCCTCCGCCTCATGTGCATCTGCGAGCGACTTCTCCGCGTTGATGTCGGCCTGCGAGCGGTTGACCACACCAATGAATCCGAGCTTCAGCGGGTACACGCGCCCAGTCAGAATGTCGAGCGCGTTGGTGCCCGCGTCCATGAGGTCAAGCTTCGTGAGCACGCCGATCGTACGGCGGCCCTGGGGATCGACCTGTCGTGCAAGCTTGAGAGCCTCGGAGTTCGCAAGGTCAACATTGGCCCCAGATACTGCAAGAATGACGCTGCAGAGGTGTCAGTCAGGGTATCTAAAGCGTCAGGATAGCGAAAGGTGAATGGACAAAGGGCACGCACCAGTTAGGTTTTGAGATGTAGTCCACGACGAGACTGCGAATTTGCCGTTCGATATCACCCGGTTGATCGCCTACCGGGATCTAACATTCGCCCTGAATATCAATATCGCGCCGCGCCCGCGTTACGTTGGCACACACCTTCGTCAATCCGGGCAAGTCCACCAATGTCAGGTCCAGCACGTTCGGGCTGTATATCCGAAGATGAATGGGGAGCTTGCTGATGCCCTTGTTCTGCCCAGCGACCCGGAACGTCTCCTGCTCGATCTCGCGCCGTATCTCGTCGAACTCGGTGAAACGCTTGTCGATGTGCAGGAACTGGCCCCACTCGCTGTACGTCTGTGTTGGCGAGTCGGGCACGGGGGTGTGGATGAGCTGGAGGACGAGTGGTCGTCTGGTTACGATACCCGAGCCACGGGGGAGGAAGTCTCGGCCAACAATCCTGTCCGAGAGTCAAAGAGCGGAAATGTGGGCGAGGGAGAGTGACGTACGTTTCGAGAACACTGGACTTTCCCGCAGACTGGCTTCCCACCTGTTTCGCAAGCTTAGCGTGCCGTCAACAATTGAAATAACGCGGGACATACGACAGCCAGCTGGGGCATGTCCAGCTCCCCGCCTGTGCGCGCGTCAGTGTGGCTCAGACGAGCGGTTGTAGGGGAGACTCACCCAAGTTGGCGAACGTATCCTGCAGCTGATTCACAAGTCTGATGAGATCCGCGTCCATGTTGGGCAGAGCAGCGCGGGGTCGTCGTGCGGGTCGTGCAGGTCGTCGGGGTCGTTGTGGAGAGAAAGAGAGCGGCAGGCACGCGGAGTATCAGGCGCCAAAAACGCGTCGCCACGGCCAACACGCGACGAGCGCCTACCGCCTCTTCCTCGTTCCCCGCATTCCGAATCTCTCTGCTCGCGCTCACTCCTCTGCTCGGCACGGCGACGCTCTGCACGGCTGCCCCGAGTCGACGCGCAAGCAATGCCGTCCACTTACGAGCCCCTTGCGCAGGAGGGTGACGACGTCTTCGGCACTGCGCCGTCGTCCTCCGCAGTCGTTCACCCCATCCCAATCAAGCCCGAGACGTACTATGGGGAAGGACCGTTCGATCCACCAAGCTCAGACGACGAAGCCGATAGCTTCTTGGGAAAGGAGGATGAGCGTTCTGGTCGTGCCATTGAGGCCGAAGGCAACCTCGTCGTCGGTAGTCGGAAAGTACGTGTGCAGCGCTTTCAGCACCTACGCACTTCGCTAAACCCAATTGCAAAGAAACGTCCGGCTTCCGTCAAATTTCTGGTCATCTCGCTGGTCTCTCTGGTCTCTATCGCCATTATTATAGGCATTTTCGCCGCGAGGTCATACACCGGCACTGCGTTCCGTATACAGCAGGGTGTACAGCATCTCACTATGGATCATATGTTCAACGGCACCTTCTCTGCGCAAAGTAAAAGCGTCCTCTGGGTCCCTGAAGGTACGTACTATGCGCGATGATATGACTGCGATGCTTCATCTCTGCATAGCGGGAGACGGCGTATTTGCGTCCGTTCAAGGGAACGTGATCTCCCTTGTCGATCTCAAGTCGAATTCCACACAGGAACTGGTCTCTTTGATGGACCTGAGAGATGTAAGAAGCATGTCCCCTGGACATTTGGAATCTTTTTTGACTATATACGCTGCAGGAACGCGGAAACATCCTTGCATGGGCTGGCTGGAAGTTGTCATCAGACATGAAATATCTGCTTGTGAAGACTGATTACAAGAAGGTAAGTACACGCACCGCCCTGCTCCGCGAGTTTTCCTGCGTTCTGGCTGCTGATAGGATATATAGCAATGGCGGCACTCGAGCTTTGGCAACTACTATGTTCATGAGCTCGCCACAAAGCGGACATGGCCGCTGACTCCACCCACCTACCCACCGATCACATCATACGCTGAGTGGTCCCCTACCGGTGAATCTATAGCATACGTTGTGAACAATGACCTCTACGTTGTCCCATCGGCATCGTAAGCTTCCTCCTTTCCACAGAAAGCGTGGCAGCTTACCTTTTAATAGCGACACCGGTTCCTCGGTACGAGTCACTACCTCAGGGAATGCGTCCCTCTTCCATGGAGTGCCCGACTGGGTCTACGAGGAAGAGGTTTTCTCCGCCGATTATGCGCTCTGGTGGGCACCCGACGCTTCGAAGGTTGCGTTCCTCCGCTTTGACGAGACCGCCGTGGACGAGTACACCTTCCCGGTGTACAACCCGACCGAGAACGCGAACACCGTCGTGCCCTATCCAGAAACCGTCGTTATGAAATACCCGAAACCAGGATACAACAACCCGCTCGTATCTGTACACGTATTCCAGCTGGATGAGTACCTCGATGTCATCGGTGAGCTCGGCAGCGGGGCGAATAGGACAACAGTCGCACAGGGCGCGACGCTGGAGCTGCGCTGGGATGGGAGACAGGCGCCGACAAACAGCATCATCTCCGAAGTTGCGTGGGTGAGCAACAGCTCGTTGCTTGTGCGCGAAGTGACGCGCGCGGCGGAGAACGGGAGCGTAGTGTACTTCGACCTCAGTTCGACGCCCGCGAACGTCGGGAGCATTGTCCGCAAGCTTGGTAAGGAGGGCGAGCAAGGTGACGATGGCTGGATCGATGCTGTATGCCTCTTACATCCCATATGCAGTGAAGATACTCATCCCGCTCCCACAGGTCCAAGCCATCTATCCGATTTCCCCTTCGCTCTCGCCTGACGGCGCCCCCGCGTACCTCGACATCGTGCCCACGCCCGAGGGCTACAACCACATCGCGCTGTTCAGCCCTGCGAACTCGAGCACCCCGCGCTTCCTCACCTCCGGGCCATGGGAAGTGACATCCGGGATCCTTGCCGTCGATGCCGCGCGCGGGCTCGTATACTTCCAGGCGGCGAACCCCTCCTCCATACAACGCCACGTGTTCTCCGTACCACTCCCCAAGCTCGTAAAGGAAGCGCAGGCGACGGTCACCGCGCTGACTGACACGTCGAGCCCGGGGTACTACGATGCGAGCTTCTCGCCAGAGGGCGCGTTCTACCTTCTCAGCTACAAAGGCCCGCATGCGCCGTGGCAGCGGATCGTGCACGTCGGAGACGCAGGTAGGCATTATGTGATCACGGTTGATATCTCTGAGCTGAATGTCGTGGAGCAGACTTCGACTACGTGTTGACGGAGAACCCGCAGCTGAACGACACGCTCGCACAGTATGAACTACCCATCGTCACGCATTCCACCATCGAGAGCGATGGCTACGGTACGCATCCCCGCACCAGCTTTCCAGTCATCTCGCTCATCCTCGCACAGAACTGAACGTGCTCGAGCTGCGTCCGCCGCGTATGGACGACTCGGGCCGGACGAAATACCCTGTCCTCTTCCGCGTGTACGGCGGGCCGGGCTCGCAGATGGTCGACGTGCGCTTCGCGCAGGACTGGCACGCATACCTCGTTGCGGAGCTGCAGTACATTGTTGTCGTCGTCGATGGGCGCGGTACGGGCTTCCGCGGGCGCGCGCTGCGCAACCCGGTGAAGAACAACCTCGGGCGCTGGGAGACCGTCGACCAGATCAACGCGGCGAAGATCTGGGCCGCGAAGGAGTATGTCGACCCGAAGCGCATCGGGATCTGGGGTTGGGTGCGTGCATACACAGTTTGCAGGTGATGATGGTGTCACTGACGAAGTTTTGGCAGTCGTACGGCGGCTTTATGAGCTCTAAGGTTCTCGAAGCTGATGCAGGGGTTCATTCGCTGGCCATGGCCGTTGCAGTGAGTATTTTACATCTCACGCCAGCGCCCAGTCATGTCCTTAATCGCCATCTCACAGCCTGTGACGAGTTGGCGACTATACGGTAAGCTCGCCCTCTGATACCACCATTCCATTCACTTATCCCCCATACCTTCAACTTGCAGACTCGATTTACACCGAGCGTTACATGAACTTGCCCGCGGTCAACCCGGACGGGTACGTGACCGCGTCGATCTCGAACGCCACCGGCTTCCACAACGCGGACTTCCTGCTCGCGCACGGAAGCGGGGATGACAACGTGCACTACGCAAATTCCGCGCACCTTCTCGACATGCTCACCGCTGAGCGCGTGCGCGATTTCCGCTTCCGCATGTTCACAGACAGGTGCGTGCTGTGTCTTGACTATTGACTGAGAGATGTTGCTGATGCATGTGGGCGGCGTGTAGTGATCACAGTATCTACAAGCGGGGCGCGAACAGGGAACTGTACGAGTTCATGACCGAGTTCTTGCTCGAGAAGTGGGGCAAGGGCGGCAAGCGACGCGGATGGTAATACTCGTTGACCATGAGACTGATACTTATTAGCCTAGACATGATACCACACAGATTAACTATACTGTAACATATTGATCGTCGTCGGACACTACCGCTGCAAGATAATCCCAATATCGACAAACCAACCGAAGGGCGGCACCTATCCTACAAACCACGCAACGCCACGGAGCAAAACTGTACGCGTACGCATCGTAACATAAGTTTTCGATATATGTCGGGCACCCTGGATCTTTTCACCTACACCTCACGCACCGTACTCTGGAGGCGCATCGCCAACGTCGTGCGCAGTCTGTCGTGCAGGTTCGGTGGCCATGCGTTCCGCCAGGAGCTGGATGATCCGCTCCACCGCAACGTTGGGGTCCGCAGCCGCGGTACCTATCGGCGGAGTGCCCGAGTGCGAGGTCGTCGCCCGAGTGGGCACGAGGCTCGCGCCGGACGCGTCTCCTGGCCCAGTGTCTGCCTGTGGAGGGGCCTGGAGAAATTCGGAGGACGAGCACGGCGTTGGCCCAGATTCGGGATGAGAGACGGTGACGGTGACGACATCTGGAATCGTAGCGGGGCGACGCTTGACGTCGCCGCTGTGGGGGGTCGCGATCGGCAGTTTTGTGTCGCGAAGAGCGGTGGGTCTGGATGGAGCGACAGGGGCCCTGGCGAGGAAGGGGGAGGGCTCGTCTCGCTCGAACACCGCCAGCCTCTCGCGCTTGCGACGAATGAAAGACCACAGAATCGCCGCAGCGAGCACGAAGAACACGATGCCACCGATCACGGACCCCGCGATGGTTCCAGCGGCCAGCGCCGACTTTCTTGTGCTTGAAGTTGGCGCGCTGTAAATCATGGACGAACGGTCGAGACACGGGATGCATGAGATGTCACAGCACAAAGCGTACATACCGAAGCAGACCAGCGACCTCCGACGGGTCGTCCGTGAACACGGTGACGGTGTTGAGCCAGAATTTGAGAAAACCGCCCGCGGCAAGCGTCGGTGTCACATTGACAGTGTGGACCTCGTGTGGATCTAGGCCGTCCCGATAGTAGAGGAGCGCGTCTCCGATGAACCACATCGTGCTTGCATTGTACGTCTCGGTTTGGCCATCAAGGGACTGTCGCTCGACCGTTAGTACCGCGTTCCACTAAGGCAGAGGAATATGCGACAGACGGACCACGTTGTACAGGTAGCTACCCCAGATTCGGGAGCCGTTGATTGCGACGCCCACGCCTTGAAACGAGAAGGAAAGCGACGCAGACGGGTCGGTGGTGATGTAGTAAGGGGCTGGGTGTTGGCTGTTCGGGATGAGGGGATCTTTGAGCATGGTCCAGTTGCCGTCATATAGAATCAACGACGTGTTTGTGGCTTGATAAACGTGAGGGGTGGGCAGACTGGCCCTAAAGAGAGTGTCAGTCTCGAGCAGCAGCCAGAAAATCGAGACCTATACCCGGCCGTGATCGTTTTGGTCAAGGCTGCCCCCGAGAATGCGAAGCTACTGTTGTGCGAGGCGTTGGCTATCAAGGACACGTTGTGCACGTCTTGTGAAAGGCTGTCCTGGACGTATAGAGGACTATTTCGGCTATGCGTAGGCGTGAAGGAGGTGGAGTTTCCATCGACCGAAACGATGTAGGAGCAGTTTGCAGTGCCAAACAGCGAGACGGCCGACCCTGCTTAGCGCAGCATCAATAAGACATCTAAGTTCAGACCGGGAGCGCTGAGCCAGATTTACTCACCGTAAAACTGAAAGTCGAGGCTCGCATTCGGGAAGGTAGTGATATGCATCGAGCTGCCCGACGCAGCCTCACCACCTTCAGTAGAAAACCCTCCAACCCCCGAGTAGTACGGCTGCCACCCAGTTTGTGTCCAGTTACCGACACCTCCATCTCCTAACAGGTGATGCATAGTGAGTAGCTATCAACCTTTGCAGCATTTGCGCGTACCTTGAGGATGGTAGTGGATGATCGAGCTCGCATCGTCGACCGATACAGTGTACGTTTCGCCCATATTATCGCCAGCGGTAGCGTGCAGCAGTTGCAAAGTGCGATGACCCGCAGTGCTACTCTCGCGTGCGACAGCGCACTGGGTATGATATAGCATCCCTTCACTCCGATTCCGGCGTGGTCGGCGCGGCTGAGGATAAGAGGACGTATGGTTTAGTGATGCAGTGTGAGCGGCGCGCTAGGTAGTTAACCCGACTTGGGATTGTTCATGACCCCACGTCAAAACCGTCTCTGAGTAGGCAGAGGAGCTGCTGGCTTTGGTTAGTAACTATACCAAACATACACTTCGATCATAGCAGTGTTGACATTTGACATACTGAGATGTAGCCACACATAACACCGGTGACTGAAGTCCGTCGCCGTCGGTTGAGAAACGTAGTTCGACGACGCATCGGGGATGGGCCGGAGAGCGGGTCATCATGCATCATGCGCCGTGGCTCGACATGCTCGGTGCACGACCATGGGGCCTTCCAACATTGACGGCGGCGTCCGCCATTCTGTCAGCTCAGCTCCAGGCCCGAAGCTGACCGGACCCGAGTAGTATCCAGAACTTTTCGCGTGGTATAAGGGGCACCCTCATACCGGCTCGTAGGTATGGAGAGAGCGAGGAATGCTGCAGGTTGTCGTGATGTAAGGTGCACTCAGATGAGATTGCCTATGAGTCCGAGCCGGTGTACATGTCACCCGATGCTGCTGGTATCATGAGATGTGAATACGGAGTATAAGGTGCGACTGTCGAGACTGACTAGTACTACTGACCGTGGCGGTCCGTGCCATCGGGGAAACGTTGTCCAGGCTTCGGCATTGTCGAGCGGTTCGCTTGTCGTACCACGATGAACGTGCCGAGTGAATGGGTGCGGACCTATACGGCTAGCGAGGGTTCAGGTGGTCGTGAAGCACATGGTACGCCAACGTGTCTCCCCGTCTGCTTCCGCCGACATCTTGATCTGGCGCTGCGCTTTGCGAGGCGGCATGATAGACCTTGGGCTGTGTTCGACGACGTGGATAGAAGAGCTGGGAGTGTATTCTTAGTATTGACAGAAGACCGGCGTACGCTCTTCACCACAGGTCGGCACAACAAAGCGAGAAAGCCTCGCCGCGATGCCGATGTCGATGTTTGAAAGCTAGCCGAAGCAATGCGCATGTTGAAGATCAGCGTGCGTGGCATGTTCTGGGGAAGCACCGATCCTACTCCGTTCGACCGGAGATTTAGGAAAATGAACGCCGACGTGACAATACCCGGAAGTACTGTGCCGCAAGCGAGGACTCAGTGAGTGGACAATCGATCTGGAACCCCATGCTTACAGGTCGATGCAGGGTGCTGAGTCCCGACTCTCTTGCCTGGCACCTGCGACGTCGATGTGGTCAGTCTGAGGATCTGCTGGCTCTGTGAACAGGCCTACAAGCGACTGACGTAGGAGTGAAGAGCAACGGCGGCGATCGCGGCGAGTCGGACTCGCACGTTGCTCTGCGGCATCACACTGCACTGCGTTGATGATTCGGGCGGGGATTCTTTCTATGGTCGACTCGAGAAGCACCTCCGGCTCTTAAGTCGAGCGCTCCGCTACGAGTTACGGGCCGGAGGACGAGGGCTTTGAGCGCGCGCTTCTAGCGCACCCACACAAGTGTTGGTAGTTTGGGAAGACTTATTGGGTTGGTCATTTTGGACGCCTATGTGAGCGTCGTCCATCGCATAGGACTGGGGGAAGAGAGCTGGAAAGCTATAAAAGAGGGTTGGGTCGACCCTCGTACCGTCAGCCTGCCAGGTCTCTTCACCAGTAGCAACAACCTCCAGCACTCACAATGCGTTTCTCCGCCATCCTCGCCCTCGCCGCCTCCATCGGCTTCGCCGTGGCCACCCCCTCTCCCGCTACGCCCGCCCCCGCCGCTCACGGCGGGAACGATGAAGCGGTGCTCCACACCGAGTCCGGGTGCGGCTCGTCGGGCCCCCTGGGCACCGGCCACTTCGTGTGGTTCATCGACGTGTCCTGCAGCCCTGGAGCCACGCTGTGAGTTCGAATCGTCGTGCTCACTCACCTTCCATCGCTGACTCGCGGTCGTGCGCCCAACAGGACGTGCCAGGCAACCGACTCGACTGGATGCCTCCCCGGCAACCCGGACCACATCGGTTCCATGGAGGTCGACGTGAGTCCTGTCGCAGACACAGAACGTAAACGACATGATCTGACAAGGTGATGCGTATCGTTTTGCAGGACCCGAACGACACCGTCCAGTTCGCCAAGAAGTCGAACACGAACTCGGTGACGTTCGTGTGCCCCTCGGCTGGCCAGGTTCGCTGCCAGGCCAACTTCAACGACAACGACGATGGCCCTGGCTACAGCCTCCGTGGTATGTGCCCTTTGCCAAATCTGAGTTCTTGTTTCGCTGATTTCGATGCGCTAGTTTTCTGAAGGGTTGTTGAGTATCATTAGAACGCGAAATATTTTCCCAGTACTACGGTCTATTCCTTGAGCTGGTGTACCTGCAGTTCGGTGGATCGGTTAGAAATTCATGACGGGATTTTCGAGGATTTTGCTCAACGTGGAGTGACACATACTTGAAGAGGAATCATAACTCATCCCGGCAGACGCACATTCACCCTGCTGATTATTCTCATCTTCTGGAAACGCTGCCGCTACAAAGTCACTGCGATGATAGTTCTGGTGAAAGTGGGAGGACAGGAATGACGGCGGCTGAGCGTCGACAAGGATGCCACTGAGTATTGTATGCCGGAGATTGCCGTGCGCTTTCGCACGGTGGCCTATCCACGAGGCTCCCGACCCCATTGGAGACGCAGCCGTTGCTTCTCAGAAACTTTATCCTCTATGCACTCCTGGACTGCGGTTGCACTATCGATATGCCCTGCGCCTATATAATGCGTGGCCGTATTGCGGCCTGTTTGTCTACCAACTGCCGTTGACAGACACTGGTGCGTAACATTGCACAACGTACAGGGTAAAACGCCGCCTGCTAACGACCGCATGGAACGTCCCTCCATGACGACTATAGCCCAGACTGGATGACGTAGGATTCATGGCTTTCGCCTTGCCCCAAACCTGCTTTCAAAAATGGAGAGAGTCACTTGGAGGTATAACTTACAATTGAGATTCACAGCCTCGTATGCCCTCGCTTTGACAATGGCCAGCGTCTTTGTTAGACCGACTGGGCCCAAGCGGCGCATTCACCTGGCTTTTGTGGATTTTCGGTTAAATGTCTTGACCTCCCATCGACCGGCGCCCTCATCTCAGTTTTGTAACACTTCATGGGTGCGAGCCTCCATGTCTGTTCGCTGTAAAGCTGCTGACCATGTTCCACAGATAAACACAACTACCACAAAGCGCTAGCAGCGTGCCTTTATGATTACCGATCCCCGCCGGATCGCCGAGACATCGATAATGACACGCTTGCGACGAACCCGAATGAGCAAGGGCACAATATACTTCAACGAGCTCTGAGGCGGGTTTCGCAAATGCCTGGCTATATCGTCTGGACGGCGCTAACCGTGTGGTACACTCAGACATCTCGCCGGGGAAGATACCGAAGGACGGGTGTGTGCCGACGGTGCACTCTCCGTGCTGGTGCCTCTCCTCGACCTAGACGGGATGCATTCGGCTACTGGCGTTCTCTCGGACACGCGGATGCATGTCAACATGAGGGCAAACTGCGTTGCCGCCTACGCGTACCTCAGCAAGTTCAACGCCACTCCGGAGCAGGTCAGCGCTGCCGAGCTCGATGCCCAGCGGCTATCCCTGCCTGACGGCGGGCGGCGCGCTCCCGATGCTGTGGATAGCATACTCCACGCGATCGACTACGCCAACCAGGCCGCGCGCATGCAGTTCATCAGCAACATAGTCCTTCACGTCGGCGCTACGTTCCGCGACCTTACTGAGCAACTCGGTCTGGACGTGTGGAGCTTCAAGCAGTATGCACCGCTCTGGCAAGCGGTTGAGCGGCACGAGTGCAAGCTCTTTGATGACAAGCACTCACAGGAGCCGCTCAAGAAGTTCGTAGTGCCACCTTGCGCGGCGCCGGGATGCTTCGGCTGCCTCGAAGGGGAGGATCAGTGGGATTTCTGCCGAGGGAACTGCGCATGGATCGACAAGCCGTGGTATTGCAGCTCGACGTGTCGCGCGGAGGTACGCTTCATCCTCTGAGGGGACCGTGCTTGGACCGATCACTCACGCTTCCATACTAGGAATGGGAGAACCACCGCGCGTCCTGCAAGCCACCTCGGGCAAGCTCGCCTGTCAAGCTGCCGTCTTCCGTTACGCTGGATTGGAAAGTGCGCGATCTTTTGATCCGCAAGCTTGTGCCGAACGGACCAGTCGAGCAGCTCGAGATCGTGCCGGAGGATGTGAATGCCCTCGATGCGAGGAACGGAGATGTAGTCCGGGCGTGGGACATGCCATCCCCGTATGTGGAGGGCGAGACGGTAAAGTGTGTTGTGAAGTGTTATACGTAAAGATTTTGCGTCGTAGAAGGTCCGTGTTTTTCTGGATATTCATTCATCCGTACGCTTTCGTTTTACAAGGCTTAATAAGACGTTCGTAGGTAGTAGTAATTAATAGAAGTCAGCACCGGCCCACACTGGCGGACTGCGACCTGGCAGCAACGTCCACGACTCAAGCTTTGCAGTCTGTCCCGGCGCCAATGATCGAGCATTTTCCGCTACCAATTCGTCCAACACCACCGTGTGTTGGAACAAGAAAGGCGCTATCTGGAGGACAGATTGGCTTGGACTTTGCGAGCCCACCGTTGAGTCTCGCTTTGACGACGTAGAGCAATCTCATTCAATGACTGACTAGAGCCAAGCTCCGCATGGACTTAAGTTGTACGACAGATGTCTATGCGCTTGGTTCCACGCAGATATATAGACCACCAGCGACCTGTATATAAATGCTAGGTTCGTCCGCCGTCATTCGCTCAGCTATCACTGACCCCAAGCCTTGCATTTGCAACAAATCCCGCCGAAACACATCATGCGTAGTACGACACTCTAATTTCGATCGCTCTGCATCTGCTCACGCGCTCACCCTTATAGAGGCTCGTGATTACGCCGAGTTGCGCCTGTTTTGTTTAGACAACAAGCGTATCCTATCGCAGGGACATATGCTCGAAACCGACCGGAACGAACGAGGGCAAGCCAGGCTTGACCGCGCTATGAGGCGAGTATTCACACCATTCAACCAGCTAGTGCGCAATACACTGACCGTACTATGTACATAGCCATCTCGCCGGAAGATCCACATACGGACGGCCGTGCATCGACGGCGCGCTTTGGGAGCTCGCGCCTCTCCTTGCCTTCCGCATTGGTGTGAAGAACTCGGCAGGCCCCCCTCCTGACATCACGGATGCAGACTTCCTCATGAAGGCTTACTCGATCGCCTCATATGCGTACCAATTGAAGTACCACTGGCAGGTCACTCCAGAGAGGCAACGGGCTGCCGAGGAAGACGCCGAGAGCTACCCTCTACCCGCCGGCCTGCGTGTCGACGACGCTACGGTGGACTGCCTCGTCCGCGCGGCCGACTACGCCAACATGGCCGCATGCATGCAGTTCGTCAGCCCGGCAGTGCTCTACGCTGCCGTGATGTTCCGCGACCTCGCCGAGTACCTGGGCCTAAACGTCTGGAAAGGCATCAAACGGTATGCTCCGCTCTTGTTCGCGCTCGAATGGGCCGACTGGCACAAGTACGAGGCACAATCTTTAGTGTGGAAGAGGTTGAACTCCAGGGAGTTTGTACCAGCACAGGCCGTCTGCCTGGCCCCCGACTGTAACCAGTCCCCCGAGAGGGAAAAGGACCGACAGTGGTGCCGAGGATACTGTAGCAGGTACATGAAGCCATGGTATTGTAGCGAGAAGTGTCGCAAAAAGGTACGTCTTTGTCGTCGAGAAAGCCCTGTACCTTTCTCACTAAGGTTGATAGGATTGGGAGAATCACCTCCAGTACTGCATGCCGCATCGGCTTCACGCCGCCTTCACGCCCCCGTTCTTCGTGACGGCGGATGAGCACACACGCGCTCTCCTTCTTTGTGACAAACTCTACCCGGCGGACGTGTCAGAAGTGACCCAGATCGAGATCGTTCCAGACGAGGTGAACGAGCTGGACGCGAGGAACGGCCGTGTACAGCAGGAATGGATACTGCCGTCGCCGTATGTCGAGGGAACGATGGTAAGGGTTGTCTTGAAGAACTATGGTCCTCGCAATGTTAGGCACTAGTATGATCCGTTACTATAGAGAGCTTCCACATCTACAATACTCAGTTAAGGTTATATCACAAGATTCGGACAGTGAGTTGACCGGCTGAGGTGACCAGGTACAAATACGCGTGCTGTTGGAGGAACCACTAGCACCGCCACACCGCATTAGATTGGCTCGTAACGGCATTATCCGCAGCAAGCCTACCTGCGACTACGATGATCTCGTCGTTGAACCCATTGTCGCATCAGAATTCAGGTATCTCAGCTCTTACATGCTCCCTGTAGCTACTCACAGAGTCCACTGAGCGAGCTGCATCCACAGCCAGACACTGCCAAGCGTGACAGCGTCGACGTCCACGTCACCCACAAAGGACTCAACAGATGTGTATGCTCACTGGCAACTTCTGTATCGCAACGACCTGCTCCTTCACGGTACCTAAAACAGAGCTTGTACGTGCATGACTCAGTGAGTGTCCCAAATTTGATTGCCGCTGGCACTTATTCACTGAAAATCCTCGTTGACCGACAATGCGCTTTCAGCTTCAATGATAATGGCCGCTGCAGCTTACGCCCACCCATTGTTTCGTGTTGGTGCTGCCAGTGCGCAGCGAAAAGATTTCTGAACTCGAATATACGTGCGTGCCACCAGTCCAGGCGTTTGTGGCTAAACGCAGGATTTCGCTTGGCGACCTATTGTCCAGCTGAATGAGCTAGCCACCGCGGTCTTTGACACGAAAACGCCGTGGTATACAAAGGACTCGCGGCGGCGCCCCGACCCAGGTATGCAAACCACCCTCTCCACTTACCATCCACCCCGTTCGTCAGATCCTCCACCAACTCATCGACATGGGTATGAGCGTTCAAATCGCATTACTACCGTACCGGGATCCAGCTCACTCGCGTTGACAGACTCTTTACCCAACCTGGTTACTGCGGATAGAGCATGCATGCAAGATTATCGTGCCTTACGCGCGCGCGGCGGTGACAGGGAGCAACCGCTGGATCGACCTCACGCCACTGGTGCGCAGAAAGAATATGTTCCGCAGCACGAGATTGAGGCACAAATCACGATCGAGCACGCTCTCCGGTCAGTGTCCGTTTATTTGCCTATGGTCTGCGACGAGTACTGATTGCGCTGTACACTCAGACTTCTCAGTACGGAGGACTCACAAGGAATGATATGTTCGAACGCCGCTGTGTACATCCTCAAGCCTCTATTGTACCACCGGATCGAAGACTATCTCTCAGCCTCCAACACGCAGCGCGCCTTCCCCGTTCGTCTCTGCATGCAAGCGCATTCCCTTGTCGCGTACGCCCACTACAAGACGTATCTCTTGACGCCCAAGGCTCTCAGAGAAGCCACGATCCGCGCGGTCAATCACCGCCGCGAGACTTTCGACGGTATTGTGTGCCCAGGCGACCCGCTGCAGGCCATTATTCTTGCTGCGAAACACGCATCAATTGCTGCGTCCATGCAGTTCCTCAGCCCCGTGGTATTCATCGTCGGATTTGCGCTCCGCGATCTCGCCGAGCGCCTGGAGCTGGACGTCTGGCATTTCAAGTCGTATGCGCCGTTGTGGCGCGCGCTCGAGCGGTTTGAGCTTGCTCAATTCGAAGAGAAGTACCTTCCTGGAGGGCGCAATGGGCAGACTATGGTCCTTCCAGGACAGACGATATGTGCGGCGCGGGGCTGCATGAACTCGGAGGGGCTGACACCGTGCAGCGGCAACTGCGCGTGGCAGTGGAAGCCGTGGTACTGCAGCATAGCGTGTCAGAGAAAGGTGAGCTCGTTTATTTGCGCCCCATTATGTTTACAGACTGTTAATGCGCACATGTTCAATCGTAGCACTGGGAGTCGGAGGGCCACTGTGACTCGTGCAGGCCGCCGCCGATGTGCGCCCCCTCCCCGTTACCCCCGGCTATAACGTTGGACGAGCGCACGCGTTACACGTTGCTCCAGGAGCTTACGCCTACTTGTACTATCAATGCCGTCGAGATCGTCTCCGAGGATGAAAACCCCGTTGACCCCAGGAACGGCGCCATTGGCTTCTCCTGGATGGTGCCTTCTCCGTATGTGCTGGGCGAGACGGCGCAGTTTGTCGTGCGAAAATACTATGTATAATCATATGACTGAGATTGATGTCGGACTTGTATACAGAGGCGTACAATATCATATGTATCTGACCGCACCCGGAGTACGATAGTGATGACATTGATTCCAATATATAATTTCACACGCCTCTCTGCCTCTGACCACACCCACTCTCCAGTCGCTGTTTATATACCGCTGTCGATTCCCTCACTGAGGCGTCCATAAACACACCTCCGTCCATGCCCCAATCCTCCCCGATGTCAGCCAGCTCTGTATTTCCGCTAGAGATCTGCGAATTTGTCATCGACGCAGTATACGACATTCACCTTCACCACCCTCCCGATTTTGTCTGGGAATCAGACCCTGAACACGGACCTGAGCTACTGGACAACTACTACTGCCTTTCGATACGGCAGCAGACACTTCGCGCTTGCGCGTTGACTTGTCGGGCCTGGCACAAACGTGCCGGAGTCCTACTCTGGAAACATGTTGCATTGACACACGAGCCCTCCCGCCAACTCGCCGCCTTCCTCGAAACCATGGCTTCTGTCGCCTCCGACCATCTATCTTTACCTGCGGTCTTCTCGTTGCGGATGTCTGGAGAGTGTAGGCGGGAGTATGGCTGGAGCGGCTGGCCCATACAGCCGTTACCCCACTTGAAGTTCCCCATTGCACCATCCGAGGATTCCCCCGCCTATAAAGGGATGTCGTCGACCTTGGATCGAATCCGCCGACCACTATTCCCAGCCCTCACAGAAATCTATCTCAGGGGGTGCACCTTCACCACGGCGTCCGACTTTTTCGAATTCTTATGGACGTGCCCTCAACTCTCCCATCTCGCCATGCAAGATTGCGATGTGCACACTGACGACGTGGACATGACGGCGATCGGGAAGACGCAAGGATTCCAACACAAGCACAGGGTGAAGATCCTCACAAAGCTCACCTCGTTGTATATCTACGTGAGCAAATTCCGTGCGTCCGTCGCTACACGCTTTTGACAACGCACCTACTTCATATTAGGACTATCCTCTCACGACCAACTTGCGAACCGTCCCCGGCCATCAATTTGGAAGGGCTGTGACATCGCTGCACATCGGATGCATCTCAATCGCGGACATAGGTACTAAGTGGTACATTCCCTGATGAGTCTGTGGTTCCTAACACTTTTAGCAGAGACCGTCCCCCATTTCGTACACGCTTTTCGCAGGCTACAGGATTTGCATATCGCCGTTCTCCGCACCTCATCTAGTGGTTATTATGTGGACCCAGATTTAAGCTTCGACCGGCCGTTCATCTTCGAGCTCGCCACGAGCCTCCGCCGGCTGTCGTACCCGCGCACCAACCTCCGCACCCTTACCATCCGCGCTGGATATCCCTGCGACGGAGATCTGGAACATTCGAGTTGCTCTACCTTGTTTGGCCCCGAAGAGCCTCAAGCGAACCTCCCCGTGGCGCGGGTCCTCTTTCCGAAACTGTCGCGGCTTGAGGTGGATATCAGGCGTGGCAACGTTGACGAAACCCGAGACGCGTGCTTCCAGCGCATCGCGTCTGCGCTTCCGAGCATGGTGGACGTACTGCGCTTTAGGGACCACAGGGAGGTGACGTTCGCGGTCGTCGATGGCCGACTTCAAGCGGTCTCCGAGTAGTGGAATGTATTGATCGCACAGCATCTTCACAATATGTGTGCGGGCTTGATTGTTTATGTACACACGTTAAAAAGGTGCATTGGAAGGCGCAAGTTGAACCGGACAAAACCCATACCTCAAGCAAAGTAGCGTTGACATACGGGTTTAGCTACAAACCGCACTGACGAATGGATACCGTCGCCGTCGGGTGCGACATATGTCCTTCCCGCATCACGCGTAGATCGGTGGTGCAAAGCTGGGAAGAGCTGAATATCGGATCATGGTAGTCGAACGTGTTCGGCACGCGATGTGGACGCTGTACTCGTTGGTAGTGTCCGTCATGCTGAAAGTCAAGCGTCGAGGGTTGAGCTGTGCCTAGTGATGCTTGCATCCCTTCGCGTAGGACGAATGACTGTCGCATTCTAAGGTGAGAGAGCCGGTACTGACCGCGGAAGACCGTATCATTTGGTACATCTGTTTAGGCTGGACCGTCGCAGCCTTTGAAGCGTAGAGTAAGCAACGTCACACGGGAGTCTCACAAGAGGAGCCACATCACCAGCAGTACGTCCCGGTCGAGGCAATAATGTTTCTGCGAAGTGATACCACAACGAATGTACTGAGCGGAGTAGGCGTGTACTGAAACACTTAGCAAAAAGTCTGGTGGCTGCGAAGCACATGGTGCGCCGACCTGTTTTCCAGTCTGCTTCCGGTTTCAATGCAGTTCTTGTCGCTTCTCAGTGGAAGCTTGACGCTGTGATCTGGAGGGTGACATAATATATGTGAGCGGAGTTCAATGGCAGGGAAAGAAGCGCTATAGCTTAACCTACTAGGCGACGGGCATACGAAGTCTTCGCTCCCCTATCATAAACGATCCGAGAGGGCATCGCCCCGATGCCGATGCCGATTCTTGAAAAGCAAGCCGGAGAAACATGTACTCTGAAGATCGACGTGCTCGGAATATTCTAGAAGCATCCCTGCTACGTTCGAGCCGGAGATTTCGGAATCTGGACGTCAAGGTGACAATCTCCGGAAGCCATGTGCTGTAGGTGAAGACTGAGCGAGCGCACAGAGTGGCACAGAGCCTGACACTGGTCCGCATACTGAGTATTGAGTCCCCTCCACGGCACCTACCACAGATGCGGTTAGTTTAAATGCCTGCTGGCTACGTGAGGGAGTTTACAGCGCTTGACATACAAGTGTAGCACCAGTCCTACGGTGATCGCGGCGAGCCGGGCCCGCACGCTTATTTGTGGCATCACATTGCACTGCATCGATACCTCGGGCGGGGATTCTCTGTATCGTCGAGAAGAGAAGCGCCTCCGGCTCTAAGTTGAGCGCTCCGCCACGGGCTCCTGACCGGAAGACCATGGCTTCGAGCGCGCGCCTCGAGTACACCTGCACGGGTGGTGGTAGATATGCATGACCTGCTATGGTTGTCGTTTTGAACGCCTACGCGAGCGCCATTCGTCGCATCGGACTGACGCAGACAGCTGGAAAGCTATAAAAGAGGGCTGAATCGGCCCTCGTACCGTCAGCCTACCAGGTCTCTTCACCAGTAGCAACAACCTCCAGCACTCACAATGCGTTTCTCCGCCATCGTCGCCCTCGCCGCCTCCATCGGCTTCGCCGTGGCCACCCCGTCTCCCGCTACGCCCGCCCCTGCTGCTCACGGCGGGAACGACGAAGCGGTGCTCCACACCGAGTCCGGGTGCGGCTCGTCGGGTCCTCTGGGCACCGGCCACTTCGTGTGGTTCATCGACGTGGGCTGCAACCCTGGGGCCACGATGTGAGCTTCGATCGTCGCACTCACTCACCTGACACCGCTGACTTGCGGCCGTGCGCCGAACAGGACATGCCAGGCGACCGACTCGACCGGATGCCTCCCCGGCAACCCGGACCACATCGGCTCCATGGAAGTCGACGTAAGTCCCGTCTCCGATACACACAGAAGAAGCTGCGTGTTCTGACAAGGTGATGCGGATGCGCTTTGCAGGATCCGAACGACACTGTTCAGTTCGCGAAGAAGTCGAACACGAACTCGGTGACGTTCGTGTGCCCCTCGGCCGGTCAGGTCCGCTGCCAGGCCAACTTCAACGACAGCGACGACGGCCCTGGCTACAGCCTCCGTGGTATGTTCTTCTTGAAAAAATCTGCCTTCTTATTCCTGTTTGGCTGACTCCCCGCCCCAGTCTTCTGACGAGTCATTGAGCACCGCGGTTATCAGATGGACATGGAGCGATGACGGGACCATAGAACGGTATATGTCATGGGACGGGTAGTAGGCCGTATCCCTTCCGAGTATTACGGTCTATTTCTCGAACTGGTATATCTGCATTGTAGGGTATCGGTCAGAAATTCATCGCGAGATCTTCGTAAACTGTACTCAATGCCGGCAGGACAGTCATGCAGGCACAGCGGCACATACCGGAGTCCAAGGAAAGCGGTCAAACCAGAATATATGCTCCCTAATTGAAATATTTATGTTAGTACAAACTACGGCGATAAACTCACCACAACGATGTGTTCTACGGAGGTGGGAGGGGAAGAGATAGGCTGCGCATGAGCGCTACTGTAGCCTGCAGGGCCGGAGTTTGCCGCGTCACCTCGTGGAGCGTTCCTCGCGCCTCGCGCGTGTTGTCAACTTGGATTCCTCCATATGCATACGCCTCGCAACTCCAGGTACCCCTTCGAATTCTCTGTGATGCCAGCCTCTGCAGTACCTGTAGATGTCTGGGAGGCTGTTCTCGACGCGGTGTACGACGCGTACTACCACCATCCTTCCGACTTCGTCTGGCAGTCGGACCCTGACCGCAAATCCAATGGGCCGCTTCACAACTTCCACGACCTTGCACTGCGACAGAGGACTCTCCGAGCTTGTGCTTTAACATGTAGTGCGTGGCGCGAGCGTGCTCAGTTCCTGCTCTGGAAGCACGTCGTGTTTACCGTGGAGCCCTCGCGTCAATTTTCCGGGCTCCTTGCGGCCATGCGCTCCAGGATTGCCGACTACCAATCGCCCCCTGTGGTCTCCTCGCTGTATATGCTCGGGCAGCATATGCCAGTCTATGGCTTGGTAGGGCGGGCGATACCACCTCTGCCCCACTGGAACTTACCCCTTGCGACATCCTGGGACTCCGAGGTTGAACCTGGGCCCCCGTCAGCCTTGGATCGCGTCCGCAGGCCGTTTTTCCCCGCGCTCACTGACATAAACCTCATGCGCTGCACCTTCGATTCGGTGTGCGACTTCTTCGAGTTTGTATGGTCGTGTCCACAACTCTCCCATCTAGTTTTGCAAGATTGCGACTTGCAGACAGGCCACGTGGACTCGGTAGCGATTCAATCGATGGACACCTTCGCTCGCGAACACCAAACAGAAATACTCACGAAGCTCACATCATTGTACATCCATGTAAGTACCATTTGGACAGTATATCTGGGCGCGCGTCATTGCACATGTCTGATAGTGCGCACGACAGTGCTATCCTCCGTCGCGCAACTTGAGGTTTATCTTTGGCCCACTATTTGGATTATCTGTGACGACGCTGCATATCGGATGCGGCATGCTCGTGGACGTCGGTAAGCGGACGCAGTCTCTTTGTATGCCTGTGAGGCCTCATCGCTCCTTGCAGAGACCATTCCGCACTTCATACAGTACTGGGTACCCACTCTGCAAGATCTGCGCATCATTATACTGAACACGCATCGTAACGCCTCGCTGGATCAAACCCGCCAGCTGCGCCTCGACCGGCCTTTCATCTTCGCGCTCGCGACGAACCACGCACAGGCGCCGCGCCCGCTCGCCAGCCTCCGAACACTCACGTTCCGCGTCGGCTACCCGCCGCACGGAGACCTGGAGCACTGGAGCTGCTGTGCGCTATTCGGCCGCAATGTGCGGGATGATCTGCCTGTCGCGCGCTCGCTGTTCCCGGAGGTGTCGCGGCTCGAGGTCGACATTAGGCACGGCGAGTCAATGGCAAGGGCTGGAAGATCTGGGAGGGGGGCGTGCTTCGTGCACATCGCGTCCGCACTGCCGAGTATGGTGGATGTGTTGCGCTTTAGGGACCACAGGGAGGTGACGTTTGCCGTTGTCGACGGGCGTCTTCAGGCGGTTTCCGAGTAACGGGATGTACTGACTGTAATGCGTCTTCGCATATCTATTCCAACTGGGTTTGTCTTCGTTCTCGTGGGTCTGGCATATCATGCACTCCTAGCTAAAGCTGAACAATGAACTACGACGAAGTGGGGATCCCACCCCTTGTATCGGAGGAGGTCGCGTTTGGTTTCACGGGTAAGCAGTTTGAACAGCATGACGACCCTTTGTTCTTCGTGCTCACGGAAATTTCACGACAGTGGACCGGCGGCGTGGATGCACCGGTGGCTAAAGCCTTCGCTCAATCGATCTTTGCACCCCGACAATGGGGCGGAGAGCAAGTTCGCGACCTGGGCTACCCCCTGTCTCCACCTCGATGCTGTGGACAATGAGTAGCGATAGCTCGCGTAGGAGCCGCAGGATCATGGGCACTGAGCACTGAGCGAGTGCGATGGGAGTATATAAACCATGTTATTGCGAGTAAGTGGCTCACATTCCCCCCAATTTACACCTCTCCTATCTGTCACTAGCCCAGACGTGATACCAAGCGTTTACAATGTGTTCGTCCCTTTTCTCATCGCGGGATACTTCATCGGCTGATCTCTATGCCTTACAGCCGACGCATACACTGAAGTATATCTGACAACCCTGCGGGACTACCGCACGAAGGTCGCGGCCGACGGGGGCAGCCGTGCTCCATCGACGATAGAGGCTGCCGTCCGGTAAGGATCACTCATCGAACTCACGGATAGCACATACGACTTACCAGTTCGTGAATCACAGCTTCCTCTGCGGCCTCACGACGCCGGGCAGAATATGCGCAGAGGGCGCGCTGGATGCGCTCGCCCCGCTCCTCGGCTCACTCATGGACTCCCAAGAGCGAGAGGGACCCCAGCGGATGCCGTCGGCCATCTTCATCGAGGTCGGCGTGCAGGCGCACTCGCTCGCCGCGTACGCTTACTACACGAAGTACATGGCCGACCTCGCCGAGCTCGAGCAGATCCGCGTGGACGCGAGCCTGGCCCAGCGCGCAGACAAGCAGCGCCATCCCTGCGACCAGATCGACAACGTCGTGCGCGCGGCGATACACGCGAACACCGCGGCGAAGTTCCAGTTTATCAGCCAGGCGGTGCTCATGGCGGGCTTCGCGTTCAAGGGGCTCGCGGAGAGCTTGAACATCGACATCTGGGATTTTAAGGAGTACGCACCGCTCTGGCGCGCGCTGGCGGCCCATGAGATGACGCTCCCCCAGAACTGGAAGGCAATTGCTGCGGTGAGACCGCCGGCGCACCGATGTGCGCGGAAAGGATGCTCGAAGGGCGAGCCCCATGTCAGGCTCTATGCGTGTCCAGGACAGTGCCCGAAGCACATGAAGCCGAAGTACTGCAGCCAGAAGTGCCATGTGCGTCATCTCCGCTACGACGACTCGGACAGTCTGCTCACCTTTTGTGCCCGTCAGGATTCCGATCACCTGCCGGCCGCGTGCGCGGGGGTGGTCATGCTTGCGCCACCGCCCACTGTAGTTCTCAGCGAGCGCGTGCGCACCACCATTGTCGAGCTGAGGTCGACCCGCCCCATTATTCAGGCCGAGATCGAAGTGGGCCATACGAGAGTTAGCCCGGAGGCTGCGCGATTCGAGCGGGTAGATAGCGAGGAAGCTACGACTGCGTTCCGGTGGATGCCTCAGACTAGGGGTTTTCGGGTCCGGTACGTGAGGAAGACTTACCTCTGATGAATCCTGCAGACTCAGGAGCTTGGGAAGCGGGCACGGTGTAGTATGTTATCTATATGTATCTTGGTAGCGAGAATTTGTATCCTGTCACCACACGTTTGACGGCTTTTAGGCTCTGTCTTTGGATCCAGAGTGTCTTACTGATCTTGTTCAAGTTTTTGAGTGGCTTGAATTTTGTGGTCCTCGCCGCTCGGAGCAAAAGGGCTGGTTTGCGATCGCGACATGCTCGCAAGGGGCTACCTTCTCCTGCCGCCTGCGGTCCGGCTGCCGGGCCCGGCTCCGAGAGCCGGCGCTCACGATGAACGCTTCAGCGCTTCCTGCGCTATCTTGCTCTTTCACCCTCCGCCGCAGACTGTCTGGCTTAACTTATGCTCGACGAGTGCTGTAGAGGTTCTGTCGGCATGCATCTCCGACGTACTGCATGTGCTCTTCCTAAAGGACGCCCCGTGCGATATGCGTCCACCAGTTCTGCTTCGTACCCGTTCCCACACCACGCGCACCCGACCCCTCACCAGATCTTCCACCTTCCGCCGGGGGCGACTCAGCCGCAGATCAAGGCGCGCTGTAAGCTTTGAAACGATGCACCTGTGCTGGAGATAAAGCTCCGGCTGACTGGCCTTACGCAGACTATGAGCTCGTGCGGGTACACCATCCCGACTCCCCGTCCGGACGGGATCTTTCTCCTGCCCTCCGACACAAGCGCTTTCAGTCCATCACCGCTGCATACGACATCCTTCGCGGGAAGAGCAACGGAGCAGGCACTCCGGTAGACATCTACCGTGCCGAAATCGAACGGCGAAGACGCGCTCGCGCTGCATACGAAGCTTCTCGGGGGTATGCGCATACACGTCCACGCGCGGAGACGTGGTCTGCGAGTGCGGACGAGCGGTGGAAGGACAGGGTTATTCTCTTCGTGGGTCTTATGGTACGTTTCCTTTATCTTGCTCTGCCGCGTACGGCTCACAATTCGTAGGCGCTTGGGGCGGGGTTGGGGCCAGCGCTGGTCTGGCCATCGTATACGGCGTCGTACCAAGCCCATGTGTCTGCCTCGAAGAACCTGAAGGAGGCGCGGAAAGAGGCACGGGAGTTTGGCGAAGAGAGACGGAAGCAAATCCGGCGAAGAGTGCAGGAGTATAACGAGCTCAAGGCTGCTCAAGAACGTCCCCGGGAGGATGAATCAAGGACATAATACGGTGTGTGTAGCGTGTATAACAGTGTATCATATCTCCCGTTCTGCTATGCGTCTCGGCCCTACATCTTCGCTCTGGCAAGCCCATCACAGACCGATAGCGGTCGACTTCGATCTATCCGTCTATGGCTTCGTGAGGTTCCTATACGTATCATAAGCATTCAGGACGGTGGCCTCGTCCTCAGCACATATTATAGCTAAACCCACTGACTCTCGAGGTGTGTCTCCCCCTTCCTTACTCGTGATTGCGTTTCCGTTCTGACGGTCTTTTCTCCCCAGTGTTCTCAGTGGTGGCCACGCATATGGTTCTGTCATTTGGCTCTCGGCATACAGTACTCCACTCCGTGGTAGCCTTGACTGCTGAACGTTTTACTCCTCTCCCGTGACATCCTGCAGGCTGCTAAATCGTAATGAGAATATGGCGATACACGGAACGCGCTGTAGACAGCGAGCAGATACCCGAGGCTCTCCGGCGGCGCTCTTACATCGCCAACTCTTCACTTAATCCACCAGGATGGTCATCTGGCTCACTGTCGAATCCGACGCTCGCCCCATCGCACCAAAAGTCAACTTGCATTGCCGTACACTACTTCCGTGAAGAGCAGCAGACGCCCATCGGACGCCCAGCAGGTAAGAATGATCTTGGCTGCAGCGCTTTGCCGGACGCTCACTCCACCCTAATGAAGCTGCGCCGACGACGGGCGAACGCCCGAAACGCACCCCGGAGTCGGCATCAGCTGCGTTTGGCAGCGCATCGGGGCGCGCTGGGGTGCTTCCCCGCGCCGACGCCCGACGTCGATCGGACGATGCGCTCGGGGTGAACGCTGCATTGCGTCACTGCACCGGCGACAACGCTAGGATTTGCGCGTAGGGCGATGCGCCGAGGTCAGCTCTGGGGTCACGACGCAGGATATTGCGGTCAGCGTGCTCCGACGAGCAGTTCGTAGGTGGAGTGCATTCTCGGTTGCTGGGTCGTGAAACAGAGCGCGGTGGAGTATCCACCTCATTTATCGTTTCACAGCGGTTAGAATCGGACGCTGTGGACGTAACCACCGGGGCAACCGACACCGAGTACGCTCGACGAAGAGGACACTTAGTCGTTCGAGCAGGCCAGTCGAGCGCAGTCTTAGAGGGAGACAAGAGGTATAAAAACCCATACGTCCTCTCCAGGCCTCTCCAGTCACCCAGACTTCCCCATCTACATCGAACACCCACCACTCGCCTTCACCACCACCAACCACATTTTATTCACCATGCGCTTCTCCACCATCCTCGCCCTCGTCACCTCCGCCACCCTCGTCTCGGCCACCCCTTCCCCCGCCGATGCGTCGCTCGTCGCCCGCTCCGGCGATGGCAGCATCTCGCTCGCCAAGCGTTCCGGGTGCGGCTCGACGGGCCCGCTCGGCGACGGCCACTTCGTGTGGTGGATCACCGCCCCGTGCAAGGCTGGCACGCAGATGTACGACTGCCTCCCCGCCCTCGGCCCTCGCCCGTGCTAACTCTTCGTCGTGCCCTGCAGGACCTGCCAGGTCACGGACAAGACCGGCTGCCTTCCCGGCGACACCAGCAAGATCGGGTCCGTTGAGGTCGACGTGAGTACCTTGCCGTCCGACATCGAGTCGCTTGGAACTGACTTGACTCCCCGCGATAGAACCCGGACGACACGACGCAGATCGCGAAGAAGAGCGGCACGAACACACTGCCGTTCACTTGCCCGCCCGAGGGATCCGTCCGCTGCCAGGCGAACTTCAACGACAACGACGACGGCCCGAGCTACAGCCTCCGCGGTCAGTCTTGCACCCGTTTTTTCACCGCTAGGCTGATACTGATGATTCCGAATGCAGTGTTCTAAGCGTGGAAGCACCCTCGGCCAACGTCAGCGGTATGCACGCACGAAGAGAATCTTGTAGTCACTGCTCGTCTAGAGTAGTGACGGTTTCTACCCTTCTTGTAATCCGTGTAACACCATAATCAATTGTCCTCAGATTCGGAAGCACTATGCGTGTGCTATAACGGTCCTGTCGTGACTCTACACTTGTAGTCGTGTGCCGATTATGGTGAGCCCTGAGCTCTTTCGTGCCATGAACCAAACGGCCCCTGTTAGGCATGGACTCCTTCCATCTCGTGAGATCGATCGCAGGATGAACGATCGCCCTCGCGGTTGGCCGCGCCAGCATAAACCCCTTCATCCTCTTCGAGGTCGTCGAGGTCGAGCAGAGTCTCTCCCAACCCAGCCGGGAGAGAAGCCCCGGCGGAGCCTACCACGCGGGAAGCGAACCTGAGCGTGCCACCGTTCCCGGCGTCGTCATGACCTGTGGACACTGCGCCGTGGGACGCATGGTTGACCGCTCGCTGGTCCGCGGATTGAAGGGCTAGCAGGAAGCGCCAGGTGAGGATGGCGGTCATGCTGTAGAGAGCGCCGCATAAGTTGGTTGAACGAAGGTGAGGGGGGGGAGACATTTACGGGTCTGTGAACGTGGTGACTTCGCTGAATCCGTCGACGGCGTCCACGATCTGCAGAGAGGCAGATGGCGTCAGCTGTTCGGGGAACCACACCTAAGCACAGCGCGCGAGAAATGTGCCTCACCGAGAGGCATGTGAGTGCGAGGTGGAGCGTGTTTAAGATGACAATGACCCTGGAGAACGAAATTCAGACTGGAGAACACGATATCAAGCTGCAAATTCTTGCTTACAGAAAGTATATCGTGCCTACAATATGAGTTTGCTATCAATTGGACGTGCAATCTACTCAAAACGCCATCGGACGACGAACCGTTCGTTATAAGGATGTTCCCCAGGGAGGAGACCGATCCTACCCCAGCGATCGTCCGGTCCCTCGTGAGCCTAGAGCGCCAGGTCACGGCGATAACGAGGACGTCGGCGGCAATGACACACGAGCGGGCCACAGCGACGGCTGAGGAGGTCATTATACATTAACGATGCGCTACAGAAGACACTCGACCGGCTTACCCCTGCGTGCTACGATCAATGTCCATTCGTACGGATGCTCAAGACTGGAACAAGACTCACACTACGGCCAGATGAGGTGTCAGGTCATTGCCGTCGGCGCACCCGATGCGTTCGATCCTCGTCCCCGACATGCCGAGAGACAAGTTCCACTAGAGCGAGAGATTGAATATCAGCCACCGGGGACTCGAATGTAAGGGTGAGCACACCATGTTCACACCAAATGGGCAGACAGCCAAGACGAAGACGGCGGACGCCAACGCCCAGTTCATGCCGCTCAGCGCGAGTATGCGCAGGCCGGAGAATCCTACGATACCGACTTTCTGATCAGCTACGGTACACGCGTGCTGAAATTCCGGACTGATGAATGAGGAGGCTTACCGGCCCAGACGAGAGACTGCATAACACTCGGTACGAACTGTACATACCCGAGCACCACACAACTCAAACGCGACACGCATAGGTAATGGTGCTAAGTCTTTGAGAAACGAGCGACACACCTCTATAACCGTCTCCGTCAGTCGTGAATTACGATGTACGTAGCGGTCAGAGAAGTTAGCATACATGATCTGGAAGGAGTGCAAATGTTGCCGCTCCGAGGATGGGCCCGGCCAGGAGTGCCAGGTAACGTGTCGCGAGGAAGAGCAGGGTTGCACCAGTGATCCTGCGCCTCCAGAACAAGTTGACCTCTTGGTCGAGGGTGATCAGGTACTCGTACGCGGTCAACGCTGGAAGGGTAGAAACGGGGAATTATGCTATGAGCATACAAGCGGCATCGAGGACTCGAGGATCAAGTACTCAGCGTCGCTATTTCGATAAAACTCGCTGTAAGACTGTGACACCGCGACGAGACAACCCGAAGTCAGATAGCGTGCACGAGAGGATGATGGAAAAGAACATACATGGATGAGAAGAACTGGATTTCATCGTCATTTGAGTCCGACATGATCGCTGAGCAGGTCGAGGAGGGGATGCAGCAGACTCGAGGTTGTACTTCAAGATGGACGAGTACAGCACCGCCGTCGCTGCAGCATTCTATATAGCTCAAAGAAAAATGAGTAATCCCAAAACTAGACACATGAATCGTACCTATCTACCTGTGGAGATGGCGCTTCTATCTGTCTGCCGATGACGGATCGTCAAGCGGAGGTGGCCAAAGTTCTGCTACTACAGATGCTGGTGCTATGCACCTTCCCGGACGGCGCAGAGGCGATGTTGAAGCCGTGATATAGCTCAAGTGCACAGCATGCATGACATCGAAGACGGGATATGATTGTACCAAGGAATTTGGACGAGTTCTGAAAACGTGAGACGTTCAGCCGCTGAGATCGCTGGTTTCCGAGCAGTGCGAGAGGGCTTACCTGTCGAACTACTCGTATTCCTCGGAACGTGAAATCGCTAGAGCATCAGGTAGCCGGCAAGAGAACACAGGCGGGAGACGCTAATGCTCGTAGGTTCCGGGGACCCCGGAGAAGTTTGAGAAGTCGTCGAAGTCCGTGATTATCAAGTCCAAGGTAACAAGAGACGCCATGCGCTATGTGGCAGATCGACAAAAACACCCGAGTTCGCAGTCAGCTTAGTATATAGTGGAGTGCAAGGCGTAGCGATACATTGACGTACCGTTATTATCAATCGCCGTCGGCTCGACGCTAAACGGCGAACGATGGCGAGCACTGCGTGCGGGGCCGTTTGAAATGATTGAAAGGATGCATATATGTTGCTTATAAGAACCCGACGCGAGTTCAAGCCCGGCTTAGCCTAACGGCCCGCCCGGTTCGATACAGTCAGTGGCTTTACCAGAATGAGAGGTACATCCCATAATTCGACTGCGCACGGCGTTTCGATGGGTGCGTTGGACAAGCTATGAGCGTGCTGGACCTGACGGAGAGTTACGCCACGGCTGCGACGGTATCGCAACCTACATACGACGTCGATCCCGGCGAGGCACAGGCTGCGCCGATGATTGTAGATCTTGAGGGTGTTGATGGTTTCAAATATTATGACCTGTTCATCGGGCATGCCCGCCCAAGTATCGAAGTATCAGCACCGCTCACACGTTCTGTCCCCGAGCCAGGGGGGCGGAAATAGAGCTCCTTTGAGTACTACGACCCGTGTCAGGCACCTGTTGCCTGGGTGTGCAACAGCGGGTAACCGCGGCCGCAGAGACGTCCTGGGTGGTATGCGCCGAGCGTAGAAAGCCGGTAAGGGGATAACACCGGGGGTCGATCGTAGTGATCGTGCACGACATGGTTGCTCTTGACATAGACAGCCAGCGGCGTATACGACACCATAGCTGTCACCCCAGGTTGTTTTACGAAGACTAAACCCGAAGCACCGCGAGAGGATGTCGCGGAAAGAGGGAGCGAAAAGCTGCGATCAGAGTGAAAGCGGACCTGGGGGTGTATTTGCGGTATGATAAGAGGGCGGCGACGGCGAGCGGCGACGCGATCCACGTAAATCCCAGGTACGAAGAGTGAATATGAAACAGCCCGGGCCGAAGCAGAGGAAGGTCGGCATAGCAGGAGATCGGTTTGATCCAGCGGCAGAGACGTCGACATCAGCTGGAGGGATCAGGGCAGAGGGAGGAGCGAAGGTCCTCTTACAGCAGCGCATGAGTGTGCAAGAAGTACTCTTAGATAATCATACTGGACAAGGAGTCGACGAGTGAATCGAAAGGAACTGCGCCTGACATATATTTCGCGTGAAGAGGCATGAAAAGCTCACGGTCTTTTTAGTGCTCGTTGTCCAGGACGACTTGACTTAAGCTTGAACGCCCACAGACCCGGCCTTGTTCACGCGGAATGTCCTCTGTCCAAGTTCCTCGTCGCGGCCGTGAAGCGATCCATCACAGTAGAGCAGCTGGTTGATGGTCCCTGTCAACGTGCAGACGGCTTTGCACATGTCGCGAGCGCGTCCAGGGGTTCTGGGGAGATGCCGAGGAGCGCCGCGGCGGAGATGAGAGTCACAAGTGTACGCGGATTGGCGCCAATGCAGTGTACGTCTTGCTTCTCTCCCTGCTTCGCCGAGGTCTTCGTATTCATTTGAGTGGACTGGGTTCGATAGCGAGAGCGAGTGCCATGATGGAGAAGAGAGAAGTAGCCGGGTAGCGTGTGGGGCTAGCGGGAACATCGGACATATGTCGTGCATGACTGACTAGACCGCGATGAGGACCGAGCAGGGATTGGTCGATGGGGCGTTCACCATGATTGGAGGAAAGAGAAAGTGCGTATGTGGGCGAGCAGTGCGCGGGGGAGATTGGGAGAGCGCGATGGCATCTGTCAGGAGTTAATTGATGGCCCCTTCCCTCGGGATCCGGAACGGAATTTGGGTTTGTGGGGAGTCGAGCTCATCGTCATCTCCCCCGCACAGGCGCGAACGGCGAGCACAACGTGAGTGCGTATGTTCCGCTTGACAAGGCTGGGAGGGAGTGCCCGGGTGACTTGGCAGGGGATGGATAAGTACCTCCACCGCTCTCGTCAATATTCCTCCGGCCCCCCACCGCCACCGCCGTCTGCCCCATCATCTTTCGTATCCTGCTCCTCCTCCTCCCCGTCCGCGTCCGTGCACCGTCGCTCAGCACCATGGGCGTCGCATTCATCCCCCTCGACAAGGCCTACCTCACCGCCATCTGGCTCGAGACCCTCTTCTACGGTACGTGCGCGATCACACACGATCCTCGCTAGCACGTCGATCTGTCCAACTCACCTTGACCCCGCCACCGACGTGCGCGCAGGCGTCAACGTCTGTCTCTTCAGCTCCTATGTGTACATCCTGCGCTTCCGGCACACGCGCAAAGTGACGCCAATCATCTTCTGGGTCGCCGTGCTCATGTTCTGCTTCTCGACCGTGCACGTCGCGCTCGGCTTCTGCCGCCTCATCTGGGGCTTCATCGACCTCCGCGACATGCCCGGCGGGCCCGGCGCCTACTTCTCCGACGTGTCGACCCCGCCCAACGTCGCGAAGGTCACCATCCACTCTGTGAACTCCATCCTGGGCGATAGCATCGTCGTGAGTGTGCATTTTGTGCTTTAATGAAAAATGCACCCCGGACTGAGCGGGCGCACGATTATCCAGGTGTGGCGGTGCTGGCACGTATGGGGCGGCAACTGGCGAGTATGCGTCGTGCCCATCCTGCTCATCATCGCGTCGGCGGGTGAGTGTACATGCAGTTCTGCTCGATAAGTGAACGTACTGCTAATGCGCGACGACTAGTGTGCGGGTTTTCGCAGGCGATCATCTTCGCGGAGGCGAAGACCGTGCACAGCGCCTTTGCAAATGTACGTCCGCCTTCGCACCTCAGTCCCACACGCAGCTCCTTACCAGTGCCCACAGGAACTCGAGCGCTGGAACGGCTCGCTTTTCTCGCTATCTCTGGTAACCAACGTCGTAGTCACCACGCTCATCGCCGCGCGCATCTGGTACGCCCCACATCCCCATCGCGCGAAACCCGCACTGACGCCACTCCCCGCGCGCGCAGGTTCACGACGCGCGAGACGAAGGAGTTCGGGCTGCAGTCCAGCTTCCGCTACACGAAAGTGCTCGTGCTGATCGTCGAGAGCGCGATGATCTACTCGTTCGCGCTCATCGTCGAGATCACGCTGTACTTCATCGGCAGCAACGCGTTCTACATCGTCTACGACCCCATCGCGCAGCTCACCGTACGTCCCCCTCCCCTCTCTCTTCCCTTCATACCCTCGCTGACGCACGCGCGATTCTGCAGGGCATCGTCCCAACGATGATCATCGTGATGTCCGTGCTCGGCCTGACCGCAGGCGACTTCGAGAGCGCCGCGACGCGGCGCGGGACCGGCGCGGGGGCGGGGGCGGGCACGACGCACATGTCGACGATGCGCTTCGAGCACGGGCGCACGGTCACGTTCTCGACCGCGCCCGGGCTCACGACGGACACGACGACGAGCGGGTTCGCGTCGTATGCGGACGACTCGGCGCTTGATGTAAGGAAGGGCGCGGGCGCGGGCGCGGGGGAGGATGTGAAGATGGAGGAGCTGGCGCCTGTGGATGCGGATGTGGAGGCAAGGCCGCGGTCGCGGTGAGGTGTCTGCATGTGGGCGTGAAAAGAAAAGAGCGAAGGAGAAGCACTATCTGACTATCATTATCATACTACCATCCCGTCGACCGCGCCGACGCTTACATGCTGTATATATTTCCCCATCTATCGACCCCGACATCTTGTACATACCCGCAATACGGCTCTTGCTTTCAAATCCGAAATCGCGCCTCTGCCAATGCATCTGTCTTCGCTGCGATTTGTAATGTCTACCCGTACGACACGAGATATTCGGAGCGAAAGAGTACAGCGATGTTATACGGAAGTAAAGTACAAGTTGAAACATACGATATTGAACCGTCCGCGGCGCTACCCTGATGCCGGCACCTCCTCGATATCCCGGGTGCCGTCAACTGCTATTGGATGTAGACTTGCCGCTGGACGTAGACTTGAGAGGGATACGCCGCAAACTTCATCGTCACTCTGATCCAGGGTACTATCCGTCGTCGTGTGATCGGGTCCTAGCGGCGCGCCCATAGACCCGATCACCCTCGCGAAGACGAGGGAGCCTACCCCGGCGGTGTGATGATCCACGGACTCGAAGGCGTGCGAGTCGTTCATCGAGGATACGTTCGCTGCTTGGAGGTCCAACAGGAAGCGGCATACGAGCACGGCGGTCAGGCTGGCAGAGAGCGTCCCGAGGCCCTTCAGTGTATGTATAAGTGTATAGAGAGCAGCGAGGACGTACGGATCTGTGAGCGCGGTGACGTAGCTGCCTGAGTTGATGGGTGTCACGAACTGCGCGTCGGAGTGAAGGTCAGCGTCGAAGAAGATATGCTATGCGAGAGGGCGCATACCGCGATGACGCTCAGCGCGAGGTCGAGCACGTTGAAGCAGAGCAGCGCACTGGACGAAGCGCTAGCCTGTTCAGTGTCGATACGCGCGATTATTTGGACAAATGCTCACGCGAAGTATATTAACCCTACGAGCGAGTCGCGTCAATCAGGGCACCAGGGCACGAGATAGACAGCAAGGGAGGCGTACCGTCGTATAGTAGGACATTACCCAGACTTCGTTGCGAGCCACCGAGGTGAGGCGCCTTCGCTCCTTGCCGGGTTTTGGCCACCGTGACCGCTACACCGATGATGTCTGCGAGGATGAGGCCCACTCTGGACACGACGACAACTGATAAACGTTGAGGGTATGACCCGAATGCAGAGTCCGCTGCCAACACGCACGACTGCAGCGTAGGGATGAGCAGGGTGATGACAGGGGGATCAGCGAGACTTGGACGCACATTTCGACCTGCTGCTGTGTCGCATCTATCTGACCCTGGCAGCCAGCCAAGGGGGTGTTCACCCCAGTCAATTTGAAGCCATACTGGGTCTGGACATGCAAGGGTGTAAGTGGGTAGATGGCGTAGTCGGAATAAAGCTGCGTACGAAGTTCGCCGCAGCCGGGGCGGAGGCTAACAAGAAGACGAGAGCTGCGAGCGGCCGGTTCATACCGCTCAGCGCGAGAACACGCAGCGCCGAGAATGCTATATCCCTAGTTCAGAAATCGGATTCGCTAATATGCGGCGGTGCTACTCACCTGCCCAGGGAAAGTATTGGAATATCGAGAACCCCGCTTGTGCTTTGATGATGAGGGCGCAACTGGGTGTGTCAGGCCATGCTAACTCCGCAGTGGCGGCGCGTGTGCCTGGTGGACCTTACCTCTGTAGCAAACTGTCAACGAACATCGTTTCGAGGGTACATGGAGTGCACGTACATCATCGGATAGCCGGGCGAAGCTGATTGCGCCCAGGATGTCATAGCAGATGAGCGTCGAGTACCGTACGAAGAGGAATAGCGCAGATGCGCCCGTGAAGCCGCGCTTCCAGAATAGCTTGATCTCTTGGTCGAGGGTGATTAGGTATTCGTAGGCGAGGAAAGCTGGCGATTGAAAGCGACATTAGGACGGCGTTCGCGAACTTGTGGATATGGCAAGGCGCACTGATTACTGGAAACTCGATGTAGTTCAAAGTAAAGCTAGAACATGTACATCTTAGATTGGCCAATACAGACACGATGATCGTCCAGTATAATCGGCACACGCACCTGGTACTGACGATAGTGATGATCTCGGCAGCACTTGGGGCGTCTTGCGCAGACATCACGGTAATGTGGAGAGCACCCGCTCACGACAGAACCTTGCAGCGCTTTGCTGTCCTTATAGGTCGCCTCGCTGTGTTCTGGTTCACGGGATCGTGTTCTTCTCCACGGGAAGGCACATCAAGGTCCTCGCCCTGATGGCGATAGGGAACAGCTGCGCGGAAGGGAACTGTGGGAAGGTCAATGCAGGGCAAAGGTACATTGCTAATGATTTATGACCTACACGCTTGAAGACCTTCAGCAGAGGCTCTTCTGCATGGGAACAGATCGACAAAAGCGCAGCAATGGCGGATTCTTGGGAAGAACCTCGGCCCTCGGGGCAGTTTCTGGAGTAGGGCGCTTCCGAGCGGGCACACGCGGAGACTTCCACTGGCTATAGCAACAGCTCGCGGTATGCTTCGTGGCCGCCAGGATGAAAGTGAATGAATCTAGGGGTCGCCGAAAAACTACACACGCTTCCGAAGGCACAGGACACCTCGACGACTTATGGTGACGCTGGCAGCCTTGAATCGCTCACGCGGACTACAGTAACGCTGTGGTGTCGTGGCCGATGTTTGATTCTAGTCGGGTGATATCGTGCAGCGCAAAATGAGCTTGTGCATTGATCAGGATCCCAATTCTCCAGTGGCAGAAAGCCTCGAGCTGAGTACTAGCTGAGTGCGTGAGTGCGGGAGGAGGAAGAGAGAGAGGAAGCGGCGGCGAAGAGGAGAGAAGAACAGCCGGCGGGCCGGACGGCTAATGTCGGCGGCATAGACGGGCCGGCAGCTCGTGGCGAAGTTCGTGCTGTCCGTTCGAGCCGGAGTTGGACCTTGCCTTGCAACACTCTTCCGACTCGTCCTACCAGCTGAACGCCGCTCACAACACGTCTCGCTATGCCTCCCACCCTCGAGATACTGTGCGACATTCCTTGGGATCTCTACCCAGGCAGATGTGCAGGCTTTGAGGAGTACATCACTCTCAAAGAACAAATCTGCTACGACTACCGCCACCCGCCCAACTACAGGCAACTGTACATCGAGGGTCAGCGCTCGGTCAGGGAGAACTTTCCGGGTCGTTTGAAGTACGGTATACGCGTTGATGATGGCCCACTCATGCTTGAGTACTGCCTCAGGTGCGTACAATTCTCATTGTCTTTCACCGTCCGTGGCTTACACCGCTGTGAAAGAGCTCTATCCGTATGCCACCCTCTCATGTCCTTGAAGGACGTCGACCCCCTGACCATCTGTCACCGACTCGCCGGGGGCGATCAGACGCCTCCAGAAACCGAAGAAGAATACGCCAACTTCCGAATTCCAGAAATCCGAAACCTAACGCCACGGCTGCGTCTACAAGGCCTCGCCTGCTTTGCGCACATGAAGTTCTGGGCTGACGAGCGGACGCCGCAGTGCTATACGCACCTCGTCGAAAGCGACAGCCCGATGTGGGACGCGTGTAACGCGGCCGACATCTGCGTTGGGCTCGGCTTCGTCCCGCCCATCACGCTCCGGATCGCGGGCTGGATGGCGACGACAAAGGCGCGTTTCGGCGTCGACGCGCGCCGCGCCGACAGGTTCAAGGACCTGCACTTCCTCTGGACCACGCACGCGAACTACCTTTCGCGCCTCCAGCTCCGGGAGGACTCGCGGCTGAGGAAAGTGGCGAAGGCGCCCCATCTGTACCGGTGCGCCAATGACGGCTGCAAGATACAAGCGACTAACAGAAACGCGCTGCGGCGATGCGGTGGACGCTGTCCACTGGAGCGGAAGCCCCACTATTGCAGCGAGTTCTGCCAACGACAGGTACGTCGCGTTCGATTGTTCTGGTACACGTCCCGGGAACAGAGCCACCCATGTAGCATTGGATGATTCATCGCGAATTCTGCAAATCGGACACCACTACCGACCACACCGACATTATCGACGACGACGGAAGCGTAGACTGGGTTGACGTTGACGAATTCAAACTGCCTGCCATTGTTAACGACAAAAAACTGTGGGAGCAAAAATGGCCCCTCTTCGCCGACAGTGAGGGGCCCGAGATCTTCATTGACGTCCCGAACGACAGCCCATTCCGGAAAGGCGAGGTCGTACGCCTCAAGACGCGGACACTCAGCCCCGAATGCTTGAAGGACTATCGTAGCCTGTGGGCACCCGTCAAGAACTCCGCGAAGTCAAAGACAAGGAAGCACGTCGAGAAATGTGAGATGCCACCCTCGGAATACTGTCTCTGCGTGATGTTGACCACGGCGTGCGTGCAGTGATGGACGAATCGCCGCACAATATGGGTTTCCCTCCGGATGATGTGATGGATTTGCTTAAGGGGGCTCAACTGAAGCCTTGGTAACTCGTCCTTTGCATCTTCCTCTTCATGCTTGGATGCTATTCATGTAATCTAGTTGATTTTTGTTTGTTTTTTCACGGCGCAATTAAAGTTGCAGGTCAAGGTCCTCGCCATGGTATGTATGTAGAAAGCAACGCGCCCTCCGACGCCTGAAAGTCTTGTGAAGAGATACGGCGTCCATGTGTCTGCACTACCGTGTCGTGGCGGACAGGCGGGCAGTGGGTCATCGCCGTCGATAAATCCTGGATGGAAGCGGCCCAATAGGCGTTGGCCGCATAGGCGGCCCGGCCGCTTATGACGAAATAAAGTGTTATCCGCCCGCCTCGGAGTTGGTCGACCTGGTCCCTTCCCTCGCCACCCTCATCCGAATCCTCTACCCGAGCTGACAGCACATCCCGCCATGCCCCTCGTCCTTGAGCTACAGTGCGACATCCCTTACGAGTTCTACCCTGGAAGATGCGACGGCTTCGAGGAATACATGACCCTCAAGGAACAAATCTGCTACGATTACCGCCACCCGCCTGACTTCAAGCGGTTGTATGCAGAGGGCCAGTGTTCCGTTAGGGAGAACTTCCCGGGCCGCCTGAAGTATGGTCTGCGCGTTGATGACGGCCCACTCATGCTAGAGCACTGCCTGAGGTATGTCCGACACTCTGTGTTCACGCTGCTCATCACTGATATACCGGCCCAGAACGATTTCCGTATGCAATCCTCTCATCACAATAGACGACTGGTACAACCCGCTGTCTGTTTCTAAAAGACTCGCCGGGGTCTATTCGCAGGCGGACGAAGAACGGGCCAACTTTCGACTTCCAGAGATCCGGGACCTCACGTCACGACTCCGCCTGCAAGGACTCGCCTGCTACGCGTACCTCAACTTCTACGCGTGCTGGGTAGACGAGAAGAGAACCATGAGCTGCAAGAGCCTCGTCCGAGTCGACGGCCGCAGCGCGATGTATGACGCGTGCTCCGCTGCCAACGTCTGCGTCGGACTCGGCTTCGTGCCGCCCGTCGCTCTCCGCATCGCGGGCTGGGTGGCGACTACTAAGGCGCGCTTCGGCGTCGACGTGCGCGGTACGGACAAGTTCAGAGAGCTGCGCTTCCTCTGGTCCGCGCACGCGAACTACCTCTCTCGTCTCCAGCTCAAAGAGGACGCGCGGCTAAGGAAGGTGGCGAAGGCGCCTTACCTCTATCGGTGCGCCAACGACGGCTGCGAGATTCAAGCGACTAACAGGAGCGCATTGCGGCGATGCGGCGGCGGCTGTCCGCCTGAGCGAAAACCCCATTACTGCAGTGAGTCCTGTCAGCGTCAGGTACGCCATCCACGCATTGCTTCTACTTATTCTAGAATAGTTGAGTCGCTCGATTAGCATTGGACAATCCACCGCGAGTTCTGCAAGTCCGACACCACAAACAACTACACAGACATCGTTGCCGACGACGGCAACCCCGACTGGGTTGATATAGACGACTTTAAGATCCATATCGACGAGAAGCCGCCCTGGAAGCGCGAGTGGCCTCTCTTTTCCGACTACGAGGGGTTAGAGATCTTCATCGACATCCGGAACGACAGTCCGTTCCGGAAGGGCGAGATCGTACGCCTCAAGACGCGGACACTGAGCCCCGAGTGCTTGAAGGCGTACCGCAGCGTGTGGACGCCGGTCAGGAACTCCGCGAAGTCGAAGATGAGGAAGCACGTTGAGAAATGTGAGCGGCACGTCTTTGCTTCTCAGTGAGGTGCTGACCGCGGTGCACGCGTGTAGTGATGACCGAACCCCCGGCGAACATGGGATACCCTCAGCGGGACACGTGGGAGCCGGGATCTTGACTGGAGCGTTAACGTTGGTAACTCGTTGCATTCTCCCTTTCCGTGCTTAGACATAACAAGCGTAACTCGGACGACCATTTTCTTCTCTCTACGGCGCGAGCAGGGAATGAGACTGTGAGCTTGGTCTCGATGGCTTGAACCTCTGACCGTCTGACGCTTGGTGCTCCCATGAACTTGAAGAGGCAGCCAGTCCAAGTGTCGTAGCCACAGTGGCGCGGTATATTGTCCGTTGACCCTTTGACGTCCATGCGCAGGACATCCGCTTGGACGACGGTGAGGCATATGCGTAGCTCTTTTGTATAAAGAGCGCGGCGCTGGGTAGGCCATTCGCATTGCCCTCTCTTGGACCGGCGGTGCAGGATGTCCAAGCATCCTGACCTCCTTTACTATAATGATCCCCGCCCCGAGTCGAGCATGACGACCAGGAAACGATCCCACACGTCCCCCAACTGACCTCAGAGCTCGTCGTCGACGGAAGGTAGACCTACATGTGTAAGTCCACCTGCGCGCGATAGCCTCCCTGCTCGCGCTGAGGCTGTTTCTCGACAGCGGACCAATATTTGCAGATTCGCCGTGTTTGCTGCGTCGATTACCGCGTGGACTTCTCAACCACATTGCCCCCAGTTTTGAGTTCCGGTCCTCAGGAGGTCCCGGCTCAGAAAGAGGCAGCTGGCTATGAACATTGGAGGCTGGAACACGCATTGCGGTGCGTTGAACTCCGAGGCGGCCTGCGAGGCGCCTCATGATTGGTTGTGGTATGCCGCGAGCTCGGAGCGCAGGGCTGATTCCATTCCGCGATAACAGGCAGCTGTCCGGTTTGGAGAGTGCAGGACGGTCTTGTGAGGAGGCGGCGATCTTCATTGTCGACCCCATTACGAAATTAGATACCCCAGTGGACGATCCCAACTGGGAGTCTACGTACCCAGATTGGCCCGAGCCGCTCAAGGCTCACGCTCACTCTGTCGCCGCATACGCCTACTACAGGAAGTACATCGCTGGACAGGAGAAGCTCCGGGAGATCGCGCGCGACGCGCAGTACTTCCCGCGGCCAGGCATTCCCCCCGCGGACGATACTGTCGAGAACATCTTCATGGCGGCCAAACACGCGACGTACGCAGCAACGGGGAACTTCCTCAGCCCCGCGGTTCTTCTAGCAGGATTTGCGCTCCGGGCGCTGGTCGAACAGCTTCAGATAGATATGGCGCTGCTTAAGGAGTATCGCCCGTTGTGGCGCGCCCTTGAGCGCTGCCGGAAGGAATGGAGCGCGGTGGGATCGCCGGTATTCCGGATGAAGTCTGTCACCTGCGCAGGTACGGGGTGCGGAGCGGCCACCACAAAGGGGAAGCCGCGCTTCACATGCCCATCGTGTCTGTACAATCAGACACCCACATACTGCAGCGTGGAGTGCCGGCACGAGGTTCGCGCACATTCAGAGCCACTATGAATGATATGAGGCATGCTCACCGTCGTGTCTCTTGTGTACCACAGGACTGGTCGCGTCACCAACGGATCTGCAGGGCCCCGGGGTGGACGGAGATATCCCCGACGATCCAGCCGCACCTGTCTAGGGTGGACCGGTTCTTGCGCGAGATGATTGAGCACAAGGCTGCTGTGGAACATGTCGAGGTGGTACTTCCGGACGAGGATAGGCAAGATCCACGGAATGGAGTCGTGGTGTGGGAGGCGGACTTCCCGTGCCCGTTTGGCACGCCTGGGAGGATGGTTAGGTGGGCAGTGAAGAGTTACACGGTCTGAGATGGACACGTACTGTATTCTTATGTATTTTCTGCTGCTCGCGCGGAGCGCGGGCATCATATGCAAGAAGTTCCTGCTTATTGATACCGCATGGTGGTCAAGACACAAAAGACGATCAGCCAGTGCGGCGATGCGTCGTGTTCTCGAGATCTAATGAGGGTAAGTAATCGGTAAGCAAACTATGTACTTACCAGTAAGAATGCCTTGACTGATCTGGGTAAGCATCAGCGCCGAGCAAGTCAGAAAAAGGCGCTCGTCGCTTTCTTTCACTCGAACCACGGCGTCGAAGTCCATCGGAGGTTTGGCGTGCATGGTCCGTATTCAAATCTCACAAACCCCGAATCTGACATCTCTAAAAGCTATTCAAGCAGCGAGCTAGGCTTTATAGCGCTCCGACGCCGCTGTGACATGATCTGTCGCGAGTTGCGACAACTCCAAGCTGAAGCCGCATCGTCTTCCTACTCAAACTAGACCCCAGTACTGTGCCTTCGCGTTGCAATCGCGAGGCAAGGCAAGTTTGAATATAAGCTTATTCTTTTTGGTACGACATAACATCAATTACTTGGTATTACGCACTGACCAATCAATATCAGCCTACAAGCCTCCAGTATCCCGGCGCTCTAACGAGAAACCGAGGTCATTGAAGACTGAGAAGCCGTTGCATATGCGAGCCAAATATCCCCTGACGGGGGCGCTTTGACAACGAGTGGTCATTCCTCTCACTTGGACCGGAGAATCTGACAGCTTTTGTCTTTTTCGAGCCGGGCATGTCCGCCATACACGCTGAAAGCGTTTCTTCGGTATATACGCGATCTCGTCCCCCCAAGACTGCTCAGACATCGAACACCCAATTCTCCGCATATTCGAAGGGCTTTCCACACTAGCAATTGCCATTACAACATGCGTACGTCCGCCTCATACGGTGTTACTACCACAACTTCGCTCACTCTTCTTCAATAGTCGACAAATATCTCCAGATACGCCATATCTGCTTTGACCACCATCTTGCGAGACGGGAAAAGTGGGACATGGCGCCGTCTCCATATACCCAGTTCGTTCCTGCTCGTAAGTACCTGGAGAGACTTGAGCGAGAGGCGTCGCAAGAAGACAAGCAGGCTCCGCTGAATATAGAGCAAGCTTTGCGGTGCGTAGTGATTTGCTCAAAAGGAGCTTTATGTCAGCCTATTCACCGCGTCCTGACACTTTGACTTCAGGTACCTATCCGGTGTTGCGGTCCTCGGTAGGTCGGTCGAGGAGCATGCGCTTTTCCTCCTCGAACCCGTCTTCAACTCGACATGCCCTTCCCACATTGACCCGGGAACGTTCGATACGATCCTGCTCAAAGCGCACTCGCTCGCAGCGTACGTGCATTACAGAAGATATCTCGCGAGTCCGGAGGCCATTCCTATCGACTCGGACCCCTTCGGTGAAATTCTGCGCGCCGCAGAGCTTGCAAACTATGCGGCACGCAAGGGCTTTGTGAGCTCTGCGGTGGTACTCGCTGGATTCGCCTTCTACTGCCTTCTCAAACAACTAGAGTTCGAGTTGGAAGATATCTCTCGCTTCCGGCCGCTTTGGGGAGCCCTGGAGGAGTACATGAAGACGTGCGAGCTTATGCGGCTTTCCTCTCCCCACCACCCTCAGGTCCCAGGTATCTGCGCCGCTCGTCACTGTGGGGAGAAGACTTTGTCCTCCTCCTGTACACACCGTGTGAACCGTCAGCGCGACGACGCGGACTGTGGGTTTTATTGTAGCGTCGAATGTCAGGACCAGGTACGCTTAATCCGTTGCATGTTCAGCGGAGAGCTTTGCGTTGATGTTCTGTTGACAGGGTTGGCTCCAGCACCAACGAGGTGTGATCACTACGATACCTCAGAAGGCTTTTTATCAGATCGCTCTGCCTGCTTCTATGGATCAACACCGCTTGACGGATGCGCGTCGGCGTTTGCGCGATTTGATTGCTCAGGGGGAAATTCGCTGACTCGACGCGAACCTAGCGGCTGAGAGGCGAGGGATACAAGTTGGAATGATCAGCTTCGTGCCGTTGTTGGGTACTTACCTTGGGGACGTTTGTTGCGATTTCGATATGCAGTAACCTGAAAAAATATCGTCATCTTTTTTTATACCGCGTTCCGATTGGGTTGGCCGTACTAGCAGAAGAGGATCAATTCGAATTTCGCGGTTGAAAGTGACCAGTGAACGTTCAGCGCCAGCGCTCAGCGCTCAGCGCTCAACGCTCCGTCGTTGATTAAGCGCCCATCACTGAGCTCAAGCCACGACGTCGGGCCGACGTGGACGACACGCAACTCACTCAAACATCTTCTCCTAGCTTCATCATGCTTTATTCTATGCATTACCATGCGCAACGTTTTGGAGGCATTCGATGACCATGTATATCAGAGGCTTAACGGAAACTCAAGTACGGTGTGCAGGCTGTCATTGAACTTTTCACTCACTGACGTCCTGCCATGTTTTAGGCTCAACTCAACTGATACATTCTACTAGACTGACTAGGTCGAGAAATTTGGCTTTCTGGCTTACACCAAAGGAGCAAGTGAATACACATACCAGCCTGAGGTTCGTCGCCCGAACTCGCAATCATGTTGCTATATTCTGCACACGCAACGACACCGTTCCGGGCGTGCAAACGAAGAAACGCCGACGCTCCTGACACGGTGACATATCACAGTCAGCTGTAGGTGCACGTTTGTATAGAGCCACCCATGCCGCATGCGATCATGATCCAGCTGTTCCGGGGCTGTCATATACTTACGCGCGCGGTTGGGCTGACGCATGACTGTCATTAAGTATGCCGTTCACTTGCTGAAAGCAGGGCGTCATCAAAGCGGCGGCATGGTCGTCCTGGGAGGTGGCGTCAGACCACCGAGTCATCTCCGATTCTGTTGCTCATGTGTCCTCTTGTGACTGCGCAAAATCTCACACATGCCCGACATCGTAGCAGGAAGGGGTATCTTGGTTCCGTACAGCCTAGGTCGCAAACCTTCTCAAGAAATGCTGTACCTTGTCCCGGGCATAGAAGCGAACATGCATCGTCCCACCGCAACCTGCCATGTTCCATTTTCGTCGGACGCATGATCAGGCGGCTTCCTTGTTCTCGACCGGCCGGCCCTGATAAACCGTGCCGCGCGCCTGCTCCACAGGTACGCTTGATCGCAGCGCTCTACCATGTTAGTAGCCGCTGTCTAAGGCCGCTCAACCAGACCTACTATAATACCGTGCGCGCACTTGCCTACACGCTCCTCATCGCCTTCGATCTTGCCCACGGATAGTTCGCGGTTGCACCTCATGCTCTCCACATTCGCCATCCTGGCGGGGTGTTTCTGCCTCGCGCATCCAGCGCAAACCTATGCGTCTGGAATCACCACCGACCCCGCTGCGGCAAGCGGGAAAACGTTCGACTACATCGTCGTGGGCGGTGGCACGGCAGGGACGGCCGTCGCTGCTCGCCTCGCGGAGAACCCCCACCTGACAATCTTAACGATCGAGGTGGGCGGCGACAACAGGACGAATCCTGAAGTGTTCAACGTCCTTGACTTTCCTAACCTGCTGGGTGGTCCGCTTGACTGGGCGTGGCCGGCGGATCAGGGAAAGGTGATCCACGGGTAAGGGCTGATTATTGCAGAGTTCAATCACGTCTTCACGCGCAGTACCGCTAATGATCCTACCTGCAGGGGCAAGACTCTCGGAGGCAGCAGCTCTATCAACGGCGCCGACTGGACCCGGGGGTTGGCCGCGCAGTACGATGCGTTCACGGATCTGCTTGAACCAGAGGAGGCAAGCGTTGGCTGGAACTGGGACAACCTGTTCTCGTACATGCAGAAGGTAGCGTCATTTTGTCTTGCGTGCATGTGACCGAGTCTAACTATTTTTGCAGGCCGAGGGCTTTTCTGCGCCCAACGCCCAGCAGCGTGCGAAAGGCGCGGATTCAATCGCGTCGTACCACGGCACTCGTGGCCCGGTCCAAGCTACATTTCCGAGCGCCATGCTGGCAGGCCCGGAGCAGGGGGCGTTCGTGGGCACCATGGTTAATCTTACTGGAATTGCGCATTCTAAGGACCTAAACGGCGGCAATCCAAATTGCGTAGCCTTCGTACCTTTGGTACGAGATCAAGCCTGCGGAATCTTTGACATGACTAAGTACTGACTGATATGCGCATTGCAGAGTATTAATTGGCATGCGGATGATCACCGCTCTTCGTCTATCGAGGCGTACTACACCCCTGTAGAGAACCGTCGGAAGGGCTGGACGCTGCTAATCCATCATCTCGTCACGAAGATTGTCTTCAGTGGAACTAGTGCGCCTTACACGGCAACCGGCGTCGAGTTCGCCGCGTCGGATGGCAGTGGAATCCGGTACAAGGCGTTTGCTCGCCGAGAGGTCATTGTCTCTGCGGGCGCCATCCAGGTATGTTCTTTGACTTTTAAGAGGTACGTAAACATGAAACTAAATCGACCTACGCTGGTAGACGCCTACTGTGTTGCAACACTCGGGTATCGGAGACTCGGAAGTGCTCGGTCCTCTCGGCATAGACACGCTCATCGACCTTAAGGGCGTGGGCAGGAATTTACAGGAGCAGGTTCGCGTCCCACAAACTACTGCTACTGGCAGAAACATAAACTGACCCTTTGACGGTGGCCTTAGACGTTGGACGTATTAGAGACGCAAGGAAATGGTTTCAGCCTCGGTGGTGATGGCCCCACAGACGTGATTGCCTTCCCGAACATCTACGAGCTCTTCGGAGACAAGGCTCCAGCGGCAGTGCAGACGATACGATCCTCACTCTCATCCTGGGCAGCGTCGCAAGCTGAATCGGGGACCCCGGTTGAGGCGCTGAAGACGATCTTTCAGATTCAAGCAGACCTCATTGTGAAGCACAACGGTGAGTTTCATTACCACGATCAGACGCTGTGACACTCACAGCGGAAACCGTTCTGTATCGTCAGCCCCCGTAGCAGAATTCTTCTTCGAGGTCGGTGCTCCTGAGTACGTTGATTTCCATATGCGCATCTGTTACGAGCGACTGAAAACCATCCAGCGATCTCGCTATCGTCATATGGCAGCTTCTACCTTTTAGCAGGGGAAATGTCTCCATCAAGGTGAGCCTCGTAGAGTGCATCGTTACGCTGCACCATCTCACTTGTCGTGCTATTAGTCTAGCGACCCATTCGTGCTCCCTGCAGTCACGGTGAACTACTTCAGCGTCGACTTTGACCTTTCTGTCCAGATCGCCGGCGCGCGACTGGCACGCAGGGTCCTCAGCAGCCCTCCTCTTGGGTCAGCTTCCTAACTCCCATACGTCCTAGCTGTTCGCTGACGCAGTGGCACAGCAATCTGTCAATCAGCGAGATCGCTCCAGGTCTGGATGTCGTCCCGGACAACGGGGACGGTGGCTCCGACGCGGACTGGAAGAAATGGATCGTGCAGCCCGGCACGGCGGGTTTCGCCTCCGTTGCACATCCCATCGGGACCTCCGCCATGATGCGGCGTAGCCTTGGTGGTGCGTTCTTTCTCGCTGAAGTCGTGCAGGATATTCGAGAATGCTAATTGAAGCTTCAGGTGTGGTCGATGCGCACCTGAAAGTGTACGACACGACGAACCTGCGCGTGGTCGACGCGTCGATTATCCCCATTCAGATCAGTGCGCACCCGACCAGCTCGCTGTATGGTATCGCGGAGAAGGCGGCGGACATCATCAAAGCCGCGCAGTGAGGGTGTTATGAATACTAGGCTAGGTGGACGCTTCGTATGCCCACTCGAACAGCCTGAGTGCTTAGTCCTACAAAATGCGCATCTATACGTAGTCGTTGTACCACAGACGTGCACATATCTAGGATGAGTGGGGTGTGATGAGTAGGGTGTGAATACATTGTGAGTTCTAGCGTAAGTCTATACTACATGCGGGTTCTAGGCTACATATTTACATTGAGAACGTGTGATTGTAGCAGGAATCCTCCAGTGCGTGATGAGTGTCCAATTAGTTGCAGTATGATGGTGAGTAGGGGTGCGGAACGTTGTTGGTGTCGTTATGCAGAGTTCTCGTCGCCGTGCTCAAGGTTGGCGATAGGCGTCGACGATGCAGCAATCGACGGGTCGGCCTCGTGGTTGTCATTGATATCGAGCTCCTTTCCGTCTTCCAATGCACGAATCTGGACGACATCTCCGTCCCTACGAAGAACCCATCAGCACCCTGTCCCCCACCAACAAACCCATCACGCCAGACTCACCTGATCGTGCCCTTGAGCAGCTTCTGCGCGAGCGGGAATAGCACCTTCGTGCGCACGATCCGCGCAATCGCACGCGCGCCATAGATATCCGAGTACCCCTCCTTCGCGAGCCAGTCCTTCGCGCCCCGGTCCACGTCGAGCGTGATCCGCCTCGAGCGCAGACGCTCCTGCACGTCCCCGAGGCGCAGGTCGACGACGCGCAGGATGCTGTCCCGCGAGAGCTTGTTGAAGACGAGCATCGCGTCGAGGCGGTTGAGCAGCTCGGGCGGGAAGTACTCGGCGGTGCGCGCGAGGACCTCGTCGCGCGCATCGGGCAAGACCGCGCCGGTGGTGGGGTCGGATGCGGACGCGTGTGCGAGGATGTCGGAGCCGAGGTTGGAGGTGAGGCAGATGATGGTGTTCTTGAAGTCGACCTTGCGGCCTTGGGAGTCGGTGATGCTGCCCTCGTCGAGGATCTGTAGGAGGATCATGGCGACGTCTTTGTGGGCCTTCTCGAGCTCGTCGAGCAGGATGACGGCTGTGTATAGGGTGAGTAAAAGCAGGGGGGCAGAGGATAGGGCGACTTACCGTAGGGCTTGCGTCGGACTGCCTCGGTGAGCTGGCCGCCTTCTTCGAAGCCGACGTACCCGGGCGCGGCGCCGATGAGTCGCGAGATCGTGTGCCGGTCGTGGTACTCAGACATGTTGATGTTGATTCTGTACAAGGACGTCGAGTCAGCGAGGCCGCCGCTTTATCGGAAGAGAGAGGTTACTTACAGTCCACGCGACTCGTCGTTGAACAGGAAACCGGCAAGAGCCTTACACAGCTCCGTCTGAGTGGCGCGTCAGTTAAAAGTCCACTTCGTATGCGAAACTGTATGCTCACCTTGCCAACACCGGTAGGGCCCAGGAAGAGGAAGGACGCGACGGGGCGGTTCGGTGCCTGGAGCCCTGCGCGCGAGATACGGACAGCGTCGCTGACAGCCTCGACAATGTGGTCCTGGCCCACCACGCGCTTCCTGAGGACATCTTCCATCTGTACGCGACAGTCTATCAGCACTCTGCACGCATACAACCACCCAAAACAAGGTGAACGACACGTACATGCACGAGTTTCTCCCGCTCGCCCTTCAACAGGCTCTGCACGGGGATGCCCGTCGCCTTCGCCACGACGCGCGCGATGTCTGCGCTCGTCACCCGGTCATGCAGCATCGCCAGCGGGCCCGCCGCGTCCTCGCTCTCCCCGCGCTCGCCCGCGCCCTCCGCGGGGAGCTGCCGCTCGAGCTCGGGGATCGTCGCGAAGCGCAGGCGCGACGCGCGCTCGTACTGCCCCTGGCGCTGCGCGATCTCGAGCTCGCGCTTCGCGTCCTCGAGCCGCTGCTTCGTGTCCTTGATGCGCTCGAGGCGCGCGCGCTCCGCGTGCCACACCTGCGTGAGCTGCGCGGCGGCCTCGCGCTTCGCCTTGAGCGTGTCCTCGACCTTGGCGCGCCGCTCGGCGGAGAAGACGTCGGTCTCGTTCTTGAGGGACTCGCGCTCGATCTCGAGCGTCATGATTTCGCGGTCGAGAGACTCGAGCTCGTCAGGCTTGCTTTCTTGGGCGAGGCGGAGGGCGGAGGCGGCTTCGTCGACAAGGTCGATCGCTTTGTCGGGGAGGAAGCGGTCGGAGATGTAGCGCGAGCTGTATACCGCGGCTGGTAGCGGGGCGGGACGTCAGCAAGGCTCACAGGGCGCGAGGAGGGAAATTCTTACCTGTAACGAGTGCGCCGTCGGAGATACCGACACCGTGGTGTACCTCATATCGAGGCTTCAGACCGCGAAGGATAGAAATCGTCGCCTCAACGGTAGGCTCGTCGATCTGCACGGGCTGGAAGCGACGTTCGAGCGCGGCGTCTTTACCGATGGTCTTCCGGAACTCGTCCGCTGAGCCGCCGGGTCAGCACAAGGGACATTGTAGCAGGGAGCATGATACTTACGCGTAGTCGCGCCAACGAGCTGAAGGCCGCGGGCAAGCGCGGGCTTGATCATCTGTCCGGCGTCGATACTGCCTTCCGCTTTACCGAGGTTGAAGAGTGTATCTACACGTCCTTGTCAGCATATATCTAGAGAACAGTCGTCCGTAGACTGCTTACGAAGCTCGTCAATGAAACAGATCACGTTTCCAGCCTGTAGAACAAACGTTGGCACGACGCGTACATAGCAGCGATACCAGGTATACGTACTTCATCCTCGATATCCTTGATGAGCGCCTTGAACTTCTCCTCGAATTGCCCGCGAATGCCAGAGCCCGCCATGATAGCGGCAAGATCTAGTGACAGAACACGCTTGTTTTGGAGAGACTATGAAGGAGGTACTGTGAGACTGTGGTCGACACGGTGCGGCGAAGTCAACGCACCTCTGGCACTTCCTTGGCAACGATGCGTTGCGCAAGGCCTTCGAGAATAGCGGTTTTGCCTACACCGGGCGGACCGATGAGCTAAAAGGGATGTATGAGGATGTAGTAAAGGCAGCTTCGGAGGCGGGGGCCTTACAACTGGGTTGGACTTCGTCCGGCGAGAGAGGACTGCTCATGGTCAGCGGGAGGAAAGAGCCGGCTTAGGGAAGAGAAAGCTCACTTTGAATTGTTCTTCGAATCTCTGTGTATACCGCAGTCAGCGAAGCAGGAGGAAGGACGAGACATTTGGACATACCTTCGTCGCGACCGATGGTAGGGTCGAGCTTGCCGTTCTTTGCCAGTTCGGTAAGGTCGACACTCTGGTGACATGCATTTAGCACCGCGTGCACGAGAAGTTTGAAACAGTTGCAGCATCGGAGAGAGAAAGACCCCGGCTAATACACCAAGAGCTCATATCCCGGATTCCTCGAAAATGTGGCTTTTAGTGGCTGGGGTTACATTCCTCCTCAGCCCCGAAAGCAAACCCATGCCGGGACAGTCATGCTAAAACCCCGAAAGCCTCGCTCGGCCAACCAGACGGCCAGGTCCCCGCCTGGAGTCCAAATGTACCCCAAACGCGAAGGAATCAGCGCGCCACGCTCTCTTTTTCAATCGTTTCCCCGTCCAATCCTTCAAAGGCCCGCAGGACCGAGAGCGTCCTGTCTCTGTAACGCCCTGTCCTCCGGAACACCCGCACGGGTGGCTGGCATGACTATCTGAGCACGCCGTCTGCGCGACATCTTTCAGTGGCCTGTTTGACTTCCCTGTTGTCGCGTCGCGTAGGCCAGGTCGTGGCCGTTTCGTTCCGTCGACACTTCGCCATCCCGTTTCTTTGCGCCATACTCATCCGGTAGGATGGGCCGTCTCCATTGCAGTGGGTGCGACCGCGGCTGCAAGAGCGGGCTGGCCGCATCGACCAGGAGTTGGCTAGTGTCTTAGTGGATTGGCCGCGGTCCCGAGAGAAGTGCAAGATAGGGTCGGAAACGAGACGAATGTGGAGGAAACTCACATATTCCTTGAGAGCCTCGCCCTTCTGCCGCTGCTGTCCCATCATGTTGAACCCGGGAAATCCACCCGCGCCTCCTCCCGGTGGACCCTGCGCATATGAGCGCGAGAGTACGAGAGGTCCTGTTGCGAGCCTAGGACATGGCGAGATGCGGGAGAGAGGCGCGCGGGGAGGGAGAGACGCGAGTGCATTGCGAGGCGGTAGGCGGCGAGCAGCAAGAGATCCTTGGAGTCTTGTTGATGCCAGTTGTTTGCGGAGCATTAGGGGTAGGTTAGATATACAAGCAGTGTGTTTGGTAGCAACAAGCAGACGAGAAAGCAAAGGGAGAGCGAAGGAGTAGGAGCAGTTCCGGGCATTCCGGCGACGCCCTGCCCTTATACAGGCGCCCTACGCGATCACGTGTGTCTCGCTCGAAATAGAACGCGCGAGAATGCTCTCCGCTGAGCGACGTCACCCTCGTCCTGCGCTCGGCTCGCCTGCTTTCCAGCTGCGCAGAGCTCACTCACGACTCGCACTGCTCTCGAACCGCGCCCTCCGTGTTCTGGCTTCTTTGCTCTGGTCTGCCCTGCCTGTATGCGCGCGCTTGTTCTGCCCTCGTCCGCCTCTCTTGCAGGCGTCCCGCCTCTTGTCAGAATTCCTTCGTCTTCCGTCTGCTGCTGCTGCGTCTCCCCTCACATACGTCTCCCTTCTCCGACCGCCGCCCGCACTTGCAAGATACGTCCTTATGGGCCTGCTTACGCTTCCGACGCTATTCACTGCGCAAAGATGCCGCACGCGTACTTCGAGGACCACGTCCGGTACACGGTACCCAGCCTGTTCGTTTCTCTCCCCGCCCTCGCCCCTCACGCTCGCGCCCGGTGCGCGGGCAGCTCGGATGGATCGATCGCGGAGATAGGTAGCTACTCCCAGGTGCGTTCTGAACCTTCCACCCCGCGAACTCTGCTCACAAGGTCCGTTATACGGGTCCCCCACGCCATAAATCTCGACTATCCTCGCGCCAACGCTCCCGACGTCCTTCTTCAACATACACACATAGAAGCCAAGTAGTGCATGGATGCACTGCTGGACGCATTTGTGACAGAAGATAGAACTAAGCGGTCGGCGTGGTCGACGCCTCCAGCCCCTTGTCGCTAACGAATGGGTGTCAGACCGCTTGCATCTCGCGATGCGCGCACTCTGCAACCCTCAGGGGGGCTCCCCATACCCCCAACAACGATGCTAGACAAGGTGTGGATGCTCCGGGGACGTCCTCCGCTCGCCACGCCGCTGTTTCGCCGGGGATGCTCGACGTCCATCTGCCCGCCGTACAAGCCCCTCGTGCGAGTCTCCCTGCGCTTTTTCTGCGCGGACCGATGTACGGTAC